AACACAGAGGTTTAACTTGGACATTTCATCTTTATTTTAAAGTATATTAAAATATAAATTATATAATTTTAACGGTAATTATTAACTTAATGTGTAGGAAGCATGTCGACCTTGCTACTACCTTTTACATTACGATGTTGAAAAACATTTGTATGTATTTAAATCATTATTTTTATTGTATAGCTTATAAATAGAATAGATTTTTTGTAAATAAACAGTTTTATATGTAATTACAAATATAATACGAGCCTTACATATGTAAGCGATGAAGTAATAATGTCCTACTTTAGTTATTGACAAGAATGGAATCTTTAGACGGAATTTCCTTAACAAATTATGTATTAATGTTTTTCACTTATAGATCGTTCAATAGATTTTTTTTATTATTTTATTATTATTAATTATAGCATTATATTACATTAATACTATAATTATATTCTTGTGCATTTTATTATTATATAATTTTTCTAACGTTCCGGTCGACTTCACAGTAAACGTGAACGGACAGACTAGATGGTAACACGATATTCACTCATACTAACGCCACAGTTCAATTACGAGCGACATGGAGCAATGTATTAAATCTTTTGAAACATGACAGTATAGAAATGAGATGCTCGCAGACGAACTTCTGGTATTGTCGAAGTTAGTTTGATATTCGTATAAAGTTCCACCCTCGCGCTCACGACGCTTTATTTCCTTCAAATTGTTTTTACGACGACGGTTCGGGGCATGAGTTGAGTTTAATGTTTACTTTTTCATGTTTCATCGATACACAGCGGAATTGATTTCAGCCGTCCATAAAATATGCTGATATCCATTTAAATGAAACTAATATTTTTCGGATATACATACTACGCGACTTTATTTTTGTAAAAAACTACATACTCCCGACGATTCGGCTAGTATTGTTTCGTAGTATATACTTAAATGAATAAAACTCGCGAAAATCGAAATTTCATTATGCTTATATCGTTGAATTCAACAATATATACTGAAGTTTACAATAAACATACGAGGAATCTTAAAATATGAGCAAAAATTACGTTTGAAATATACTAAGCATAAATCTATTTTCAAATAACGAAATATTTTAAAATGTTTATTTCTTAAATTTAATTTTACTTGATCCAAAATTATATACAAAAGAAATATGGAATGATATTGTACATGAAATACGAGAATCAAATCTTGTCTCTTATCTCGTATTTTAAATCGAATTATAAATTGTGATTCCCTGAAGATTTGTTTATTCTGTACAAAATAAAAAAATGGAACGTCAAAAAGATATTATATGATATAAATGACGTATTTTAATAAACAAATTTAAAATCCACAAACTAAATATTGATAAGTAGGATGTACCAAAATCTGTTTCACGTACAATGTAAGCCTTGTGCGAACGTCCCAAAGGACTTTTATTTCCATTTAGCTGACTGTCGTTTACATTCATTAGCAGTGAATAAATTATTTTCCATAGAGAATATGGTCACATGAAACATAATAGAAGAGTGTATTAAGTAAACATACCCATAATATATATTAGAGTTCATATATTAGAGATAAAGTTGATTCATTTCTATTGATTGGTGTTTTATCCGCGAAGATTCGGTTTTTTCAATGACATCATCATGATTTGTTTTGATTTAAATTATATTTGTATTATCTTTTACTCTTACCTTTTTTGGCATATAATATGTAAACATTACGTTTAAATAAACTTTTATCAAATATATGTTCTTTAAGGTATCAATTTTGTTTAAAACACCCATACAGTTAAGAACTATAACAATATTTTACATATATTAAATGTAAATATTTACTAACTATAAACCGGTCTAAATAATGCTATCTAAAATATTAATAATTTAAATGAAATTAAGCTTTTCATATGAAAATTCACTTCCAACTCGTCTGCCTGTGATCACCATTGCTGGAAAGGAAACATCGCTCAGAATTATGTATGTAGCTACAAAATAATAAAAAAAACTCCTAGTATACTAAAGGCTTAGTTACATTTAAAGCAATTGAAATCTAATACGTAACAAAGTATATGAAAACCACGTATTTATAATTTCATGTCCGGCCTAACATAGAATACATATGTATCAGTGTGTATCACAATATACATAATCAAAAGTTAAAGCAGTTCTGTATAACTCCAACGACAGTATTCACATGGAATATTTATATAGAATTCAATTTGTAAATCGTTTAAACCGCTGCTCTCACGCTAACAAAGAATCGATCAATGTCGGGATTATGACATTAGCTTCTCATGAAAGCGACTTGATCGTGTGGATATTCAGAATGTTAGGACTCGCGTACTTATTAATGTAGAAAAATAAATTGTATGAGAAATACTAACGTTGAAGCTAAACTCTTTTTTGTTCGGTTAAATTTGGAAACAGCGTTAAAAATGCGTGCATAATTGCTAAAGGTCAGTCTACTGGCCCCGTCTGCTTTATAAGTGAAATAACATTACATGCCAACCGGTTTATTTCTATTAATAGACTAACTGTAAGGTGTAAGGGACTCCCTTTAAATATAAGTGAAGTCTCAGCCATAGAATTCTGATGAATGTTTGATGAGTTCAGATATTATGACCACTTTTCATCACTTAAATAACATAGTATGTGTTAAATTCCGTTTATGTATAAGATTTCTTAATTGATCATAACCCGCACATACCTATTTGATAAACTCCAGAATACTGGAATAACGTAGACCGCAAAATACAAGCTATGCAAACGAGGTATTGTAACAAGAATAATAGATTTTCTATTGATCTAACGATATTAATACATCTTCATATATAAATTAGGATTGTTCTAACGCGTTATCATAGATGTCCAATCAAGATAACGATTCCTTCATATGGATCTACATAATAATCTTTATAAAATATCTTGCTAGGGAGTCTCACATTTCCGATACAATCGTTGACTAACCTGTCGTAATATTCCCATAGTTGAGGACTGAGGTGTTGTAATCTTATTATGCTTTTTACCCACATGCTTATCAAGATGGCTCTGTGTCTATTGTTTTTAATGAAATCACGTAACAATAACATGAGAATTCACTGAATTAACAGGTTTTGTTATACATGACCTTGAGAATACCGAATATTACCGGTAATATTTCTCTAATGTGTTCTCTAAGTGTATGTGTTGATGTATTTTCTTACCGTTTATCTCATGTAGGCTAAGAGTGAGAACTTATGATGACCTAGTCATGTTATAAATGATTAACATCGCCGCTGAGAAAACCCGTGAGCAACTGTCGTTAGAAATCTTTATTAATTTTTTACTGAATTAAAAGAAAAATGTTTCGAATTTATCTGAAAATAACATAAATTTTATGGAAAATCTTCATGTTTAAATGAGTTTTATGATATGTTTTATGTCCACTATAGATTACCTTCGATTAAATAAAAATGTAAATCCTGTCCATTGAGTTTCAATGAAGTTGAGATATATATAGCAAAAATAAGTTTTAAAATCGGACTTGATTAATTTCAAATCCATTCCTGCGTCTTCTATGACCAAGGAAAACATAAAAGACAATTTCGAACTCAGAGTTCGGAATGAAACAGCCAATCTTAAATTACACGAAATAGCCTCGCCAGGGCCTTTTACATTCGGTTTAGTGAGCGAGGAACTGGGAGCTCGTTATAGGAACAAAGGGCGACATCAAACGAGTTGGTACTTATTTCTTCATACAGCGATAACATTTATACTGGTTCAAAATGTTCTCAAGTTTACGACTTATTCTCATGATGAAAGAACGATCTCGTTATGTAGCTATGTGTCAACTTACTAATAAGTTTCTTAGAGAAAAAAATACATAACACAATTAGCGTAATTGAATTTCTTTTTCCAGTCGGTCTTTATAATAACATTTTGTTTTATTTTAAGAAGAAATACGTAAAGTCTATTGGGAATATCATATATGATATTGTTAGAAAACAAAAACTTAATTTTCCTTATTAAATATTATGTATATCCGTAGTGTATACGATCATCTAGATGATAATAAGGCGTTAATTTTACTAAGACCTGCAGTATAACCTGAAAAAACACATAAAAAGGCTTTCAAACGGATTTCACGGCCATCGAGTTAAGCCTGTGGAATCTACTTAGGATTTACATAGACACTGTTTTTAAAATGAATATAACGGTATAGTGCTATATTTTTTTTTTCGGTAAACACAAAATTCATAGTTTTGAACTTTGGAATTTTTAAAACATTCTATCAAAAAAATTCACTACAAAGAACTTAAATTGAACAATGCTTTCGTCTACATTGAAGTAAAATTATTAATAAAATAATGTTAAAGTGTATTACGTTAAAACTAAAAAGCAACATGCAGTCTAAAACATTATAACTATATGAAATAAAGCACCTAATTAACTAACTCAATGTTAAGCCAAGCTACCGAAGCTAGAAATAAGATATTATATGTACTAATTAAGGAAGATTTCATAAAAGTTTACTCAGTTCGGGGGCTATATGAATGCTGCGAAATTTTGTATGAAAATATATTTACTTGTAATTTAGCTTTAACGTCTTTGAACATTTAATAACGCTGGTGAATAAGTAGATTATATTTGCATATCTGTAGTACATGCAGCTTACAATTCTCAGAATATTAATAGTGAATTTTTTATTGCTTTAAAATTTACAGCGAAACTATCTTTAAAGAAACCATCCATACGTTATTGGGTGACTTTATTTTTGAGCAATTACAACAAAATCTATTAAGCTATGCATTTTATTTGTAAGCAAATAACCTAGTTTCTGTTCTGTCCACTCAACCGATTTACAAAAACGTATGTAGTTCTTAATTGACATAGTATTTATTGTTATTGATTTTTTTTAGTTTATGAACTAAAGTTTTGAACATAAAGTTATAATAATGGGAAGTATTGCCATATTAATATATAAAGTAAGAACACGTCGCCCAGTAGTCAATTGTGGACAATGTAACATTGTCATGTCTATACATTACATATTTCTCGTTTGATCTCGTAATGATGGTAACATGTAACGTCGTCATTTTGCAAATGTAGACAACCGCCAATGCCCTTACAAACCAGTTGGAAGTATGCGAGCAAACAGGAATTGCGGTTCGCCTCTTCCCCTTGTTATTATTATGATTCAATTACATTGTAATGCATAACGTATAAGGACCAGCGTGCACATCCGACATGCGCTACGTTTATTAAATAGGTTATCTATGTTCGACAGGGGCAATGGACCAATCGGTTACGGACCGAATCACTGTCGCACGAACGGACCCACTCATTTTATTAAAAACTTTTCAAACGAGAGTGCCGTGAGATTTAAAACAGCGAAATTGGGCGGATGCAAATTACCGGTCAATATAGCTGTAACGGATCTACGATGGCTGGTCAGCTCGCGCCATATTCCCGTTAGATGACACAAGTTACTTGTTATGCAACTGATGTGCCTCTAGACTAGACTCTAGATCGTCCTGATGCTGCACGCACACCGCCTTATAATTACTTGCTTATGTTATACGAGTATAGCCATGACGAGCAAATGGCAATCATTCCTAAACGTGTCGGGGCTAACGTAACCAGCCAACCAGAATTTTACCAAGAAGGCAAAGCAATAATTTACATTTAGATTATATCACTACCATCATTAAAGCTGTATACAAAATAATTTATTTTATAATAGAATTTATAATTTAAACTTCTCTGTAGCTGATTGTTGTCTCAAGAATTTCATTACGAGTAAAAATATTCCAACTTTTATTTTCATATTCTACGTTATTTATAATATTTTTATCTCAGCCTGTGGAAGACGTCCAATAACTGCTTAAAGTCTCCTTAAAAACTTCGAAAATCATCAACTTCAAGGGTTTTGTATAGACCTTAAATTAATTTTCCCCCTTTTGAACTTGTTCTCGACTTTATATATACAAATTTATTGATTTCAATTTACCAATAATTGATGAATTGTTACATTAAAATATACACATAGATTTATTATGAATGCCTTTGCTTTACAAAAATTTATATATAAATGAAAAAAACCAAGTCCCTATATATGTATAGGTAAATATTTATTTTGTGTTTGTATTAAACCATTTATCGACCACGACCGCCGAAGGGTCGCGTCTCGACAAAACTTGACGTGTGATGCCATAATTATATTTGTCTGGCTCTGAAAAGTGAAAGCAAACATTCCGAGTGAAATTAAATTGCTCAAAAGTTATAATAATACTGACATTTTTGTGACAATCTGAACCTAAAAAAACTTTCACTTTACCTCTACACTGACTTATTTTAGGTCGTATTTTCGTAATGTAACAATTAGATTAGAAAAACGATATTATTTTTGTCCTATTTAAATTTATCTCTGTAATTCTAATCAAATATACGACTAGACTGTAACTCAAAACTGTAATCCCTATACGATCTGTTCACTAATTACAATGTTAGGTCGTCATTCATCCGAGACTCAACAATTTAAATTAGCCTTTAATCCAAATGGGTGACATTACATGCGCTTGTTTCCACCCACTAGGATATGCTATCTGCTCTTATATAATATTCATTAAACTGTAATGTAGCGTGTCTTGTCCGTAGTCTTGACGCTTCGCCGCAGATAGAAATTATATTATTTATAGCATGCTGTATGCACCATACATTAACTTGACATTTGAGGCAAGTAATTCGCTTTCAAACCTGAATAGAAGCCTACAAGGAGATTGCATCGGAAACCACAAAATCGATGCCTTAACATCTTTAATGCATCGGTTTGAACACAATTATGATTTATATTAGTAAAATACAAATCAAATAGAATAAATACATGATAATTCATTTTAATTTTAATTACGAAATTCTTTAAATAATACGGTTGCGAACATAGAACAGACCGAAAGTATTGGAATCCATAAATACTCAATTGGATTCCATTAAAAGAAAATGAGAACATTCCAGAACGTAGGACCGAGTAAAGCTCCTCATCCCTCGACTTTGCCCGGCGTTAGTCAGATTATCGTCAATGAGAACGATTTGTACAGATTTGTGGCTGACCTTAGCGCGTCCGAAAGTATTGAATACTTGATTCAATATACATTACCAGTTAAATAAAATACCTATATAGAAATACTATTATTGTACAAATGGCGAAAGAAAAACCCTGTTTTGTATCATCATATACTATACATATATGATATAAATTACGTTAATAAAACACTATACTTGTAATGAAGGATAAATGTACATAATAAATCTTGTTATGTATCTAAGGATATACATATATAGACATATGCACCTTCATAACATATTTATATGCTTATTTGAATTTATTCTACATGCACATAAACAGTTAAAAGTAAAAACATAGATTATATAAAATCAGAATGATGCAGTCTTAAGTAAAATATTCAGTGGAAAAGTTTGTATTTGTATTGTCAAGTAACTAAACATGAAAAGTCAGCTGTGAAAAATGTATAGTAAATAAATATTTGAAATCTATATAATATTTGTAAATAATATATTATTTCAGAGATTGAATGTAGTAGTTTTAAAATTTAATTCTAAATAAATTCAGGGCTGTCTCTCAATAACGGAAGATTTTTTTTCTTTATGCATGATCATTAAAAGTATAAATTTTAGTGACAAATATTTCTTTGTTCCTTTTTAATTAAATGTTACAAAATCTTGTACCGGCCAGCATTAAGTGTTCATTCTATAATATATATCTTTTTCTATCACATTGAAATTTAAACTTTCATGTTATTCCCCGTGTCTTAATATACCTTGTCATATACTTAGACCGAAGAAATATTTCCTTATAAATAACTTCCCCTTAATTCTTTTTAATACATAAGTTTATTGAATATACTATAATTGTTTATCTTTATTGTAGTTTTTTATGAAAATGTATTATAGTTTTGAAATAATTTAGAACTTGTATAAAAAAGGAACCAAAAAATATTTTGAAATCAATTCCTAATTCTTACTTTCTTCTGATTATTACTTACTACATTCTTAAATAGATATTTTCTCATTTAATTTGTTACTTACCTTTTTTCTTTACTTTTTTCAAACTTTTTCTTTCATTTTTTTTTTAAGTTTTATTCTTAAACATTTTGCAATATGAAATGTATATTGTGTCATAAAATATTTTAAAGATTATCAACATTTGTTAAAGAAAAACTATCTTCATCTTAAAGTAGATATTTTTATACAATTACATTATTAAACAAAATTTTTGTAAAGAAATGAAAAGAAATTTTGTTTTCGAGACTCTATTATGTTGTACACAACACAAATTTATAAAGCAAATACAAAAGCACATGCAACGTTACTTCGTAAAAAAGAGCGCGTAGGAGTAATAGGGTCTCTCTCACCTCCCAAACTTTGTGGCACAGGGTCCAAAGGCGTCGCAAGAACCCCCAGGAACAGAACCAGAGCCTCGACGGTCCAGAGCGCACCCCACATGTCCCACAGCCGCATCACAACACTCCACTATCTCATTATTGGCACAACATTCACAAAACTTATCCAATGTGAACACCTATCTATGCTAATTCCTCGTGGCACGATCATACTTTGAAAAACATTTTAATGGAACTAATATTTCATACGCGACTATTACATTATAATAACTAAGATTCTGAATAAATGTACGAATTATGTTGTAACAAAGACAGCTGCACGTCATAACATTTCACCGCTGAACTTCAGAGTAGATTCACTATCTACAACGACGACTCGGCTCTGCTAGTTTACATCTAACTGTCATTAGCCTTCAGTGACGTTAGCACATTGCGTTCGAAAACATCGTTAGTCGATTAAAATCGATTTGATTATGTAGACATTAATAGATTAATCGATACGTAAATAAAGACAATTTACAATAATATAGAATATAGAAGTAACAACAACAATTATTTATATTTCGTAAATCGTATAGGTTGTTTACAAATACATGGAGTGTAAGGAATCAATTGAGGTAAATCTTCTTTAGATAGATTCATTACCATTTTGGCTATTTCTTCCAAATATGAAATTGACATATTTGGATCTCTTGGTAATGCATAATTCGAAGCTGGTTCCCACTTACCGTTGACTAATTTTGCGGGTTGTGAAAAATGTCCTGGAAACGTTAACCCAAAAGCACCTGTAAAATTATTGAAAAAATAATAATACACATGGAGAAAAAATACAAGGAATCGTTCATGAAGAAAAAATTATATCTGAAACGTCGAATAAAAATGTATTTATATTACAAGTAATAAACAAAAAACTTATTTTTAAAAAAATCCCAATTAGTGACTCACCATTGCATGGAATACCGAGGTTAACAATATTTTTGGGATCAGGGTAAAAAAGCCATAACTTAACCAAATTTAAAACAGCAACTGCTTTATTTATACAAATTGGTCTATCAGACGATTTCTTTTTGATCTAAAACAATGATATCCATTTATTTACATGTAAAAATTGACATCTGAAATTAACGTTACCACTATATCAAAGCTTACTTTCCGTTCAGCAACTTTTGTCCATAAAGAATCATCAGAAAACATAAGGTATTCCATTGATCGCAATTCCGGTGTAAGTGTACCAACGCAAAGTGTCGAGTTTCTAACTTTGATAAATCTATTGTAAGGATCAAAAGACTCATATTTGTGAATAGTTGTGTGAATATCTGTTAAATGATTTATTCCTACAAACCCCCAAACTGGTGGACAAAATATGTTTTTAAGAGGAACATCTGCTATCTCTGCAGCAACTGGAACTATATCTAAACCGATATCTGATGTAACTACTACAATATTACTCCTAGGCAAACTCTTTACAGCATTTGCTAAAACAGTGGCATTATAACATGCTGGTCCTAAATTTGGGAAAACAATATACATTTTCTGGGATGCTGATGCATTAATATTTAGAGCAATTCTTTCCATAACTTTCTTATTTTCGTATAGCCATTTTCCGATAGAATAAGTAGATCTGCAAAGGAAATAAAATCAGTTCGTGTATTATTCAACTTGTTAATATTTAAATACCTCTGACATACCTAAAAGGTACATAATCTAAGATTATTAAAAGATTGGTCCCGGTAAGAGCAACGCCAATCTTTTCAATATTTTTAACTACTTTGCCTGAAAGATCACCACCGATAAAATTACATTCATATTCAATAAATTCCATCAAACTTTGAGAGCAATCCTCATCGTAAATATATATTTTAGAAATTATTTTATCACCCGATGTCATTTCAAATAAACCAGATATTATAAACATAGATATCGGATTCCCAGCACCAGATATGCAAATTGTGTAGTCAGACTTTTTACCATCATTTTGGAAATCGAAAATTTGTGACGATGAGTTTAATCTTTTTTCTTCTCTAATTTTCCTTTGATATTGTCCGTAATTATGTACCAAATATTCAAATCTCGTTGGAGACAAAAAGAGATCAAAATTATAATATGAATGACAATATTCCAAAAATTCACAAGCGCCACCAATATAAAACGGCTTGCTGCCCATCATCAATAACTCTTTCCATATTATTGGAGAGTCTATATGATGCCATTTGTTTTTTGTGTTTATTTTACACAACCAAATCTGAAATAAACATTATAATATAAATAAAAGCAAAAGAACCTAATACTATAGAAATTGTTCAGATTGAAAGGGGGTTTTTGTCATTCTTTACCTTCCATTCAGCTACTGGTACTTCAATGCGTTCATAACAAAAGCTGGGCAAATTTTGAGAAATATGATCAGCTACTAAGCACACTTCAGCAAAAATATTACACTGTGACTCTCCCGCAATTACTATGCGGAAAACCATCTTTATTGAGACTGATATAATTTCCCGTTTCTTTTATACTATGAACAACTTTTTAATCATATTTCAATATATGGATGTCATTTGGTAATATATAAAAAGTTTGTATTATATTAAATAAATACTTGTCTCAATTTGAAAGTAGTAACAAAGCTACTAATATATATTTTTTCTAGATCCTTAATTTCGAATCACAATAAAAGTATTAACAGCTATAAATCGTCTTATACAGCAATTTTCGTTATATGTTTAGTTCATATAACATTAAATACTATTTCTTATGCAAAATTTTCTAAGACCTTAATCGATTAGTGATTGCAAGCGGTTTACATGTTTGACATTAACATTAAATCTTGACATTGACAAGATATCCAAAATTCGTTTGACACTTTGTTGGTAGCAAACGCCAAACCGCTTGTTATTTGTTCGTGCTGCGAGGTTATATTTTCAAACTCTTTTTTTAATGAAAAATATAATCTTTTATTAATTTCGTATTAAAACCAGTACAGACGTAAGATATAATTAATTATAATGGAAGTTGGAGAACGACCCAACTGGGGTTTCTGTGATTTATGGATAGATAGAGGCTTTGATTATAAAATGTTGAGTTCGATAAAAAAACTTAATTATAATACAATTGCTATAAACACATACGTACCAGAAGCTGAAGACGAACCCAAAAAAAAGAAGAAGAAAGCTGAACAAACAAAGGAAAAGAAAGATTATATTCCAGCACCTCCTGAAATACCATCTGACTTACAACGAAACTCTAAATTAAATATACTTCAAAGGGTTACTATAGAATTCTCTGAGTCAGCTATAGCACACAAAATACATCAATCAGAAAATATTAAAAAGTATGATATCATAGCTGTTTTGCCGAGAACAAGTCAGGCTTTCCAATATATTTGCACAACTTTAGATGTAGATATAATTACATTTGACCCTCAGACGAGGCTTCCCTTCAGAATGTCCCGTAAACTGTATGGGCAGGCTGTTGAACGTGGGATATTTTTTGAACTGATGTATAGTCCGGCAATACGAGATTCTACCTCACGGAAGAACATTATCACTACAGCACACACATATCATGCTGTGGGAAGATCAAAAAACATTATAGTTTCTAGTGGAGCTTCCAATTTCCTGCAAATTAGAGATGTTCATGATGTCATCAACCTTGGTTTCATTCTAGGCTTGAAAAGCAATGAAAGTGTACAGGTTATAAGAAATAACACTTGGAAACTCATTCTCAAAGCTCAAAGTAGAAGATGTGGCAAATATTATGTGGAAGTTTCACCGATGGAACTCGATGAAAATAAAACGCCTGAATAAGTTATATAATGTTTTATTTTTAAATTCATCCCGTCTTGAATTAATATTGCTATCGTTTTTTTAAATAAATGACAGACGATTTAATCCATGATGATTGTATGAAATCAGAAATTCTTAAAAAAGGATTTCAATGACAAAAGGTTACATGCAAAGTTAAAAATAATTACATGATTTTATTTGAAATTAACAGATCATTGAAACACCTAAAAATTTATCATATTTTATTTATAAAGAAATACCTATTTACTTTTAATTAATAATTTATAAAAATAGTATCATATACACAAAAAATATCTACCTTCACTACTTTTGTTATAAATAATGAGTATATATATAAAAATACTTACACACTAGAGGAACACATTCAATAACTTGTTAAAATTTTATATTTATATTAATAGTATTCAATAGAAGATAAAAATATATATTTAAACGGAACTTACATAATATGTGAAGGGCAGTACTCAATACATTAAAATTCAAGACTACCAAATTTTATTGAAAGGGGCAAGAACAAATAAAAACCTGTTTTGGCTCAATTATTAAATTAAAAATAACAATTTCGTAGATTGTTCATCGAGAGTACATTGAAATTAATTATAATACATTTTATATAGACAAACTAATTAATACATTCTTAACATTACAAAAATGTCTAGCAGTCTAAGCGAAATCGGTAAAACAATGACATTTATATTTATCACAAATGACAAACATGAAATGACAATTTTTATTATCTGGCATTAAAATAATAAATATTAATACAGTTAAAAATTATATTATTATTATTTTCATATTTTTCTAAGTTCAATATTCCACAAAGAGGTTCTACTCTGTTTTCAAATGTGATGCATCTAGTGATTCAGTCTTTTCAACGTTGAACGAGCGTTCCATGCTTACTCGTTTATTTGTTTTCGTAATATTCCCACTCGGCACTTCTTCTGGCACACTGAACATACTGGCCACCCATTTAAATCTGAATACATAAAAAAATAAATGAAAACTGTGTCAACGCTACTCGAGACTGAATTAGAAACTGTTTAAATTTTTTACTTATTTATTTGAAAATACCAAAATTGCGGCCATAAAATTCTTACCTTTTCTTGCTTTATTTTGGTTATTACGAAACCCAAAGAACAACAAGTCAAATAAATGATTGCGTTTGACGTGTAGTCGATAAATGAATGAATATTAAAATCTTTTAAACATTGAATGACGTTAAAATGCAATTGTTAATGATTTTAAAAATGATATGTATGGGGTTTAATAAAAAGAACGTTTAAATTTTCCATATATATTTTCAAATGCAATCTCAACGTTTGGTACAGATAATAAAAAATGTATAAAACTCGTTATATTTTTTAAAAATTAAATCATAGATTATTCACACAAGGGTCTTATTTAAGCAACAATATAAACACACTAAGTACCTATAATCTCGTGGCAATCAAACTTTAGCACCACTTATATAGAACTCAATACTATATGTATGATATACTAGGTAATATGCCCTGGATATGTTTATAATTGTACCAGGGTTCTGTAAGCTATATTAAATTCAAGATCTAATATTACAATGGCTAGTCTATAAGGCAACCTGTCTAGGTAGCTCACTTAAGTTATATATGGCAATCTGAACATTACAATTCATTTCATAATTTCTCAGACTATATTATTTGTGATGTACCAGTACATTGTATTATAATGTGTGTTAGTCCATGATGACAATTCAAGCTGCAATAGATTTAGAGATCCGTTAAAGACTAGAAATTATCATCGAGCCTCATTTTTCTTGCCATCACAAATTAAATTCATATTGCAGATTGAAAATTTGAGTAGAACATTTAATACAGTTTGTATCAGTTGTTCAAAGCGAAAATTCAACAAGATATTAGTACACCTAAAGTATGAAACACAGATTTGTATCTTATCTAGTTAGTTAGTTAGTTAGTTGTAGTGACAATTGAGCAAACATAATAGAGATTACACTTTTACCGAAAATTTTATCAAATAATACAATCTATAATTTATAATATTTCTAAAGTGTAACCTCCTGGGAACAAAAATCATCTTAAAACGAAAACAGTCTTTAAAATGTCTTTTAACCTTCCAGTATTTTGGATTCTCATACAAATTACATCATAGTACATATTAAAGAAAATTCACAAAAAAGAAAATACTAATTACAAGTAAAATAAATAATCTCCCAACATAAATTTAAACAGTTAACAAATTCAGTCTCATTGGTAAAAAAAAATAATAATATTAAAATTAAGATCCGATTCTTCCATTAGAGGACATTATGTCAATTACATTATGAATACTAAAATAAATGCAATTATTACAATTAAAATGCTATCAATATAATATTATTAAATTATTTGTATATATTCAATATGATGTGATGACTTACATAGAGTAAGCGTCCAAAGATAAAAAAGTTAATTCATTTCATTTTAATGAATGTGGGTTGCGGTCATATGTTATATAATGTTATAACTACGTATAACTCATTATAAAACATTCTGTTTATATCTATAATACATTTATCTTTCTATTTACAATAAATTCATAATCTAGATATAACATTTTGATCAAATTACATATCTATATTTCAATATGGGTCCATATTTTTTCTAAAATTCTATATTCATATATTAGCTGCCATACAGTAATGCATTATCCACTAGGGCTGTGCTTGGCAGATAATATTCACTTATTAAATTATCTATACAATATTTTAATGATATAAAAGAGGCATTAATAGATTTTTTATCTAACATAGCCTCGATGCCTCGCACATCACTAGTGGAAATGTCTTAATATAACTATTTCAATACTATTTCCTTCAATTCAATACTTGATATATTTAAATATTAAAATTGTCATTCCGATCTTAGTATTTATTATGTTTGTAACAGTTTTGTGCACCGCAACCCTAGTTGTTAAGGAATGAGACGCAATGTGCCAACATATTAATGTTTTCTACCAACCTGTTATATAGTTCTCTTCTGACGCTCGCTGTGAACTTGCTGACCAGACATAAAGTCACAGTGGCAGCGAATATAGCGTTGTATAGAAGCACCAGTTTGAAATTACCGAGCCACTCTATACGACCGAACTCTCCTAGCAGATCGAAATTCGTTATACCTGGAAACACAAAATATATTATATGATATAATATAATGTAATGAATATTACTTATTAGCTTTTATATTAGAGTAAGATGAAATTGTTAGCAAGTTATAGCGATAAGACTACCCGTTGAGTATGTTACATACTATTATTTTTTACTGTTAGTCTCTTATAAGAATAATTTTCATTTCTTATACTAATACAAGTGACTGGTGGCCTAGTGGGTAAAAGGCCCGCTCTCATGCATGAGGGCTTGGGTTCGAAACCTGGCAAGTACCAATGTGATTTTTTAGAGTCATATGTATTTTCTAAGCCAATTTAGACATCACTTACAGAAGGTGAAGGAAAACATCTAAAGGAATCATGGACTTATAGTTTCACAAACAAAAGTTTGAAATCACCAACCCCACTTGAGCAAACATGGTGATTAATGCTCAAACCTTCTCCACGTGAGAAAGAGGCCTTTGCTCATCAGTGGGCGTCTGATAGGCTGATGATGATGATGATGATGATATGTGTGCATGTGTGTGTGCATGTGTGTGTGCATGTGTGTGTGCGTGTATGTGTGTATCTATGTATTACATATAATACCAACCGAGTATCTTAACCAGTAGTGGCTGAGCCGTGGAGTGCGCGAGTAGCACGGTACATAGCGCGATGATTCGTGCGAGCGGCGTGCGTCGTGCTCGAGGCAGCACGCGCAGTGCACGTAGCGGCGTGCCTAAACCGGTGAGCGAAGCTGCGTGGAGGTATAGGATCAAACCGGCTTCTAACGACGCGCCCGCCCAACCAAGCTTGGATAGGGACGCGATGCCAAGAGTGAATTGCTGAAGGAATACAAACATGCTTATTATTATTGAATCATTGTTAACTTTTTTGGTACCTCAAATATAATTCCGTCATTTCTATTTATTACAAACACCACACTCGACAGGTGTCCTTTCATTTCAAATGTGCTTAACATAGTACACCCTTAGTAATATTATAAATGCGAAAGTAACTCTGTCTGTCTGTCTGTTACGCTTTCACGCCTGAACCACAGAACTGATTTTAATGAAATTTGGTACAGAGATAGAGTTGACCTTGAGAAAGAACATATGATAGTTTTTATCCCAGACTTTTGAAAGGTTCTCTTGGAAACGTGATATAACCGAACTACACGCGGGCGAAGCTGCGGGCGGAAATCTAGTCAAATATAATTTTCTATGTTACTGAGCAATTTATCTTGTCAAAAAATATAAAATTTTTAATTTACATACCAAAAATAATGGTTTATCTAAATAAAATATTAAGGCTACATGTATTTTTAGATATATTTTTTTGGCTAAAAATTAAAACAAAAATGAAGGTGTAGATCACACAATATTAAGGGATATGAAAAATATGTGGTGACTTAATGAAAATTGGTGAAGCTAGTTCGAAGGTATTTGACAATAGATTTCGAGACACAAAAATTGCATACATTATATTTTGCTGTTAAATTGCGATTAGTAAACAATTTATATTCATATTTGTAGCAGCAATTTTTATAAACGAAAAATTACATTTGCATAGATGAAATCTATCATTTCGATGCCGTGAAAATTCCAAAGAACCAAACTCCATGAAAACGTGCAATGATAATACAATTGCAGCACTTACCCGAGTACTAAGCGGCAGTGCTTTAATGCCGATGAGCAGCTCGAGTGTATTCTGCAGCACCATGAGTACAGTGATGGTTGTTAAAGCCAGCAGCAGCAGCATAGCCAGAGGATACACTACGTTACGCTGGAACGATGACGTCTTACGCTGACTCTCTACTTGCTGGAAATGTTAATTGAGCATTTAAAGGCGTCGATGTTATAAAGATTGTAATTAGTAGTGTTATAACTAAACGTTTGTCGCTTTGTGATAGATCATGGTGACTACAGATTAGCAATAGGATTGTAGAAAATAAAAAAACTAGTATTTTGTATTCGTACAATTTATAACCAAGTTCTCTTATTAGGTTAAATTATTTGAACTTATTTGAAACCTGTCAAGTACCATATTTTAGCAATAAAGTTAACTATAGACGTGAGGACCTTCGATAATAATCAATCAACAATACGTTATTTGACTTTTATTAAAATATTAAAAAGGAGTTTTGAAACTTGAACTCCAATACAATTTATAGGATCTTCGCTGGCTTATTTATTATATCAGGATTAGAAGTTGTGACCTAAACATAAGCTCTATATAAATTAATATCGATTTTGATAGTATATAGATTATAGATATTAAAAAAGATTAAAATACCCACAGATATCTTGTCACTGAAGAAAAGAGGGAAAGGTTTCCTGAATTGTATTTAATCTGTGGAATTCAAATTCATACCAAGTAACAGATAATATAATAAAGTATCAAACATTTCCCGCCCAAATCTCATTACAAAAATCACATCTACCTAATGTTATTCAACTAGTGATTATAAAGCTTATTAAGCACTTCATTATGTTTACAATATCATCTTATCGTTACGCTAATCGATTCTCCACGGCACAGAGCATTATATTCTATAAACATACAGTAAAATATAATTTAACAAAAACTCGTATAATTTATATATAATTGTATTTCAATGAGACTACAAAACAAAGGATCTATGACCGTCACATCCTGCTACACCGCAATTCTGCCAAATGATCCGTAGTGCCAAGTGCCAACAGAACAATGGAGAAATATACACACAGGCATGGCCATACACCTACCACGAGTTTCCGACGTTATACTAAACACGCATAGTTTTAACTATTACATACTAGTTTTAACCCGCGACTTCGTCTGCGTTAGTCTCATAAAAAAATGTATAGCTGACCGGGAGAATTCTATTTCTCCTTAAAGATAGTGTAGAAGTTTTTGGTTTTGATCTACTTAATTTTATTTTTCTTTTTCAATCGAATGAAATGAATCCTATGTCCTTGTCCTTGTTCTAAATGAACTCTCAATAATTTTTCAGCCAAACGCGTACAGCTGTTCTTGAGTTATAAATGGTGTAACTAATACGACTTTCTTATACATAATACGTAATAATGTATGTTTGAAAAATTAAAACCTCTCCGTATTTTTTGATCATACAAACATATGGACTATGGTAATGGGTCTGCTTGACATACAGAATATTAAACCTACCTTTCTCATAGCGACGACCTGTTTCAGCCTTTGATTGAGACCAGCTTGTAACGCACCATTACTAAGTCTAAGTAGTGGCGTCTCCTTGTTAACTGAATGCCCATCCTTCGATACTTCAGGAGTAACGGGAGCGGATATGTCTCCGCGATCAGGGTACATCGGCTCAGGTGATATGTAGCCCACTCCTAAAACGACATATAGGATAGAAATGAATACACAATACATATCTTTATATATATATATATATATATATATATATATATATATATATATATATATATATATATATATATATATATATATATATAATTCTTCTGTGAGTGTGTATGTCACTGAACTTATCTCAAACGAATGGACCGATTTTGATGAAATTTTTTGTGTGTGTTCAAGGGGATCTGGGAATGGTTTAGATTTACAATTTTGTCCACTGGACAAGGTTTTTTTAATTAATTTTTAATTTATTAGTAGTTGTTGATACAAAACGTTTTCTTGACATTAGATTTGACAACTAACTAATATGTCAATCATCCTGTCGTACTTCAAAACACGGAGATTTATGACTTTAATAGGTAAACTCCAAAAATATAAATAAAAAAACGTAACAGATATTTCTTGATTATAGGGCGATACGAAGTTCGCCGGGTCTCCTAGTTTGTTATACAGGGTGATTGGTGAATTACTATCAATATTTAAGGAGAATACTCGGTACATGATTCTTATTCGAATTGTGTAAAAAAAATAGGTACTTAATTTTTTACCAAATTTCCGTATAAATAAATAAATTGTGGAAACGTTCCAAGTGTTCCAAGTGTGGACGCGTGCGGCGGCGTGCTGATACAACACCACGCCGCACGCGTGTGTGTGTGTGTATACCTAATCTGTAGGATGTTCAAACGATGCGTAATTAATTACATAACTTTTGGTTAACTTTACTTAGAAGTTTATTAATATTTATGTTATATTAATTTTTATTTTGTCATATATGATCGTCAAATATCACGTCCTCAAGTATCGATAGTAATTCACCAGTCACCCTGTATATATGTATTGATTGGTCTGTTTTAATAGAGGAAACATAAAGTATAAAACAAAAAATTAAAGCAGCGATGATTATTATTTTATAAATTTTGGAAATGAATTTACGAGAAAAATAAGTTAAAATAACGATGTTGCTTACAAAAAAGTAATTTAAAACATACATTCAGTTATAATAATAGCGATTACTTTTAGGTTTAACTAAAATGGAAAAATCAAGAATCGTTTATAATTGAGAACAAATATTCTGTTGCAATGTAAATTCTAAAAGAATAAAAGCATTCGTAGTGCTAAGTCATTATGAACTCTTAATTATCATTGTATTTTTTAACCTTTCTCTCCATCGTTAATGTGTCATAAAAATACATATAATTAAAAAAACGTATATTTTTGGATTTACTACGTGGCTTTTGTTATTTTTATTACACGTTCCCGACATTTCGGTTACTTTTCAGCAATCGTGATCACGAGCAGACGTGGTGAAAATTTTATATCCGAAAATATTAGTTTTATATAAATTAATACTAGCGAAACTAAGATATCATTATTACATATAATTGTAAATAATATTATTTTTATATCATATATTCAGACAATAGATTACATAATTGCTAGTAGTAAGTCATTTCAATCGGTTAAGGCAAATGACTTGATAATTAACAGCGAATCGTATTAAAAACGACAGACAGACAGCAAAAGCAAAGTAAATACTTATGGATCCTTCAATTTTTAAAAAAGTTCTATCTAGTCAATATTCTAAATGAATGAAAAAATACTTTCCCTACTTCCTTGACTATAAATCAGAAATAAAAAAATATTGTTATCTTTTCTTCCTAGAAATTTGTTAGTAAAATATTGAAAAACTTTAAAAGAGATTATATAATAACAATTTTGGTTGTTTTTAACGAAGGAGTGTGTTTACAACAATTTTGTAACGTCACACTACATGCGAAAGATTTCCCGTTCCTCATTCAATAACCTATGTTAATACTATAATGTGAGAAGATTTATTAATGAAAAACTGTTCATGCTAAGTTTGTAGTGGGAATACGCAAACTTTCGATTAGCAAACTGCAAAAGAAATATAAATAACTTGAGATATTTTCTTTACATTTCAAGTTAATATCAAAAAGTAGTTAATTATTTTTCGGTTCTCAACATCAATCCTCATCATATAACCTTCATATAAACTTGTTTCTAGTAACAAAAAAGAGATATGATTAAAAAAAAATGTATGCCGGGTCATGCGCATACAGAATTCAGATGTAGCGTCAACAAAAGTCACGTATTTATTCAAATAACAAGGTCGCGTTATGGAGGCCAGAGTTAGCCATGGTTAGGAACAAAATGTATAATGACGCTTCATTATCTGATAGACATCTCTTTTTTATATATACTCTTTATTGCACACCAATATAGACAAAAATAATAGGAGTAAAACAAAAACAAAGAACAGAAAAATGTACAATAGGCGGCCTTATGGCTAAAACAGCGATCTCTTCCAGGCAACCATTGGTAGAGGAGAGAGATAGGATAGTAGAGGTTTACAAATTATTTAATACATTAAAAAATCTCTCATCTTCTGTATGCTTAATCCAAGTTTGCATTATCGTATTACATACGAGAGACGAAACCTCTCATCATTCCATGTATTCACGGTGCGTGTGTCGGGTCCATCGTTGTAGTGAGAGGAGCTTCAACAGTGCCTGGGACTTGCGACCCAGGTGTAGGTTTAAGGGACCCTATCTAACGCGCGTTAAACGCTCACATCCACCGTCCAAGCTCCTCTCTCTACCAATCTCTATAGTGTAGTGAAGTATTACCAAAAATCTGTTAACGCTCTGTTCTTAGAATGACGTTACTAAATTGGACAAAGCATACCGTAGATATTTTAGATCGATAGGATATTAGACCGTCAGTCAGTACTAGTCAATAATATTAAAGTATTTATTCAACACAAATTTTATTAACACGTGAAACAATTAAAATCGTTAAAAATCAGGAATTGACACAACTAAAATAACCAAAAATCTGTAATCTGAGTTGATACCTAGCCCATCTGTACTTACTGAGTTGTCGAACCGGATTTTCAAGATTAGAAGAATATATTGATCATCCTGAAAATATTGATTCACTTTCTGACAGTAATACTGCAGTTGATATCGATGTAAATAATACTCCAAATAATCTTACTTGTATATATTGTGATCAAAAAACTAAAAAGCACAAGTCCAAACGATTGCCTCTAATTACGTCAGATAAAAATGTATTTCTATCTAAAGCTAAAAATCAAAATGAAAATCATACAGAATTCTTGGAAAAAATTGTAAATTATCCACATTCTAAAATACACTATCACAATATCTGTCAATTAAATTTTTCTTATGAAACTTCATCAAACAAAAAAACTACTACAACTCATTGGCATAGTCTTTGTAAACCTTTTGATATTTACTTTAAAAATTTAAAATTAACTTACTTAAAAAAATTTAAATTAATAAAACAGTTTGTAAGGTACAATTGTATAATTATTGCGGTCAGATGAGCACTTTTCTCAAAGTTAATCTTTGATTATTTACGTGATTTTCAAATAGAAGGAGAGAAGCAATGACACTCATGTCTGTCTCACTCGCACTTATGCGCACGGATAATGCCCGTGCCCCTACTCTCAGCGACATGAAAATTGGGTCTGGTGAATGTTTGGCCCCTTGGATCGGTCTGTCCGTTTGCAAAACGTTTTAAAATAATTGTTTGAATAACATATATAAAAATCAAGCATCAGAAAAATAAGTGACCTTAATTAATTTTTTTAATAGCTTTGAAGCGTCTGTAAGGTAAAACCGCCGACCGCATGTGTCTGGGAGTAATGAATCCTGATTTTTAACGATATTGTGTGAAATATATGTTAAAATCAGCTATCAGAATTTAAGTGAAGTGAGCAGTATTTCTATGTACCTTGATTAATTGCTACCTGAAAAATGGCCGTCTGGCCAAGGTAGCAACTAGTCATATGATCATAGCACACCCCACCACTACTCACTCGTATATATTTTGTCCATCAGAAAATAAGTGACGTCTGGGAGCTCTGGGATCTTGGACTACTACTCCATTCTCAATAATGAAGGTTCCATGTAATAAAGATAACACACTAATAGCTATTAAATTTGTTACAATTCGAACATGTTTATATATCAATATAATATATATAATTTATATTCTACTTATACAGGGTGCCTGTGAATTACTATCGATACTTGAGGACGTGATATTTGACGATCATTTATGACAAAATAAAAAATAATATAACATAAATATTAATAAACTTCTAAGTAAAGTTAACCAAAAGTTATGTAATTAATTACGCATCGTGTGAACACCCTACAGATTAGGTATACACACACACATACGCGTGCGGCGGCGTGGTGTTGTATCAGCACGCCGCCGCACGCGTCCACACTTGGAGCACTTGGAACGTGTCCACACATTATTTATTTATATGGAAATTTGAACAAAAATTAAGTACCTATTTTTTTTACATAATTCGAATGAGAATCATGTACCGAGTATTCTCCTTAAATATTGATAGTAATTCACCAGTCACCCTGTATATTATATCCCTACTAATATTATGAATGGGAAAGTAACTCTGTCTGTCTGTCTATTACGCTGTCACGCCTAAACCACTGAACTAATTTTAATGAAATTTGGTACAGAGATAGAGTTGACCTTGAGAAAGAACATAGGATAGTTTTTATCCAAGACTTTTGAAAGGTTCACTTGGAAAAGCGATATAAACGAACTCCACGCGGGCGAAGCTGCGGGCGGAAAGCTAGTAACAGTATATTTATAATCATATCTCACCTGTGGTTACCGCATTGTTAATTCTACGTCTTATCGTGTCTTCTTCAAATGAGTACACGTAGTATTCTTCGTTTAGATCTCTCAGGAACTGCGGCTTCACGAGCACTCCGCCCACCACACCGAAAAGACGGACGAAACCCAATGGTGTGAACACTGAATAAATAATTTAACATAAGAAATAAAACTAACTAAAGAAATGAAACTAATATTTTCCGATATCCTAAAAAAGTAGCCGAAACGTGGGGAGTATGTAGTTTTTATGTAAAATAAAGTAGCGTGGATTCTGTGAAAAATATTAGTTTCATTTAAATGAAAACTCGTGAAAATTAATTAAATAATAAAATATTAAATTTTAATTATATTTAAAAAGCAACGAAGTATTATTTAATTTTAATCTTATATTAATATACATTATTTTTATACCATCTTACATGCTGGTTATAAAATCGATCTATTTTCAAAATGTCCACGTATCAGCGGTTGCTATGTAAACAGATGCGTCAAACGAACAATGATGATTGCTGAGCAACGGGTTTGTTTATAGAAACATTGATATATACTTAAATAATTCTGACGAACGATCATACATAATGAGCAACAGAGCATTGTCCAATCCTGCGTTAAAGGACCATAAAACTATCGAACTCAACGAGGAATGGAATAACTTTATGAAGAGAATAGGAGAGGTATCAAATCTGGTCAAAGATATGGCCAGCGGTGACAAGGAAAGAGCGGAGGCTGCTAAGATTGTAGCTGACAAATACCTAGAGGGAAAAATGATTTTAGACGATGATGTCAAAATGGTCGTCAAAGAAGATAGGACTGTTATTAACGAAAATGCTTTCAAAACAATGGGAAAGAAAGATACAGTAAGTGAGAATATTCATCAAGATAGCATTCCTATGAATTCCGTTAGTACAATAACAATACCGTATTATGACGTCATAGAAAATATTTATTGTCGTATGATAATGGTACGCATTGAATTTAAGTAGAACGAGTATTCGTGAATTGGGTTATCTATTCATAGCTTACAACTGCGACTTATTTCTAGTTCATTAACATGTAGTAGATAAAAACTTACGTATATATTATACATGTAGTATGTTTGCCTTTGTGAAACCAATTTCGCTGGCCACTATATACAGGGTGACTGGTGAATTACTATCAATATTTAAGGAGAATACTCGGTACATGATTCTCATTCGAATTATGTAAAAAAATAGACACTTAATTTTTGACAAAATTTCCGTATAAATAAATAAAGTGTTGACACATTCCAAGTGTTCCAAGTGTGGACGTGTGGGGCGGCGTGCTGATACAACACTACGCCGCCGCGCGCGTATGTGTGTGCGAGTGTATACCTAATCTGTAGGGTGTGCACACGATGCGTAATTAATTACATAACTTTTGGTTAACTTTACTTAGAAGTTTATTAATATTTATGTTATATTAATTTTTATTTTGTCATATATGATCGTCAAATATCACGTCCTCAAGTATCGATAGTAATTCACCAGTCACCCTGTATATAGCTAACGACTTAGGCATTTACTTACGCTACATAGATGTATAATAGGTTGTACGGTAAATTATATATAGGCGATATATTTGTGTTTCGAATAACAGTTTCGGTTGTATGAGTTCGTTCACCTTTTTATTATCATCTACTTTTAGGATATGAAATCGTCTTCGACTATACTGACTTACAATGTTGTAAAAATAAACTAGCGCTTTATTTTAGAAAGGAGATAAAAAGGTATTATTCAGAAACCGCCTCAAAATTTTCAAAGTGTTTATATGAGTTATACGAAATATACTTGTAGATAATTGCATAACTTAAATAGCTACAACGCATAGTTCGCGATCCGTGACTAAGTGGTCGTCACGAGCATTTAGGTGCTTATCTTACCGAAGTAACCCGGTTTTATAGAATTAGTTATGCATTTCGATAATATTATTGTATTATAGAAAAAAATATTTCTCTTATATGAAAATTTAACCTGTAATTTGAATCTCTACTTACAAAACAACATTTTTGATGTCTTGTTTTAATCACTCAAAATCAAAACACAAACAAAAATAACTTGTAGAATAGAGGTTTAACAAAACATGTATTTTCCATTAATTTCAAATTCATGAACTATTTGAAATAAAAACCATTAGCATAACTTTATCGTAAGTAATAGTTAAAAGTCAATATTATTATTTTAGGGTGAAATTGATAAAGACGCTTGGATGGCAGAAGTCAGTAAGGATGCTGAGAGAAGAGCATTAGATAGAAAGATACGTATGGAAAAAGCTGATACTCTCAAAACTCAGGCGGTCAAAGCATTCCGAAGAGAGGACTATGACAGAGCTCTGTCCTGCTACAACAAAGCTATAGAACAGGTTAAAGATAACGCCATGCTGTACTGCGATCGTGCTTTGACCAATATCAAACTTGGGAACTATCAAAAGGTAAGAAATACATCTTTATACATAGAAGAAAGTCGTGTTAGTTACACTATTTATAACTCAAAAACGGCTGTACGGGTTTGGCTGAAAAATTGATGGAGAGATAGGTGACAGCTTATAACAAGGAAAAGGACATAGGATAATATTTATCTGATTGAAAAAGAAACAGAAGTTGATCGTATCCAAAATCTCCTTATTTACTGCCTCTAAGGAGGAATAGAGTTTGTCTGGCCAGCTATACATTTCTAATTCTGAAACTAACGCAGACGCAGTCACGGCCAGAAACTATAGTTTATAATAAAGTTGTACGGCGGTACGCAACTCACACACACGCATCTACCTCATAATATTAACACTTCTCTATTTGCGTATATAAAGTTAAGATTGAGAAAAGTCGCATAGTCGAGTATAGTATAGTATTTTTTAGTCACAAAACTAAAAGACTATACTTAGATAACGTTTATTTTTAAACAATAGTTTGAAACAATAACAAACGTATCCATCTTATTCTTTATGCTATTAATTTATTTATACCGATCAAACAAATTGAAATATCTAATGCGTTTTATTAATGCTAAACATTTGAACCGCTTCCAACACTACGGGATAACTACGAAATGTTCTAAAGTCGTAGATCGTAAAAAAATTATAAAGAAACACGTGTAGTGAGGTTACGCAATTGCTAATAAATTAATTATTTATATAAATATATAAATTTTAAGTAGCTTTTAGATTGATTATCTAAATAAGGCTATAGAGTTTAATATTTATGTTATACCATTACAAGAAAAAACTAGAGACGAATTGATTTAAGCCTCCTCCATTTAAAGATATATAAAACCTAAACAAATACTTTGCTCATATATATAAAAGATTTTAATTCTAAAATGTGTTTGTATCGTTACACTAAACAGTGTATTTTAAAAGGTTTTTGTTCATCAGTTATTAGATGAAACGAATAAAACGGGAAACGCATCGTATGAATTAAAATTATATTAAACATGTTCTTCTACCTGGCAATTTCCCAGCTATAGCCAGGGTCTGCCTTACATGTTGTTAATAGTTTTGGCTAATTGTTTTTACGACCGGCCGCCTGCCTGACATCAACCCTCTTTGGGAAGATTCAAAATTATATTAAACATATACCATGCTTAAGATTCAATTAGTTATGATAGACGTGGCCGTAATCGTATCACTAAAATAGAAATATTAAAGTAATTTATTACCAGAAGCGTGTCAAGAACTACTGATAAGAGAAAGAAAACGAATCAAATGTTATAATTTACGATAACGATAATATAATACATATTTCCAGGTGTTCAGTGACTGTGAGTGGGCGATGCGTATCAATGAAAACAGCTTTAAAGCGAGACTTTACAGAGCTAAAGCACACAAGGAGCTGGAAAATATTGAGTATGAAGAATGCAGGAGGGAATTGGATGAAAAATTCCCACAACATGATGACCTTATAAAATACTTCCTAGATAAAAACGACTATGATGACGCCTAAATTTACATACATTTTTATATAATTGTTTTGTTTAAATAAATTTCATACTAAATTGAATTAGACAATAAGTGGATTCATTGTATTTAGCTCAATCCATACCGTTACCGATAATACTAATCCAATCGATCTGTTACACAATTTGATAAATATTTCGTAGGGTCAATTACTAGTCTGATAATAATTATTGATAATTGTATCGACCTTGAAAGCACAGACATTTGTTGTTAGGACAGTTTTAGTAACAACACGTAATTGTTACAAATGATTGTTTAATCTTACTAAAATTATAACCGAAAAAGTCTGTAAGGATGTATGGATGTTTGTTAAGCTTCACGAAAAAACTAGTAGCTTTAACATCAGTATAGGATATGGGCTATAATTTATTCGTAAATTCCATTTAGTTGGCGCAGGGTCACGGTATAACACTTGTATTGTGATCAGTACATGATGCCACGTAGCACAGACTATAAATAACGCAACCGATTGGTTACCATCACTATTATTCTAAGACACTTCATAAATTTCTTTCCGAATCTAATTCTGAAGTCGAAATAGCTATATATAGGACAACTAAATATTCTAACCTGGCCTATATGACCTATAATAAAAAAAATATTTAAAAAATATTCATAAGTTTGTCAATCAAGCTGCCAAAGTCAATGGAAATTGAAATAAAGAAAATATTTAAAATTTATAAAAAGAAACTTAAGCCTTTAGAAGTAAGTACATTTGCTAGTAAACTAATCCAATATAACTCACCAAGTAACATGAGAACACCAACAAACGACACACAGGAGTAGAGAAACGGAAGATATGTCCATAGATCTGGGGACAAATTGATTTATATATAAAGAAATGTATTAAAATATAATGTGTACTGTGTAGATATATAAAATAAAAACAGTCTTTATAATTTCTGCATAATACAAAATACTATATAAATACATGTATACCAGTAATATAACATTTTCTATTACTGGTATACATGTATTTAAGTAGTAAATTTATTTGATGAAGTGATCTTTTACATTCTTGTTGTACATAAATTATTTTTTTTATTAAAGAGTTAATCATTAAGATAAAATTAATATTTTTCAGATACATTGGCTCAGGCCAGATGTGCCTTCACATATCGTCTTCCCGTGATCACGGCTGCTGAAAAGTAGCCGAAACATCGGGAGTATGTAGTTTTTTACATAAATAAAGTCGCGTAGTATATCCGACAAATATTAGTTTCATTTAAATAAATAAAAGTCGCGAATATCTTAGATCTCATTATGAGTTAATCATTAGCCCAAAAACCTGTTTTTTATCCACATGACAACAAAATAATGGATAACATATAATAAAGCGAAATTAAATAAATTAATAACAAACTTTCTGACACATCTTTAATGAAATTAGTTTTAAATATTTCTAACCATTTATATATTCACATACAATGTATCCAGTCTTCTTTTAGTTAAGAAATATAATAATTACAATATTATTAATTCATTTAATGAAAACTATTTTCTCAAACATTATAAAATCTAGTTATAAATCTAGATATCTAAATAAAGAGAAGGGAAAGCTTATGCAACATACAAACAGGAAAAAACATAACATTGCCTATATTAGGTTGTCAAGAGAAATGTTTGCTGTAAATAATAAATATTATACAAGACAATAGAGAGTGAAACAGAAAAAAATTAACAATTGAATAGTGATCATCACATACACACAACATTAGTCATATGATTATTATATTTGAAAACAATATAAATATCGCTGATTTATAATAATATATATGTACTATAAAAAAATTCTAAAGTCATAAAAATTTGTGTAATATGATATTAAAATAATAATAATTCATTTATAAAAAAGAAAACAATATCACAATATATTTAACTTTTAATGTAATGTATTATTTAGAAACCGGTTATGCAAGAAGCCAAGGTAATCTTGGAAAAAAATTATCAATATCTATGATTAAAGAAATAGATTTTTATTTCTAAGAATCTAAATTAGACAACACATAATATGTAGAAATAATTTTTAGAAATATGTTCTATGTTGGCATAAAAAATGTAAATACATTTATTTAAAGGAAATTTAATGGAAGTTTAAAAGTAATACCATTAAAGAATTCATTAATCTACTAGTTTTATCATTTTCAAGTCCTAATGACTTGCCACATGACCATAAGTTATTATTAAACATATTTCATTCACTTACAAATTATGAAAACAATACAAAATATTTGTATGATGTATTTAATTACTCTTGAAGGAATATATTAAATGTACAATACTCATAGTGCAATCATGATATCACTACAAAATATTCCATATAAATAAAATATATATATATCAACATGTTTCTTTAACCAATATTAAAACCAATTTAAAATAACACTTATTTCAGAAGCTAATATAAATAACTACAGGCTCTATTACTTCAGTTAAAAACAACTTAATGTAGTTATTTTGCACCAGAGAAAAAACATCTATCCATTCTCAGTAACTTTAAAATTAATGATAATGGTAGAAGATAATTATATATTAATAATGTACTTACTCAATAAAGCATCCAAACTGGATCTATCACCTTCCAGCCAAGCTGATATAACATATGCCAAGCCCAGCATAGCCACTCCTAATAGAGCCAATACAATAAATGTCTCATATACACGGCCCTTCAGACCTCTACAGCCCGGGAAACCAGTGGACTCGGAGAAAAGATAGGCAAACGGCAGGAACACAAACAATGATAGATTCGAAAATAAGAACACATGATTCCATAGCCCTGAAAAAGAAAAAAATACTAAAGATGTACACATTCCAAGAGAACAAAGTAATCTATATATGTATATAAAAGAAAGTAGTGTTAGTTACTCCACTTATAACTCAAGAACGGCTGAACCGATTGAGCTGAAAATTGGTAGGGAGATAGTTTAGAGCCAGGAAATTGCAATAGGATACTTTTTATCCCATTTGAAAGCATTCCCATGGGACTTGTTATTTAATAAATGATAACATACAGGCATAATACATAAACTTCTTTGTGTTGAACTAAAAATAATTCAAACCATCATCAAAAGTTTAGTAAAATAATGCTAGCATGGTAAAAATCTTTGTGCTAACCTTGAATGAGTGAGCTATTGAGCCATTTAACATAATAGCTGTTTGGATACAGTATGAGCACTTCATTGCTGACTATTGATACTGGCAGCAGGAGTGCAGAACCTAGAGACACGGCCAGTGCGAAGGTACAAAGCCACAAACTGATTCTGTAAACCTTAACTTCGTCTTCATCAGCCGTAAAATAATCCTCACTGTCGCGACGACGGAACTTCTCGATGAGTATAAACGATAATAGATACAGAAGTATAAAAAGCAGAAGAAATATCTGAAAATAACGAGTTATTTTAATTTAGAAGGCTAAGAACTTAAGAACTTTATTTTAGAAGGCAATTAAATATAATTAAACATACTATCTGCTCCCTAACGTTATTGTGGAATATCTGCTCACGCAAGTCCGCCTCCTCATCATCCATCGCCTTTTTTTTCGCTTTATTATCTTTGTATAAAAATCCCTTTTTCAATTATAACATCGAAATTGCACTTCATTTTTCAAATTAAAATTTCATCTTTATTATTTCCAACGCCACAAAACACAATAAACTCTCTTTGTTTACTTAACGTTTACTAAAATAATGGCCTCATCGCTAAATCACAATCAGATTGTCTCGTTTTTATCGAGACTATTTTCTATTTTTTAAAAAAACTACAACACTCAAATGAAAGAACTGAAAACACGACTAATTTTTGGATCAGCTGAACAGACGGAGAAAAAAAGCATTTTTACAGACAACAATAACTAGCACAGACTGCTTATGAGGAACTAAACATGCAGGGTATAGAGTATATACAATAGGGAAGTCAATTTATATAGATGAAAATTATTAACTTAAATTTAATTTATTTCATTATATTATTGTCAATCTTTAGTTTTATTTTTAAATTTACTACCTGAACACAAAACATTATAATATTTTTTTACACCGTTTGTTCTTAGGAGCTATTAAAGTAAAACCGAAAAATATTCCTTTTCGTAACAAAAGGTTGCTTAGAATAATTAACACAGTGCTATTTAAACTATGTTTTATGTTATCAAAAAAGATGACAATTTTAGTTATATACAGTTTTAATAAATTCAAATGGAAAGTCATATATAAACATTTAAGTTTCCATCCGCCCTACATATAATTTATCTCAAAAATAGGCAAATACTTTCCAACTCTAAAATAACTAGGTAAACTGTAAAAATCTCAATGCAAACAAACCCGTCCCACATTGACGCTTTTATAAATATTCGATTATCATACGCTATCATTATCGAAAAAGACAATTTGACATGCGACATATGACAAAACAACTGTTGATTTCTGAGACTGCTGTCTTATTGTGAACTGTCACATTTCACAATATGATAAACGGCAACTGATAAATATTGAATTCTAACAAGTTGTTACAAGTTCGTACTTGCCGCGTGCTTGTTATAATTAAAATAATGAAATATTATTAATTTTGCTTGTGATAATTAATTTTATTTACTAAGTAATCATGTTTTTATAATAATAAAGAGAAAAAATCATCTCGACATGAAATACTCAATTATTTAATCCAATCTCATTGGATAAATAAAATAATATTTATCGATTAAGAATATTACAAGAATATAAGTTTTCTTTACACTATATAAAATACTATGGACAGCAGTGGTGACAAACCCTCAAAGATAGGTAAATTATCCTCTGTTTAATAATGACGTTTTTTATGTAGTTTAGTTTTAATCATATATTTCCCCTTTTAACAAAAAGAATTGTAATGAAACATTGCAACGAAAAATCTATTACTTTGTATAATATAGTTTTTAGAGAAAATTCACCATAATACTTACTATTGCTAGATATTACATATACAAATAGAATCTACATATTAGTATAGTGTAATAACTTATGCCAAGGTACAATTTTTTTAGACTTATCATTTGTGAAGCCAGAGTTCTCTGTGCGGATAGTGGTCTGTGATCATTATTTGACTAGGCCAATTCCTGGAATAGATGTTATTTATTCAGAATTTAGGGGTTCTGATATTAAACAAGTAAGTGTTTAGAAGTTAAATTTTAAGAAACTTTTGAAACTATTATTATATTTCTAAATCTGTTTCATGATAGATTTAGTCAGTGGTGGCCTAGTGGTTAAAGGGTCTGCCTCTCGTTGGCGAGAGTGCGGGTTCAAACCTGGCAAGTACCAATGTGATTTTTCGGAGTCATATGTACTTTGTGAGAGTATTTAGACATCACTGACATACGGTGAAGGAAAACATCGTGAGGAAACCTGGACTTATAGTTCACAATTATAAGTTTAAGATCACCAACCGGTCTTGAGCAAGCGTGGTGATTAATGCTCAAACTTTCTCCATGTGAGAAAGAGGCCTTTGCTCAGTAGTGGCCACTGATAGGCTGATGACAATAAATATTTGCTTCGAAAATTAATTAACTATATTAACTGATAGTAGAACTACCACAAATAAAAAAAATCATTGTGAATGATTTTACTTGTGGGGTTCCTGTCTTTATTACAACTACTTGAGTAGAGAAATCAAAAGATAAATTTTAAGGGTTTTACCATAAGATGTTTGAAAATATAAATAATTTCTAGGTACCAGTTTTGAGAGTGTTTGGACCTAGTCCTGGTGGTCAAAAGGCATGTTTGCATATTCATGGTGTTTTTCCCTATTTCTACATCCCATGCCCTGAAGCAAATCCTCAACCACAGTTTTTATATCAGGTAAGTATTTTTTATACCAATGTCACATTAACAGCTTTTTATATACATACTCAAAGATCTCAAGTAATTTTTTAATCTCAAAAAAGTAGATATTACAAACATGTTTTTGTAGTAAAAGATTACAAGAAACAATTGAAAAGTTGTGTTAATTACTAGTAATAGGTACTAAAATAGGATTTGAAAACACATGTTTCCCAATCAAAAGTCTGGAAAAAATTAGTGTTGCCAATGTGGCAAATGTGGCAACTGTGCCATTAAAGTAGCTACATTCAAATGACAAATATAGGGTTCCCTTAGTATAAAAAAACTTAGAAATCAGTATTTATATTAGTTATTATTTTTTTATAGATTGCTGCAAGTCTTGACAAAGCATTAAACATTGCTCTAAAACAAGCCACATCAGCAAATCAACATGTTTATAAAATAACAGTGGTTAAAGGACTGTAAGTAACTCTATTTTTTTATTTATACTTACTTCTATGAATAAGTTTCACAATTTCATATAAAACTACATATAATATATCTTTAACTTGGCAAATCTTTTTCAGACCATTTTATGGTTATCATGATAAAGAACATCTTTTTTTGAAAATATTCCTGTACAATCCTGGTCTTATCAAACAAGCTGTGGAACTATGCTGTAATGGAGCCGTACTGGGTCAAGCATTCCAACCTCATGAGGCACATTTAAATTTTACATTACAATTCTTTATAGATTTTAATCTATTCGGTATGAGCAATATTGATATACAGACGGTTAAATTTAGAAAAACGGGGTTCTCACAACACAGTGATGAACCTGTCATAAGTGATGATAATTTCGATCTTAAAGCTGAAAGTATCTGTTTTTACGAAGCCGATTGTATGGCGTCACACATTCTGAATCGTCGCTATGTGAGTAAAGGCGATGGAATTGAGAATCCTGGCTTAGAAGAAGTATGGCACCAGGAAATGGAGAGGAGGAAACAATTGAACATCTCTATGGCTTCAAAATCTCTGTCCCAGACCCGTTTAAATGACGAAACAAATACACATAAGAAATACGAAAACATGATATTAGTTAAACTATCAAATTTAGACGATAAACCAGTTGAAATTAATAATAAAAATGTGAATGAACTCATACACTATCCTGCAGAAAGTATGGAAGGATCTCAGTTATTAAACGCAACAGATATTAGCCATCACATACGGGAGAGCACTATTAATGAAAATATGAATAACACTTTAAGAAATATAAGAGAAGATTCTAATTATAATTCTTTTGACACTTTAGTTAATGAAGACATAGCTTTGAATAGTAGTTACTCTCTTCATTACAGTCAGGTTATGTGTGAGTATTATCTTTTACTTATTAATAAAACCATATTTAGAATTATGACGAAATTTGTTTTTAGTGGATAGTGAAGATTTGGAATTAGTAGACATGTTGCAAGATCTGGAAGAAAAACCAGTAGACGAAGATAGTGTTATGGGTACCCAAGTTGAAGATAATACAGAAAATGACATAGATTCTGACAACGAAGAATATTCACAGGCTTTCAATGATGAAACAATATTGATGGAAGTTAAAAGGTGATTATATGATACATATGTTGTTATAGTTAAAAGAGTGTTATAAAATTGTATCCATGATATATTTCAGTTAAATAATTACAGCGACAAAGACAGCGGTGACATAGCGTCATCTTGGAGCGATTCTATCTGGGAAGACGCGAATATTCCACAGCTAGATGGAACCTGCGACGATGAACGTGAGTTACTTAATATTCACACCAAAAAACCTGTTTTGAAATTATTAATATATATGTATATAAAGAATGTACAACTGATAATTCATTTGACTAAAATTTTGACTGCTATCATAATTTAAAATTCAATATGCTATCATAAATAATTTTTTCCCTTACTCATTTTAATGTTAACGTTAAAAATGTGATTTTTCAGACGTAAAAAAAGTGAGAAAAAGAAAAATGAGACCTATTAAAGTTGGCCTGTCAAGACCTAGAAGTAAAAGATCCGTTGAACCGGTGTTGATTAGTGACAAGAGTAATAGTGTAGATGCTAATGATTCAGATGAGATCAACGTTTCCATGGAAACAGTTGAGAATATATCGAATTTACATCTCAGAAGAAGCTGTAAAGCAAGTGATAACAGTATCGATACCTCGAACAATGAACAGTCAGTTACAGATTTAGTGCAAAAACTTAGTACAAATGAAAATAATGATAATAATTGTTATAATCATGATGTAAATATAAAAGAAGAATTTGAACCAGTGGCTGGACCTTCTAATATTAAGAATAATATGTTAGATAATAACATAGAACCAGATCCTTATAGTGATTTAGAATCTTCTTTAGACGATAATGCAAAGGGAATAGAAAGCTTCTACGACAAGTCGGTTTTCTTTGATTTGTCATTAGAAAATGACTTGCCGGAATCTCAACAATCTGAATCCATCTTAAAATGTTATAATGAGACTCCTGAGAAATGTGCAATACTAGATAATAAAATTCCTATAAAACATGAAAAATCAGAATTTCCAATCTGTGATGTTAAATATTCGGATGATAGGATACTAATACCAAAATTCAGACCTCCATCTAAAGAATACGTGATATCAACATTAGATAAATATAACATACCGAAAGCTGTAAATCCAGAACCTTTCTTCTCGAATTACAAAGACGTGGGTGAAAAAGTCGAAATCGGTCAGATCATATTGAAGCTACAAAGCAGATTAGCTCGCGACCAAAAACCATTCGAGCAAATATTAAACACAACAAGTATAGAAGAATGGAGACAATTGTTATTCTTGCAGTCCAACGAAATGTCCCAAGAATCTTCCAAACCGGAAAAATTGAGATTATTATTAGCTGGTAACAGACATTGTGTGTTACAACCTGTTAAACTTGCACCCTTAAGAAGCGATGTTGAAAAATGGCTTTCAAATGAGCACAACAAATTAAAAACTGAAGAGATCTTTGATAATAATGACACGGAAATCGGAATGACTGTTGATGATTTAGAAAACTCACAAGCTTTGGGTCTCAATGAGTTAAACAGCAGTATCAGTTTGGAAAGTACAAACAAGGTACTTAAATATAATTGTAAAGTCGAATAATGTTTTTGATTGCGATCTATATCTAATTTTCTCTTTACAGGAACAAAGTGAATTAAACACTTCTCTTCAAATAACAATGCATCCAGACGGGTCATTTCTATGTTTTGGTAGCGGTGATTCAAAAACGGATATTAATACGCCAACAGTGGAGGTAGAAATATCACTTATTAGTCTAATTCATTCTTATGCTGGTACAATAAAGGTAAAATTCTTTTTAGACAGATTTCCTTACTATTATGCTGCTGGAAGTACATACTTTAACCAGAGGAGACTTTTATCCCGATCCTGCGATAGATAATATAATGGCTCTATTCATAACAGTTACAAATAATTGTCCCGTTAATCATTATTTACAAAAAAATATTACTGAAATTTTTATCGTCGATGATAAAAAAGATACTAAATATTTGAATAGATGCGTTTTTAAGTATAACGTAAATTATGTTGAAAATGAAAACGAGCTATTGGAGAAGCTCGTGGAAATAGTTAAGAAACACGATCCAGATATCATGTGTGGGTATGATATAGAATCGAAATCCTGGGGCTATGTTCTGGAAAGATCTACGGTATTAGGGCTTGAGATGGTGAGAGAACTTTCTAGAATCACGGAGAAGAATCGCCAGAAACGGTACAGACAAGATGAGAACGAAATGGAAGGGAGAGTTATTGGTAGAATAACGTTTAATGTTTGGCGACTGTTTAGACACGAATTGGCGCTGTCGAGCTATAGTTTTGAAAACTGTATGTATGCGATACTTAACGAACGGGTTCCTAAATACGGTTATAGAAAACTAACTGAGTGGTGGAACCACGAATCCAGGATCCTGAGGTGGATTCCAGTGGAATACTATTTAACGAGATTATCCGGAACTGTCAGGATGTTGGATAAACTTGATATGATAAGTAAGATATATTTAATATTTATTTAAATATACTATACAGCACTTCAGTTTTGTAAAACATTAACTCTTTACTATTGTTTTGCTATATTATAAAAAAATATTCAAGGTATTTAACGAAATCCGCATCAACGCTGACAATTTTTTTATTCAATTAATATGGTTTTGAAACCTTCACATTCAATCATCAGCAGATTGCCAAAAGAACATTGCAGATACAATTTTTTTCCTATCTTGACACCATTGAATACGGAAATAATTATACGTCTCATAACTATATATGTAAATACGTATGTTTCATTGATTTAGTCTTTCTATTAGAAATACTACGTCAATGCAGGTTAAAAAAAAATATTATATAAATATTTTTTGAGGTGGTAGAGCCTAGCTGTGGTCAGTTACTACAGCTCGAACATGGGCTGGCTCGACCGGGGAAGTACCACCCTCTCGCAGAAAATCGGCGTAAAGTAGTCTTTACAAGACTGCGTTTCGTCTGGTGAGTGAGAGAGCCGGTTACCCTTTCCCTTTTCCCACCCTTTCCTTTCCTTATTCCCACCCCTCCCTATCCCCAAAAAACAAGGTTGGCAACGCATCCGCAACAAAATGTTGCGGATGTCCATGGGCGACGGTAACCACCTTCCATCAAGTGGGCCGTCTGCTCGTTTGCCACCTTTCACATAAAAAAAAAAAAAAAAAAAAAAAACATTATACGAAATGAATGTTTATCTTCTTTAGACCGTACGTCAGAGCTGGCTCGTCTGTTCGGCCTCCAATGGTGGGAGGTTTTATCTCGAGGGTCACAGTTTAGGGTGGAGTCCCTCATGCTGAGAGCCGCGAGACCTCTCAACCTCGTCGCGCTGTCACCCTCCGTTAAACAGAGGGCAGCTATGAAAGCACCGGAATGTCTTCCTCTCATATTTGAACCCGGTAACGTATATAAAAACCTCGAAGTATAAGTTTAATGTCAAAATACGAAATACGAATAGAGTATTTTTATTTTATTTACTTAGGAACACCAACAGTACACATATGCAACATTTACACAAAAATACAGTTAAAAGTATAGGTCTTCATATGTACACCTAAGTATTACAGGTATTCACAGCATTGTCTAAAAAGTTTTATAGCAAGGATAACACCTTAATCTAACTAAATTAAATTACTACTAAAAAAACAACACTATTTAATAAACAACAACGCATAAATTAAAAGTGAAACAGTTAGAGTAAATGAAATATTATTAATACTAAAATATGTTCCAGAATCCCGTTTCTATAAAGATCCAGTGATAGTGCTTGATTTCCAAAGTCTATATCCATCTATGATGATCGCGTACAACTATTGCTTCTCTACATGTATAGGACGGATACAAAATATTAATGGGTGAGTACAAACCGATTTATAGTATACTAGCTTTCCGCCCGCAGCTTCTCCTGCGTGGAGTTCGTTTATATTGCGTTTCCAAGAGAACCCTTCAAAAGTCTGGGATATAGACTATAGTCCTATCTCCTTTCTCAAGGTCAACTCTATCTCTGTACAAAATTTCATTAAAATCAGTTCAGTGGTTTAGGCGTGAAAGCGTAACAGACAGACAGACAGAGTTATTTTCGCATTTATAATATCAGTAGGGACGTATATAAAAGGAATGACAACACATAAAAGGAGTAACGAATATGAAACTATCTTCAAACTCACATACAGATGTATAAAACTATTATTTATCGTGAAACAGTAAGGAACCTTACGAGTTTGGTGCCTGGCGTCTCAAGATATCACAGAATAGATTACAAACCCTCGCCAAGCACAATCTATTGAATTGGTCACCGATAGGCGTTGGATTTGTGAAGCAGTCCGTGAGACGAGGAGTATTACCGGCTCTGTTACGAAGAATACTAGCTGCTAGGCAAGCTGTTAAAAAAGGCATGAAGCTGCAAACAGATGAAGCTGTTAAAAAATCCATGCACTCCAGGCAACTGGGTAAGCTGTTAAATTACTAAGTCCTATATATGATATAATCAACAAAAAACCTTCTTCACAATTTGTGCTACTGGAAGTTTTTCTCTCAATTTTTTAACATCAGTCCTAGACCTTATCATCATTTGTGCTATTTGTTTTTAATTTTTTACTAATCTCAACCATTTTTTGCTTTATTTTGTCTTTTTTATAGGTCTGAAGCTGATAGCGAATGTGACGTATGGATATACAGCTGCTAACTTCAGTGGTCGTATGCCGTGTGTGGAGCTCGGAGACAGTATATTGGCGAAGGCGAGGGAAACCTTGGAGCGAGCTATTAGTCTCGTTAGGAATGGAAGGTGGAACGCTAATGTATGATATCACGATGATTATCTTATTAAAACACTACAGTATAGGCATGATTTTAATTATTTTTTTTGCATTATGTTTAAGACAATTTGCCCTTATATAAATATTGCGATTAAATTATTAAAATTTTAAGAAACTTCGAAAACGCGGGTCGTTAGATAATTAATAAGTTAACCACTAAAGATAACACCGATTCAACAAATTTGTTTAATACAATTAAAGTCAAATCGATTATTATTACTTGTTTGACGAATTGAATATTTAATTTTAATAATTTAATACAAACTCATTAATGATTTTCTTCATTACTAGGTGATATACGGCGACACGGACTCTATGTTCGTGTTGGTTCCCGGCGGTACTCGTGAGGAAGCTTTTATCATCGGACAGGAGATAGCTGATGCTGTAACAGCTGATAATCCATCACCTGTGCTACTTAAATTGGAGAAGGTATTATATTATTTATTTCTACAATCATATTTGAGATTGAATACTGAAATGTTTTGCGTTTAATTATATACTAACAAAAACTACGAAATATACTTATATATTAAAATACGAATTACATATTGAAACTTATAACCTATACCTAAGACTACATGATTGCCCCGATGTTAGGATGACAATCACATTCTATTGCTTGTGTGGTGTAAGGAATCTTCTTGATTACACGGCTTGGTGTTCGTTCCGCGGAGTCAGCGGCGTCACTCGATATATGATATTTTACCGATACAAAGATGTCGCCCCGGCAATGTTCATTTTTTTTTCTTGATATGTAGCGCGTACGTAACAGTTTACAATATATTGTTTATCATGTCCTGTTGACGTAAACAAGTAGTAGTCATAGGCAAATTGTTTACATCTGAATTTAGATACTCGTTGTAGAATTTAAAGAATTTTAAACTATACATTAATTATTGTTATACGTACCTATATACAGGGTGACTAGTGAATTACTATCGATACTTGAGGACGTGATATTTGACGATCATATATGACAAAATAAAAATTAATATAACATAAATATTAATAAACTTCTAAGTAAAGTTAACCAAAAGTTATGTAATTAACTACGCATCGTGTGAACACCCTACAGATTAGGTATACACACACACACACACACGCGTGGGGCGGCGTGGTGTTGTATCAGCACGCCACCGTACGCGTCCACACTTGGAACACTTGGAACGTGTACCGCACTTTATTTATTTATACGGAAATTTGGTCAAAAATTAAGTACCTATTTTTTTTACATAATTCGAATGAGAATCATGTACCGAGTATTCTCCTTAAATATTGATAGTAATTCACCAGTCACCCTGTATAAATACATTTTGAAAAAAAAAAACTCAAAAATTACATTCAAAAGGATTGGATTACTGAAAATATTTTTTAATAAGTAAAAATGAAAAACACAAAGTGTAAGATATAAACATACTTTTTTTTCTCTATATATTTTACTAGCTTTTGCTCACGTAGAGTTCGGTTATATCTCGTTTCCAAGAAAACATTTCTAAAGTCTGGGATAAAAACTGTCCTATGTAAGAACATTATTGAAACAATATTGAAAGATCAACTCTATCTCTGTACCAAATTTCATTAAAATCAGTTCAGCGGTTTAGGCGTGAAAGCGTAACAGACAGACAGAGTTACTTTCGCATTTATAATATTAATAGGGATTTATAATATCAAAATTCTTTCGTTTTAGGTATACCAGCCTTGTATACTACAGACCAAGAAGAGGTATGTAGGATACATGTATGAAACGATAGATCAAGAAAAACCAGTATACGAAGCGAAAGGAATCGAAACTGTTAGACGAGACGGTTGTCCCGCGGGAGTTAAGGTTATATATATATACTTGTATTATATCATATTTTTATACTGATCTTAACAAGTTAAATATCTTTGAATGCAAGTAATATTTTTTGGATTACTACGTTTTTTATTATCTTAAAAACGAAATACTAACGACGTTTCGGTTAGTTTATAGCAATAATGATCACGAGCAGACAAGATGAGGATACTATCAAAACGTCGTTAGTATGTAGTTTTAAAAATAATAACATACATAGTAGCCCAAAAACATTATAATGGTCATCGGCCTATCAGAGCCCACTGCTGGGCAAATCCTCTTCTCACATGGAGAAGTTTTCCTTCATCTGTCAGTGATGTCTAAATACTCAGAAAGTACATATGACTTTGCACAATCACATTGGTACTTGCCAGGTTTGGCGAAATTGTTAAATAATATCTTTATTATCCTGTAGCTCCTCCAAAAATCTCTGTGCGAGTTATTTGAGTCCGGGGACATGTCTCGTGTGAAGCGTCTCGTGTGTAGCGTGTTAAGTCGGCTTGTAGCGGGTAGCTTGCCCCAACACGAGCTATTCTTTACGAGGGAGTATCACGGACAATGTGGTTATAGACCCGGGGCAGCCGCGCCGCCTAATGAGATCGCTAAGTATGTATATATATTATTTATTTATTTATATATAAGGACAACTTACAAAACATACACCATTTATAGGTTTTAAGATAAAGGTAATTACATTTTTAGCTAAGTGTTGTTTCAATTAAAAGTTATCACGGCATGGACAAAAGACGAAGAGATATATCGTCGGGGATAGTTCAAATCCGTATACCTACCATTGGATAATACCGCGTATCTACATTTGAAGATTATCAGAAGAAAGTTTGAGATGAAATGCTTTCTAAATTAAAGACTTTTGAAGGTATTAAATAGTTGTGAAAAAATTACCTTGCATTATTCCCGACGATATTCTGAAATAAAAACAATTATTTTATATCAAAATATATTTTTATAACGTTGACATCTATCTATTATAAAAGTATCGAATCTCAAAAATCATAATGATGATATTTAAGAAAGTAAAAGTTAAATTTCTACCATTTTATATGAATGTATTATACATATAATAAAAAATTACCACAACCATATATCGAGTTATATTTGGTCTTTACTATATAAGTGTATATAAAAAATAACCGAACAAATAAATAAAAAACACTTTTCAATTACAAAGAAATTATTTTAACTTAGAGTAAAAGCGTAGGATGCTTCATGTTAAATGTTACAATAATTCTAATCGCAACTCTATGAGAAGAAAGATATAAAATGTAGTCAAATGCACCTCATACTTTTACATACAACCCAAGCAAAAATCATGTTAAAAAGGTTTATATTCTATTAAATTTTATTATATATATATATTTCTGTCCATCAGACGTATTTTATCTCGCGACGCTCGCAGCGCCCCCTCGCGGGGTAGTCGTGTATCTTGGTTGGTATGCGCGGGTCCTACTCACGTACCGCTCGTTAGACTATCTCGGGCGCCCTACGAACTACTACAAGACCCCGCCCTCACACCACACATTGCATACTACGCTATGAGAGTACTCCTTCCACCGCTACATAGATGTCTGTCTTTATTAGGCGTCGATGTGTTTAAATGGTGAGTGGGTTCCAACAAAACTATCTCATTTTCGTATGTACCAATACTGATTGAGAAAATCTCTGATAAAATCAACCTAATTGAGTTGTCTTTCAAAATTAAGCATTAACTTACTTGGTCACTTTGTCTTGTAAAGTATTACAACATTAAATAAATGTATGTAAAAGTAAATGTTATATTTTCAGGTGGCAAGAAATAGGCTGGACTCGTGAGTCACAAATAGAGAGATCGGACGCAAGAGGCGGAATTACACGCTACATGTCACGCGGGCGATGTGTCGCCTGTGGGGGAAAGGGACAGCGCGCTTTATGTACAACGTGTGCGATAAAGACGAAAGACTCTGCTGCCTTACTGGCTGTGAGACTTGCGCGGGCGCAGACATACAGACAGAGCTGCGATAAGGTTACAAAAACATCATATATTGAATTGGCTATTTTTTATTTTAATATATAATTATATTGAATGCTCATGATCTACATATACAACGTGTAACATAATTAACGCACACCCTGAAAGTAATTTGTTCAGCATCGGTATCTGGATCGATTTTTATAGTTTTTTATGTAGGTAATTTTTTTTTCTCAAATTTAGATAGAACTAAGTAAATTACAGTCACCCTACACACAGTTATCTAAACACTTTATAGAAACGAAAATGGATCGTCAGTCAGAGTATTAAGATTTTTAAAATAAAATATTAAATTAGTAATCACCATTCAATTAAAGAAAACTGATACTTGTTTCAAGGCTAAAATAGTATTTTACAAATATATACGCACGCACAGCGACAGCCGGCACACATCAAATACCTATGCATGTGTCCAATGACCTCCTAGATCAGCTGATTTGACGTCACTCGACTTTTTTTTGTGGGGGCGAATTAAATCGCTAGTTTATAACACAGAGACAGCAAGTTTCAAGGAACTAAAAAATTAGATAATAACCGCCTTTGTAAAAGTGAAAAGTAACACTGCAGTATAATCTAAAATAAAACAACCATTGCGGAAACGGTCATTAAAGTACATTGAACAAGGCGGTGGACATTTTGAAAATGTTTTAAAACGACAACGCCGTGCGAGTGCAAATTAAACTATAAGTTTGTTTATGTTCTTTAAATTATTGTTAATATTTTGATTCACACCATTTGAATACGCCGACTTTGTCGTAGGTATTGTGGTGTCTAATCAAATCACGCGTTATCAGCTGTTTAATAATTATTATTTACAAATTTAATTTAACAAATCAGTAATTATAAAAATATATTGGCTTCACATTAAAAAAAAATTCAATGTTGACAATCTTAAGCCTGAAAAGTGTGATGGAAAGAAGAATCATAAATCATAATGTAGTTATTTCGTGTACATACTTATTATTACCTACTTCTTATTATTGTCGGACGGCACTCGGAGAGAGGGGCGCGGGCGCGGCGAGTACATTGTGTCTGTCTGTGTGTGCGTGTGCAGCGGAGTGTTGATGAATAGCTGACCATATTATTTGCACGAAATTGGGATAACTAATTTCACAAATAAAAAATGAAAAACACACATATATATAATATTTGGTGTATGCATTGCGTTTATACAGGGTGACTGGTGAATTACTATCGATATTTGAGGACGTGATATTTGACGATCATATATGACAAAATAAAAATTAATATAACATAAATATTAATAAACTTCTAAGTAAAGTTAACCAAAAGTTATGTAATTAATTACGCATCGTATGAACACCCTACAGATTAGGTATACACACACACTCACACAGACGCAGCGGCGGCGTAGTGTTGTATCAGCACGCCGCCGCACGCGTCCACACTTGGAACACTTGGAACGTGTACACACTTTATTTATTTATACGGAAATTTGGTCAAAGTACCAATTTTTTTTACTTAATTCGAATGAGAATCATGTACCGAGTATTCTCCTTAAATATTGATAGTAATTCACCAGTCACCCTGTATTATTATATGTATTCTAATTGGGGTGTTTGAGGGCGTGCGTTAATTACGTTACACGTTGTATATTATATAACCACAAAAGAGACGGTTATTTTTAAAATGTTTCTATTTCATCTCCATTGCACTGCAACATCTACTAAATAAATAAAATAACAAAGTACTAATACTGAGAGTAATATTATTAATACTGTTATTACATACTTTCACAGTTAAATTAACGTAGTATAACTAAAATAAAAGTAAACTGTTTTCCTTTAGCCTCTCGTAAATAGTTATTTGTCACATATTTATTAAATTTGATGCAGCCAAGTCCTATCTATATGTGCATTTTGCGGGTAGTAGCAATACTGTAGAGAACCTAACATGGTATTCATTATTAAATTTTTGCAAGAAACATTTCGTATTAGTAATAAATAAGATATTTTTACAGATCTGTAACTCGTGCTGTGGACATCAAATGTTTTCTGACTGCGAGAATACAGAATGTCCAGTATTATGGCGGAGATTAACAGCATCACAGAAGTTACATGAAGTATACGAAGTCACTGCTAACCTGCCTCCCGCATACAACGATCTAGCTTTTAGTTTTTAAATTTGTATAATAAATCATGAAATTAATATTTTTATAATATATTTTTTATAACTTTATAAAATAAATTTTATTCAAACAGGCGATATTCATTCTCATACCAAGTCTAAGTGGCCCCTAGAAATATATCTAACACTACAGTATAAATTGTGTATGTACTAATAAATAGGTAATCTTATTTTCTTACCACAGCAATGCATATATTATTATTTAATAAAAGTCAGCCATTCTAAGAGGGCATCTGATCTGTTCAAATTCTAATTGCTCCATGTCACGTTATTGAAGTTCGATAAATCTGATAAAAAAATATAATTTTTTATTTTATCCCATTAAATAAAACTCAATAAATGCACTTCTGGAGTCTTCTTGAATACTAATTGAAAATAAAAGAACTTAAGTACATTTTGTCGTGATAACGTCTTTAAAATCGTTTTTGTCGGGTGACATGTTCAGAAACTTGTGTCACACCAAAACCTCACGAGCGCGATCGCAGGTATAACGAGAGAGAGACGGACCGATCTCCCGTCTCATCTCGAGCGCTGCCAGTCATTCCGTGAAACTTGTCACGCGGAATCCTCACGAGCGGAGGCAGGCATAGCGTTCGAGTGAGTGGACCGATCTTCCGTCTCTCTCACTCTAGCGGCATACAAACGAATGGAGATTTTCTCGTGTGGTTAAGATTTCATTTCATTTAATTTAAAATATGAAAAAATTGTTATCTTCATTAATTCCTTAATTCCCAAAAACTTATATCACCAATAAGACGTTATAACGTAAACATCTCGATCGTAAACCTACTTCACAAACAACCAATTTTTATGTACTATATTACTTCCATTATTTGTTAGTTATTAAATTAATATGAAAAATCAACTAACTACATGACAAAAATTTCATAGTTCAAACTTTGCAGACACCAAACATTTTAAAACATATAAGCGAAAAATCAAAGTATTATTAATTTTTCCCGTGCATTAATTGATTATTAATTCGAAACTGTTTCTTTATCTATTTTACTCCGAGCTCAGAGTTTTGTGAATTAGGTATGTCCTGTTTGTAATTTTGAATGCACTTCAAAGTCAAGGATGACAACTGACATACATATTATGTTGTCATGGGGAATTCCAAAATAAAAGTTTTATTTTGTTGTTATATTTTAAATCGTAACTTCTAAACAGGTGAAAAGTTCTAGAGCTACAATTTCAATTGATTATGACAATAGATATTTCAGTAATATAAACTATTTTTTTAAAAGTGCCAGTAAGCAAGATGTATAAACACGTAGAACTTCGAAAACTACCTGTTGATGAACTGTGTAATATCGTCAATATTTTGGAAATTGATAATGATTGGAAAAGAGTTATGTCTATTATACCTAAAGAATTAAATAGTGATTATTTTGAACCGAAATACAACAATGAACACATACGGTACGTTAATTACTATGTTGATATATAAAATAAATTTGTCAATATCCTTGCTTCTTTTATAATTTTATAAATAAAAGACAAATATGTAGTACATTTCAATCTTCTTCTTTATTTTTAAATTAGATTAATCGAAGAGGAAGCTAAGGCTAACAATCAAAAATGCACCGAAATTTTAATAGATGAGTGGGCCACTTCTGGAAGAATCAGACCAACTCTCGATACGCTTAAGAATATCTTAATAAAAGCACAAATATTTCGAGCTGCAGATGTCATAGCGGATATGTTAAATGGTAGGCAATATAAATAAAGCAACATGTATTAAATATATATTTTTACATTTTATTATATAATTATTTATTATTTTTCCTTTATTTACAGAACCTAGACCTGAACGTCCATCGTTTGGACCAGCAGCTCCAATCACTATGAATATCACGGAGATGTTACAAGACACCACTGAACAAAGTATAAAAACTGAAATGACTACTAATCACGATATATGTAATGGTACCACTAGACAACTTAAGTCTGCAAGTGACATGATTGAGTTTTCAAAATATTGTCCTAATAATACAATTGATAACAATCTCAAACCATCATTCAGTAGAAAAACTACAGCTCAAATAAAATCTGAATCAGATCTTATTAAATTTACCCAAACACAGGAGAGTATGCAAACATCAGAACCAAATATACCACATTTGAGTGTAATGATAAATAGTAGTGAAACTGAAAGCCAAAGCTCTATTTTGCCGGCAGTACTTGATTCTGAAGGCTTTGATGTGTCCACAACATCTAATAGCAGCATCAGTTTTGACCCTGTCCAATATCCCAATAGCTACCAAATTTCTTTTCCAAATATTGATATATCATCTAGAATAGACAGTGCAATTCTGCAGGACAGAAATCTTATTCAGTTTAGTTATAAGGAATTGCAAGATATAACTGACAATTTTAGTGAAACCTTGAATAAGACGAGTTCTGGACCCAAAGGATGTATTGGCAGTGGTGGGTTTGGAGATGTTTTTGTTGGTAATCATCCAAAATATGGAATTCTTGCCATTAAGAGAGCTCACAGTCATTTAGCACTGCACCAGAAACCAGACATTACTATGAGAGTTTTTAATGCTGAAGTCAAATATTTGTCTCAGTTCAGACATCGTAATATTGTTCCTATAATAGGATTTGCTAAAGATGGACCAGTACCCTGTATAGTTTGCGAATATATTTATGGTGGTTCATTACAAGAAAATATTGCCGCTAAAGTTTTAAACAAAACTCAACGGATGAACATTATTATTGGAACTGCTGAGGGATTAAAATATTTACACACAAGTGAAAAAACGCTATGTAGCAAAGAAACCAGAGATCTTCTTGGTGTAAATAGTGAAATAGATTCACAGAACACTACAAAGAATTTTGTACATGGTGATGTAAAGACTGCAAATATTCTGTTAACAACAGATTGTGTTCCAAAGGTAATTTAACAAACACAAATAATGAGATCATTATTTATTAATGTGATTTATAGGTTATTATTATTTCTTTTTGCAGTTATGTGACTTTGGCTTAGCAAAGCAATACGACTCGACTTTCATGACATCAGCTCCTATGGGAACCGCAGCTTATATGGCACCCGAGGGTCTACATGGAACTATTACTCAAAAAATTGACATTTTCAGCTTTGGAATTGTTCTTTTAGAACTTATTACAGGTCTGAAACCTATCTTATCAAGTAATGGCGAAAAAATGAATATAAAAGATTATGTTGAAGAAAATACTATCAATAATGACATCACACCTCTAGTGGACCCTTTTGTCGGAGTATGGACAGAAGCTAATCAAATCTATGACCTAGCCAGAAAATGTTTAGCTCAGAACAGAAAAAGTAGGCCTAGTATTGACCAAGTGTGTGATATTTTATATGATATTAATTGTTAACAAAATAAAATCAGATTATATTTGTACTTTCATATATATGCTTTGTTATAAAAATAAATAGACTGTTTAAATATTAATTTCTTTTTTTATTGCTTCCACTTGATTTATGAAATTAACACTTGATATTTTATTAACATTTTCCAAACTTTTTAATATCTGCTTCTTCTCGTCAGGTTTACATAATATAATGAGTGTGACGATCAGCTTCTGTATATGTAGAGCCATGTTGTTGTCCTTACATACATACAACACTTTGAATAGTATTGAAATCATTCTGTAATCAGTTGAAAATCTCCAAACACACCATCCATATTGGATCCACTCCTCTAAACACTGCAAAATAAATTAAAATTATTACTAGCTTTGCCTGCTACTTTGTCCATATGAATAATTTTTTTTTAATTATTTCTACTAATGAAAATATATATCACTTCTAAGATAAAAGTCGTAGTTATTAATTTCTACATTAGCTATAACCATACGCTTTACATGATTTTAAATAGAACAACAGACAGACCAAAAATGGTAATAAAAAAATATCTTGTCATATGGGCCATAGACACAATATATATATTTTCACTCAAATCTCACATATATTGATTCCATTAATCTTGGTTAAAACAGTTCTATATTATTTGACTACATAAGGAGATACATTTTCAATCTTTCATTTCTAAACCTTAGTACAAAAATAATGTTAAGAAAAACTAGAAATGAGAAACTATTCATATGTAATGTGGAAATGCAAGCTTACTAAGCATACTGGAAATAAATATTACCTAAAATGTCTTATTTAAAAGTATATCGGCCACAACCTCGTTAGTGCATATATCTAAACAATCACATATTATAACTTTAAAAGTGTTCTCACTGACACAGTTCACTTTGTGCATCTCTATAATAGATTTTGCAAAACTCAAACATTCTCCTTTCCTGTATAAATTTGATTCAGTCATTAATTGGTCTAGAATTCCAGTATACATTTCTTGGAGTTTTTGTGTCTGGAAAACAAAAAAATATATGAAATGTTGTTTAAGTTCTTATATTAATAAATATATGTATATAAATATGTATATTATTTACCTTAAATATAGGAGGAAAAATTTCACACAACTCTAGCAGACAAGCATGAGTCAGTTTAGTTATATCCGCATCTGGCTCAATGAAAGTTTTATTTAAACTCCTGTATATAACTTCATAATAGTTACCACCTTCAAAATCACCAGGTTTCTAAAAATATCATAGGCATATTAAAATTAACAGTAACCAGTCTGATTTTTCATATAAAATGAATATTAATATCTTAAATAATTAAGAAATCAATTCAAATTATAAGAAGGTTCAATAGTTGATAGTAAATTTTAATATAAGGTGATAAAGTAGTGACAAAATACTAACCAGACATCTTAGTATCGATAAACAACATATAAGTCCCTTGCTTGTATTAATATTTATATAATCTTCAATAAGAAGCAGGGCCGCTGGAAAAACTTGCGCTGGTTTCACTTTAACTTGAAATCTCTATAACAAATGTAAAATATAACAATAGCCATAACTTGAGATAATTCAATATAAGTAAGATACATACCCTCAAATCTTTAGCGAGCCAGCAATACACTTCAACTTGGCCGGGATATTTTTTGAAATTCTCGTATGTCAACTTGCTGTGCAAATTTTCTAAACATATATTGAATATTTCTTGTATATTATAATTTTTGTTCTCATGCAATATAGTGTCCAAACGAGAACCACAAACAAGTTCAAAGTAAATATTTAATTTTTTCGAATATTCTTTTGATTTTTCGCCATTCCACGGGCATTCACAATCTAATTCTTTGTATAAAATAATAAGTGCTGCTATAATCGTGGCGGTTCCTTTGGTATTTGGAAGATCCAGATCGCCTAAGTACTGTTCAAGAGATTTGAAGTTTTGATCTAGGGTATTATTTCGAATTTCAAACTCTGGATGATTCTCCCGTTCATCAAAATTTTTTGCTAGTTTTGGTATTAAGCATTGGTTTATACTATCCAACAATTTAAGAATATACTTCATTGTTTTAAATTGTTTCCTTTCGAAACATTCAATAAAATGATAGTTGGTAGGTAAGTCACACGACAATTTATGGGACTACATAGGAGAAAACTGACAATTTTAAATTATTATCCCTATTACTATTCTTAAATACACATATTATGTGTATACATAATAAGACTAATTAATAATCAGACATTGTTAGCTTCCCCTATTGCTATATAAGTATATAATGAACTTTTGAAGTTTCTGGTTTAATATTGACAGCCGATTAAGTGCGTAGTTCAGATAAATAATTTAATTATATTTTGTTATATTAGATACTATTATGAGTATTGTTGTTGGAGCTTAGATAAAAGTTAATTTTTTTATTTTTTTGTTTTAGATAAATCTAAAATTATAATAAAGTATCTGTTCACTGCACTTATATAACTTAAATCTTCCCTAGAGCTGTAATAAAAAAAACGTCCTGTCTTTTCTAATTTGTCATCTGTCACTTGTATTTCTTGAGTGTTCTCATAATATGCATTTGAAGACTTAAAATTACATAATTCCTTTAAAAACAAGAAAATACAACTAACATGTTGAAGTATGACCAACACATATTTTTTCGGGATACATTTAACCACCTATTTTTAATTAAATTAACGATGTATTTATTTAAGGTTTGGTGTAAAATCTGTTATACTCGGCTCTGCAGTATATTATACAATTGATAAAGGAGTATGGAAAGATAGTTCGACAACTTCTAAACTATATGAAGAACTTGAAGAAGGCGTGTCACCTTATGTAGGCGAACTAAAAAAACAAATACCATACGAGGTAAGAATCCATAGAAAAATATGTAATATTTTTGATTAAGCAAGTGCAAGTAAGTTCTTATGTTTATGTTTCTTTTTAATGTTATGTTTATATAATCTTGAAATGTTTCCAGCTACCTCCGCTACCTTCAAATGATAGAATGACATATTTATTCAAATATTATTGGAATAGCGGAGTGAAAGCCACTTTTAGGTTTTTGATTGATCTTCCTACACATGCTACGAATGCTGCAAGCAAGTCATATGAATTTATAAATTCAGTAATAGAACCAGTTGAGCCAGCTCCTAGACAAGATAACGAAAAATGATTGTTTTGTAGCAAATGTAAATTATTAAATAAACTTTAATTAAGAATAAAGCTTGTTTCTAAAAGTAATTAACTCCAGTGTAATTAGATTTAAAAGTTAAATTGGTAGTTATTACCAATTGGCATTCTTTCCAAAGAATTGTTTAGATTGTTATAACTAAAATTTTATCAGCCACATAAATTACACATTTTTTAAGTTTTTCACTATCATAAAATTTGAAAGTTATAGTTCTCTAATAATTGCTATATTTTTATTATTAAATAATCCATCTCATTGTGATTTAAGTTTTATTTTTAAAAGGAAAATTGTTTCAATAATGGTACTTTTTTGTTGAAGTTTTGCATTGTGGGATCCTTAAAATTGTATTACTTAGCAGTATCATCACATTTCCTTTAGTGAGATTTTTGTAATTTTTGAGGTGTGATTACACTGGGGTAATTTATTATATTTACCCTTAATTGATTAGACATTTTAAAATAATATATCCTTATTTTTTCAACTATGATATTGGGTGTAGATTGAGTCTATGAAGCATACTCATTGCATAACAACAAACCCTGTATTTTCAGAAATGACTAAGTCATAAGAAAAAATACATCTTGCCAAAATTACTGTTTTTTTTTAATATATAAATAATTGTAGTTTTTTTAATTTCGTTCTAAATATTCTTTTTATGTAACAATATATTGCAGGAAATAAATTAGCATGTCCATCAACTCCTATGATGTAAAAAAGAAAGTTCCAGAAAATTTGTTAGAACTTACTAAACAAACTTGTTAAGCTTTGAACACTAATTTTGTTAATGCTTTGTTAATTTGAAATTCTATCATTATAAGAATAAGGAAGGATTCTTATAAACAATATTTTTGGATTCAAAACCTATATAGGACAGTAAATAATAATACCAATTACAAAACGAGCCACAATATTTTGTGGCAGTTTGATTTATTCCATTCTTGTAATGTCACATACACATTGACATTTATCAATTCCTGTGTTTTTAGTTCCACAAATTCTTATAAGTAATGTAATGTACCAAAAATACATTATCCATTTATAAAACTCAATCAAGATATTGGAACCATCGACATACTGATACTATCATTTTGAAGCATTCAAATAGTGTATATAATAATAGTTAAATAAAATCCATTATCTGTTACAAGTGTTTAAAGTCTTAATCAATTAAAACATCCAGATGATAAATAAACTATTGAAAACATCAAAATAATAGTAAATATTACCATACATATACTAAATTGCAAGATTTTAAGTATATGTATATATAAAATTTTGTGCACATTAAAAATTGTATTTAACAAAACCAACAACTCTAGGGAATGGTCTAGTTTTAACATTTATAAATTATGCCTGTTTTATTATGAAGATCAAAATAATTATGAATGTTATGTACATTATCCTTTTTATGATTGCAAGAATATAATTATAAACTTTGCCGGATAAAAAAAAACATCACACTGGAACATACAGACGGATGAATTAAAAGTGTATCTCAAACAGTTATCAATGCTTGAAAATTTTGTAAATAAACATCTAAACATTAACAACAATTTCGTTATGATATATACAGCTTGAAGTGAACACTTTGGAGTTAAAACACTTATAAGCCATATAAAAAGGATAAGCTTTGATATTGCTCACAACAATCACTGTTAGAGGTGACTTATAATATTGTCCATGTGAAAGTTACGTTAAGCTGAATCTTTAGAGTCCTTGGGAATTATTAAATTCAATCGCTAGGCAGCTGTTTCAACTTCCATTGCTTCCTCTGCACCAGCCTTCTTTTTCTTCTTTTTATTTGATTTCGCAGATGAATTCAGAAGGGCCTGTTGTAAAATAACATACAATTTAAAAATCGTCTAACTTTTTCAATGAAATTGAAATTTCGCAAAAGAATTAAAATGTCGAAATTTTTCAAACTAAATTGTGAATAAAACACAAATTAGCTCAAAATAAAATTCTTTTTATTTACCCTGTGCTTGTTCAAAACATATTACTGATCAAATTTGTTTTGAAAGATTACAGGGAAGTGTATTCACAGTTTCTGAACTTAAAATGGTATACTTACATTAAGTTCTGGGTCCTTAATGGTTCTTTCAGTCTTACACTGGTTCTTGTCAAACGGCAAACCAGTTATGCGATGAGTACCACTTGGCAGTAAGAGTACTGTGAACTTGAATTGTGCTACCAATTCACCTGGTCTCTCATATAGCACCTGCAACATCAAACATTTTGTATTGGTATAAGATTGACTTAAAAAAATATTACACGTTTTTTTTTTATTCATACAAATTGATATTATTGAACAATGTGTATACCTGGAAGGGCTCAATGAGTTTGTGGTTAACACACTCAACTACACCCAATCTTGCACTCGTTTTTTTGTCAAAGGATCTTAACCTTTAAACGGCATTTTGACCCATGTTTATTTCTGACCTGGACAAGAAAGTACAAAATTAATAAGATAACATTCAGTTATTGAAAACAGTCATAAAATTTTCAAAGTATATTATTAATAATTTTACTAAAAAATTATTGTAAGTATTTATACCAGTATACTATAATAAATATACTGGCTCAAACTCGTTACATTGATCTTCCCTAAAATATAATAACAATATCAATGGTGATATTGAGAAACAGTATTAGGGAAAAGTGTTATAATAATATGCTTACTTCTCTGTAGAATGTTCTAGATGATTTTAATTTAAGTTGATAGATTTCATCTGTTTTCTTGTATATAGTACACCTAGTATCCATTTCACGGCCCTGGAATCATAAAGTAAATTAGGTGAGTTTCACTAAATGCTAAAGTGAAAAGAAATAACAAATAAAAAATTATCCCATAAACAACTGTTTTAAAAATAACTTTAAACATGTTTATACAATCCTTTGAGTCATATTTTCAGTTAAAATAATTTTGTTCTGTTATTGTTTAAAAAATCAAAATGCATGTAAACATTTCAATTCAGAGTTTCAACAGAATTGCTTTCCCCTGAGTACTGCCATGTTAATCAATATAATATTAACATGGAAAGAATTCAGGGTACATCAATATATATTATTTTATTAACTTAATTAATCAGTTTCATAGTGAGTTACTTACAACACCTTCCCCAGTGGAGATTAGTACATCCATAGCATAAACTTCATAAGTTTCAAAAGTAGCCTTTTCGTGTTCTTTCCGCTGTGCTTCTGAAGGATTCTGAATAATGCTCTTTTCTCCATCAATTCTGAACTGTTTCAGCTGATGGGATAACATACCCTCGATTGGCTTACAGCCATATTCTGCGCTTATCTTTTGAACAACATCGGTGATTGCATAGTTCTATAACAAACATATATTTATGTAGAGTTAATACAATGTATGTTTTTCAATAGAGATATATTATTGTTATAACAATACATATTTCCTCTTTACACCAAATATATACAAGAAATGACTTAGTGGAGGTTAATTGTAGCAACTTATGGATATACGCAGGTATTACCTCATTGCTAGGTCTGAGGAGTCTTAAAGCGGCTTCACTAGCATAGTGAGCGGCTAGTAAGACATCGGCTGCTCTGCCAGACACTTCACCACCGCCCACCACAACTGTATGTGCTACCACTGCTATAAACCCATCTATATGAGCTCCAAGGTCACTGAAATAAATATTAAATATATTTACAATTTGTATTCAAAAACGAGTTTCCATAAATTCAAAAACATGTGATGAGTTGGCACTTGAATATTTCCTAAGTTCTGATAGAATCCAATACATTTAGAGTGGTTTTATGATGTTGTTTGTCATTTACAATATTATGACCATGATAGTATATTAAATAAAGGCAGAAAAGAGAAAGCAAGCAAAGAAAGAATTTATAACAAAGACTGACAGGATGCGTCGTAAAGTTCAACTAATTTAACACTAGGTCAGTTTTGGAAGATTGTTTAGCTGTTTCCTTTACAATAAGCTTAGGAACTTACATTTTAGCTAGATCACCCTCTTTCAGGATGTAGTCCGTTTCACTTGGTATTGGCGAAAAATGACATATACAATTGTTTACAGATACGCATGTCGAAAATGCGATGCCTTTCTTGGAATCTTTCTCTTTTTTGAAGACTTTAGAAGTTTCGTCAAGCAACAATTTGTCACCAAATTCACATATTTCACGTGCAGACGCTTCTGGTATGCATTTAGCAATAACTTGTTCTAAAACACCTGCAAGTACGAAAATTGTAGGGGTTTATATAAAGCATGGTTTACATAAAAGTTAAGCAACATTCTAAGGTTAAAATATAGAAGCGGCACCACACTGTCCGCATGGCGATGACACGCGTCCGAGTCATTATATCAAATGGATAATGCGCCTGAACTGCTTTCGAGATAAAAAAATATACAAACACAAGTTTCTAACTTACGGTTCACAATTTGGCCCGCTAATTTATACTTGGTTACAACCAAGTCTTCTGCGACAGTTTTTTCCACTTCTTTATCGTCAGCCATTTCTCAAACTTGTAGTTTGGTTAGACAGCTACACTCTATAGAAGCTGTTGGTTGGCTCTTTAGTTGTCAGTCACGTGACCATGACGTATGGTCAAAAATGGCGGGCAACGTAGTGTGGAAAGCATTAAAGACTCTTTGGCCTTTAATAAGGAAGTAAAGGTTTAACAGTCAAACATACATAGCGTTATGAAAGATTCCTTTTTTAAATATTAGCTATGGCTTCATGAATGATTACTTAAAATATATGACTGACTCGAAACGGATTTGATTTTTAAATTTATTATCATGAAATGTTATGAAATTTTTAAGTGCCTTTCCCGATACTAGATTATCATTAGATTTGATATCAAATATTTTTACTACATAGGTACTAAAAATATAAATAAAAATAAATAATAATAAGCGAACTGCAGTGCAAAATCGAATATTAGATTTAAACAATTGTCGTTATTAGTATTTTCCAATTCCTTTAGAGTATTTAGAGAGCTCGATTTCTTTTATAATATTGATGTATGTTTAAGAAACAATAGAGTAATTACATATAACAAATTATGAAGCAACAATTATTTTAAAATATTGATTTATTGCGGTACTACTCTAGAAATGCAAATTAATTAATTAGTAATTACTAAATCAACGGAAGAGATTTCTATCTTCAAATCACAGTCGTATTATATTGTAATAAGATTTTATTTATTTATTTCGTATTAAGGTAATTCAGTAAATCTTTTTTTATAGTACAATGAAAGTATTTAATAACTGTAACTTGTTTTGTCACGGTTATGTTTACCGCTAAGTGAACACAATAAATATGATACGTAATACAACACAACTGTCTAAATAATATTTTATTTAGAATTTTTGTACCCTTTGTCTTCTTATATCATATTAATATATATTTCAATATTAGTTTATTTATTATAAAGCTTTTAACGTTTTCACTTTGTAATAAAGTAGTATTTTGCAAATAAAGTATAATATACTCTGTGGTTGAGTGCTTTTTTGTTATTTTCATATTGTCGATTCGAATTGACGTTTATAAATTATTGAAAGTACAAATCTCTCTTTCAAATTTTCAAACCCAAAGTGCCTATCTTATAAAGACAATTATATTTCATCACACATATACTTTTTTAATATATCTGATTATTTTAGGAGGAAAAAGAATTCTTAGTTAATTTTTATTTTTTATTGTGAAATTTAATAAATCTTGATCTTAATTTTAAATTTGTAACATATTGTTTTCCATTAACTTTTTTGAAACTTATATTTAAATCGATGTATAGTAAATTGAGCTGAGATACCTCAATAAAAATGAATTACACTACAGAAGAACTCTTGCGTATGGTAGATGACAAAATTGAGTATGGGAATAAGTTAGTGAAGTTACTAGAGGATAAGCACGAAATTGACGGGGTGAAGAAACTTCAAAGAAAAATTCGTCAAGAAATAGACTTTCTCCAAAGAGTTCGTAATATTATTTTAACATGACTAATATTATTTATTAATTATTTTCTCGTAAAATCTTGTATTTTCTTTTAGTTGCAAAAATCTAAAAAAGTTAAAAAAGAACAGTTGTCGTGTTCAAATCTACGACATTTGGAAGCGATGGTAGATTGTGCTTTAAGACCTGGGGTTGTATCTGTGTGTAAAATCTTTCATGTAAGCAATGATAGCAAGTTGCTAGTTGATATAATAAGTGATGATGGAAAGACTTGGACTAAAGGTATAGTTTGTTTGCTTCTTGAATAATTAACATTCATTAAATTTTGTAGTGTTATGTTATTAATATATTACTTTAAATTGTGGTTACAGTAATAGCAAGAAATCCAAGATCTCTCTCTGCATTAAGTTCAGGAAATTCGTCATATGGGGCTCGGTCAATAGTTGACCAAGCTGTTGACTATATAGAATGTGCAAAATTATATCCATGTATGTATCAGTCTCCAAAGGTAAGTCTTTTTTATTATATGACATGAAAAAAATACATTTCGGACATAAATATACCTAATATTATTGATTTAAAAAGGATTTATACCTAAATGTTTTGATCTTTGACAGGTTGTCTTCGAATTTGTAAGTGGAATAGAGGAATCATTGGCAAACAAACTGAAATCAAAAGGTGTTGTTGTTAAAGGGGAAATATTGTCCGATTCTAAAGAAGAAGAGGAATATGAAGATCCATTTGAATCCAGTGATGATGAAGTAGATAATAGGTATGTTCTGGTAAGAACAAGATTTTAAACTATATTCTTATACATATGTATTTCACATTAAAGATTTGTAATATATTTTACAATATTAATAAAAGTGAAGCTTTTATTAATATACATTAGCCCTTTTTAATACACAATAAAACCTTTTTATCAGTTCTCAGATATTACAAGATGTTTCTCAATGTATGCAAGATCATAGAGATCTTAATATTTTAAATCTGGATGTAACAGCTATGATGGCTTATGTGAGTAATATGACGAATGGCTCCTGCAATTATATTTTCCAACAGCCTGTTCTTACTCAACAAGCTGAATGGGAAGCTGAACGGCCAGTGAAACCGATATTAGAGAAATTATTTGAAAGTAAATCAAACTTTTTAATACAACTAGTTTATTAATCATAAATTATTCAGTATATTTTGATATTAATTTAAATAACAATAATGTAATAGAGTTGCCTTAACTTATCACAAGTTGCAGAGTATTAAAATTTTTATGTAAATTTACTATATCTCTGAAAACAAGTAATGAATTGAATATAATGTGCTATGTGAATAATGACATTGCACTAGTATTTTATTTATATGTTAATATCAAAGATTATAATGATATAACACTAATATATTTATTTTATAGATAAAACGCTTGTATGCTGTAGAACAGCATGGGATGATTTTGAAAAGATAGTCAATACTTTGGGAGGTCCGAATGAAAAGAGACGAACTTTAGAATTGAAGGAAATGGTCCGAGTATATGAAGATGACTATGGAGGTAAACTATATAAATAGTGACAATTAAGTAGTACATATGTATTAATAAAATAATAAGTTATCATGAGGAAATAACAATATAGAAAACCATAGTTAATACAGAATGATTGTACTCATACAATTTTTGATATATTATTATACATAAATTTTTATATGTATCCTATAAATAGTTTGGTAATTTCAGGTGAAGATGATTATCCTAGACAAAACTTAAAAGTAAGGGGCCATGTCAGATTAAGATCTAAAATAATATTTAATTTTGGACACAGAATTAAAGCTCTTACAGTTTCTGCAAATGAAGGATTTGTTAGGGCGGCTGCACAACAGGTAAAACAAGTTTGTTGATATACAGGGTGACTGGTGAATTACTATCAATATTTAAGGAGAATACTCGGTACATGATTCTCATTCGAATTATGTAAAAAATAGGTACTTAATTTTTGACCAAATTTCCGTATAAATAAATAAAGTGTGGACACGTTCCAAGTGTTCCAAGTGTGGACGCGTGCGGCGGCGTGCTCATACAATTCACCAGTCACCCTGTATATATTTTTTTAAATAAAATCTATTCTTTGTAAATAACTAAACTGTGTTGCAGGGTGTAACATATGCAACATTCATTCTGGAGTCCCGAGCCTTAACTGAAGGAAAAGAACCAACTGCTAAACAAATTAAGTTATGATATTTTCAGGTGACGATGTGTTAACACAAGTGAATCATAAATATTTCTTTTTAATATGTTCTACAAAGTATATATTGTCTATTTTGCTGTGATAGAAGTTTAAAACTTGCCTTAATATTTAAATAATATGAAATGTTTTATATTATGTACATAATGTTGATTAAACGTTAACATAAATGGCTGATTTTGTTTATATTTGTTAATAAAAGCTTTTTAGCTTAACTTTTTATTAGCATCTTTTGACCCGCTACTAATTTTTACCCCTAACTTCTTAGCCAAAGAGGTAACGTAAGTGTTACCGTTATTTGAGTGACTCGTCTATGGTTATAAAAAATCGAATTATAAGTTTACTGATAAAAACTAAACAATACAAGTTTTGGAAATGGTAATTGTTGTAATAATAATATAACATTATCGAGAAAGTTAAAAAGAACGTTTTTTTTTTTACTAAAGCGTAAATGCCATCACTTCTATTAACTTACTGATATATTAAAGATATTTATGAGGATTGAATCTATTTGAGTTTTGTATATTTGTTATTATTATATTCTTTAAAAATTTTTATTTTTCTAATGTATGCTAGTTATTTCTGTGACAGTTAAAATACCTCTTGTAGACTCAGCTTTATAACAACATATGGTTTCTGTCAAATGTTGTTTGCTATCTTGTCAGTGTCACAAACAAGTTTATTTTGAAATACAATGAAATGTTTAAGTTAATGATTAATTTTTAAATCGTTAATTATTTGATATAATTTCAAATGTTATTAATTTAATTACTTTTAATTGATATGAAATAATGAAATGCAATACTGATGAAATAGATTTGCAGAAGTTAAAAGAAAATGTATCATTTTTAGCCGACGTTTTTGAAAATACTTTCTCACTTCAAAGTACTATAAATTATGTTAAGGACTATGTATCTGAAATACAGTCGAAACCGGCCACCGGAAGTAAAAGAACAGCATCCCAGATTAATAAGATTTGTTCACAGTCACTAAGAAATAATTTGAACCTAAGTTTAAGTAACAAGCACGTGTTGTCGCAGTTAACAGACAATAATAAGTCCTTTACGAAAAAATTAAAAAACTGGGGTCTGCCTAGTGAAATATGTAGAAAATATGAAGAAAAAGGTATTGTTGAAATGTTCGATTGGCAAGTTGAATGTCTCAGCAATCCGAAAGTGCTTATAGATTGTCAAAATCTATTATATTCAGCACCAACATCTGCTGGTAAGACACTTGTTGCTGAATTATTAACCATTAAGACTGTTCTGGAAAGACAAAAAAAAGTCATAATCATATTACCCTTTGTATCAATTGTGAGGGAGAAAATGTTTTATTTGCAAGACATTTTATCTAGTTCAGGTATCAGGGTAGAAGGATTCATGGGCTCCCAATCTCCACCTGGTGGTTTACAGGCAGTACACATTGCGATATGTACGATTGAAAAAGCGAATAGTTTAATCAATAAACTTTTAGATGAAGGAAATATATCAGAATTGGGTGCTGTAGTTGTTGATGAATTACATTTACTTGGAGATCCACATAGAGGATATATTCTGGAGCTTCTTTTAACTAAAATTAAATATACAGTATCAAAATTAAATGATCTATCAATACAAATAATTGGAATGTCTGCAACTTTACCAAATTTAAAAATGTTGGCAGATTGGTTGGAAGCACATTTATTTATAACAGAATTTCGCCCCATACCTCTAATTGAGTCATGTTTGATTGGAGACAAGTATTATAATAAAAAAGGTGAACACATAGGCATGCTGTGTAAGTCAAATTTAAAAGAAATTGATGATGATAGTGTCCTTCTGATTTGTTTAGAAACAATTAAAAGTAGTTGTTCTGTTCTTATATTTTGTATGACCAAGAATAGATGTGAGAACTTAGCACAGAGCATTGCATCATCATTCTTTAAATTGGGGTGCATGAATAATGAACAAGGCATGATTTTAAGAGAACAATTAAAGACTTCAAGTATTCTTGAAGTTTTAGAACAATTGAAAGGGTGTCCTGTTGGCTTGGATCCAGTGTTAAAAAATATTATCTCATTCGGAGTTGCATATCATCATGCTGGGCTTACATTTGATGAAAGGGACATAATAGAAGGGGCATTCAAATCTGGTGCTGTAAGAGTACTGGTTGCTACATCCACTCTAAGTTCAGGTGTTAATTTACCTGCTAGGAAAGTCATCATCAGATGTCCTGTGTTCCAGAAGCAACCAATTAATATATTGACTTATAAACAAATGATAGGCAGAGCTGGGCGTATGGGAAAAGATACAAAAGGAGAAAGTATTCTTATATGCACTTCAAATGAACAAAAAATTGGATTTGATTTGATGATGGGGGATCTGGATCCTGTCAAAAGTTGCATAGAGACAGAAGATAAATTTATGAGAGCTGTATTAGAAATGATTGCTAGTCAAGATGTTTGTACAGAAGAACAGTTAGATTTGTACTCTAAGAGTACATTATTATTTAGCCAACAAAGTCTCCATCCATCCCAAAACTTTTTATTAAATGACACTTTAAAAGAACTCATCAATTATGAACTTGTGAGAATACAAAAAGATGGAGAAGAAATAAGATATGTAGCTACTTCATTGGGAAAAGCCTGTTTGTCATCATCCATGTCACCAAATGATGGATTATCACTGTTTTGTGAGTTACAAAAAGCTCGACAATGTTTAGTCTTAGAAACAGACCTACATCTTATTTATTTAGTGACGCCTTATAGTGTCAGCAATCAATGGAATAATATAGATTGGTTACATTTGCTCACTCTGTGGGAAAATCTTACATCCGCTATGAAAAGAGTTGGCGAACTTGTTGGTGTCCAAGAGAGTTTTATAATTCGTTGCTTAAGGGGAACAAACAAAAATAATAATAACCAAAATAAACTTAATATACATAAGAGGTGAGAAGAAATAAATGTCAATCGTGTTGATATGATTAAGTGTATTTTATATAGGAATTTTTAATTTTAGATTCTATACAGCACTAGCATTACAGGATTTAGTGAATGAAGTACCACTTTCTGAAGTTGCTGGTAAATTTCAGTGTGCTAGAGGTTTTTTACAAGGTTTACAGCAGGCTTCCGCTACATTTGCAGGTAGAGTGGTTGATTAAAATGATTCTTTGATTTTATTCATATATTTATTATTAATATTTTTTTTATTACGAAAGGAATGGTAACATCATTTTGTCATCAACTTGGATGGAAAAACATGGAAATGATTATATCGCAATTTCAAGATCGTTTGCATTTTGGTATACATTCAGAGTTATTAGAGCTCATGAAGCTATCCTCTTTAAATGGCGTTCGAGCGAGAACTTTATTTAATGCGGGTTTCGAAACTATTGCAAGCATTGCATCAGCTGAGGTGAATGTTATTGAAAACGCACTTCATAAATCAGTACCATTCCAAAGTGAAAAACAAAGAGACGAAGATGATTTGAACGATTTAAGAAAAAGAAATAAAATAAAGAATATATGGATAACAGGTTATTGTGGTATGACTGCCCAAGAAGCAGCAGAGAAGTTGATAATAGAAGCTAGGAATTATTTAGTGCAAGAGATAGGAGTAACAGAAATTAAATGGAAAGATACAAGATCGGAAAAGGATATATTAGGAAAAAATGAGATCGATCTGCAACAAAATAATATTGAACCGAATACGAACGGAGATGTTGAAACAAATGGTAAAGATATAATAGACACAGAAAATAAATCAATATTCGAACCCGAAAATTTAAAGTTACTTGATAAAAAAATGAATAAGGAACTTAGTATTATAAATTCCTCAAAGAGAGAAAATGGGGAAAATGATAGTATTAATGAGAATAATATTTTGTATAAACAAGAATTAGGTCTTAATCATAGAAACATAGGTTATAATGGAAGTATTAAAAGTAATAAAGAAACAGAAACACAAGGAAATATAAATAATAATGACTTAAAAATCGTTGAAGAAATATCTCAGTCTGATCAAAAAATTACAACTAATAACAGCGTGACTTCTGGTAGCACTAAATGCCTTAAAATCGGACAAAATAAGAAAGAATGCGAGTTAAAAATTAATGAAGTAAATATTAATAATTTAAATAGCAGTCCTGGTTCCAAAGACGAAATGGAATGGGTTTCTTTAAATCTAACCGGAATAGTCTTGGACAATATGTCTAAGCTTAATTCAGATAACATTATTCCTATAGATACTTCTGATAAAGTTAATGAGCTTAAACACAATGAAAGCACAGCAAGTGACGTGGCGCTAACAAAAAGTGGGTCTTCCAAAGATGTTAGCCTTTTTTCTTCAGATGGTGATGATTCCAGTCTCTTTGAAGATAGCTTCCCAGCAGATTTGCCGTCCACTATTATAGATAAATTAAACAATGACAGCTCCGTAAATCCAAAAAATGGTGTTGTTAATCCTAATTCCACTGCGAATGCATTTAGTTCAATATTTGATATAGACGAGGATGAAGATATTAAATTAGTGTATGAAGATGAGAAAAAATGCAGCGAAGACAATGACATAAACATATCGCAGAATGAAATAATAATAGACACTCAAGATATGAATGAGACTATTATTAAACATCATTTTATAAGTCCACGTAAACGTCGTGCTAACACCGATAAGACATCAGCAAAGAGATCGAAGTTACAAAGAAAGTTATATAGCAACCGTTCAGTTGAAGAAATGCAGATCAAAAACAAAACAACAAGATCTGAGGAGTTTTTGTTAAATATTAATAACACTAAGATAACTTGTAAAGTTTCACGAGACGAAGATATAGTTATGAGTTTGTTACATATTAATAAAGCGAAAAGAGCTTCCATTATACTGGACATGAACTCAACATCAAAAACTAATTGCAATATTGGAAATAAAATTTTCGAAAACGAGATTGAATTACACAAATATGAATTACCCTTTAAAGGAATTGCGTTTTGCTTAAGAGATGATTCGTGTTTTTATATAGATTTAATTGATATGGGAGAAAACGAGCAGATATTTAAAAAGAAGATGATAGAAATTCTATCAAATGATTCCCTTCAATTGGATATGCTGTCTATAAAGACATATTACGTTGAAATCAAGAAATATTTTGGAGTTAATTTGTCTTATTGTAACGACGTTTCTTTAGCTGAGTGGCTTCTAGATAGTGAGGAGAAAATATCGACAATCGCTGATCTGGTGCGTACTTCATATTATAACTATAAGATTTAATAAATATTTAACTTTATTTATAAAGTATACTTTATGTTTCAGACGTTCAAGTACTGTGATCTAGATTTACAGAAGATGGAAATAAAAATTGACGACCAGATGAAAAGTTACAAATCATTGAACATGTATGAGATGAGTTGTCTAAGGGCGTGGTGTTTAAGAAACATAGTAAAACAACAGGAGAAAAAAATATCCCAAGAAACGTTAGCCATGGAGAAGATATTAAGTGAGATTAAATAGAAAATCTATTAAAAGAAAATACCATCATATTTAATATAAGATTCTAAATATTTATATTTTCAGATACAGAAATCCAAGTTTGTAAGATCCTCGGGGATTGCGAGTATCACGGCATTACCGTGGATAAAGATCTAGTGTCGAGATTTTTGATTGATGTGAAAAATTCTCAAGAGATCTTACAGAAGAAGGCGTTTAAGATATGCGGGTACCATTTTAATTTCAACTCGTCCAAAGATGTAGCTAAGGTAAGTGGACATTGTTAGGTTTTTGTAACAAAAAATGAGGTTAAAAAAAAAATAAAATAAATAGTCCCAATTAGAATTTTTATTCACTAAAAAAAGCAAATTTTTTATGGAGAAAAAACTAGATTCTAAAAGAAACAAATTTTTTCGGATTTACTACGCGATTTTTTATTTTTGACTATAAACTACCTACTCCCGACGTAAATCCGAAAAAAATTGTTTCATTTAAATGAGTACTCACGAAAATCTTAGATCTCATTAACTAGATTCTATATAATATATCTAAGTAATATAAAACAAAGTTTGTTTTTAGCGAGATTCATAGAAATTCCTTTATAGGTTTTAGGACTTTACAAGGGTCGTAAGATCAGTACTAGGAAGAGCGTTCTATCTGCACACAATAGTCCTATGTCCAGTATTATAATATACTGGCGGAAACTCAACTCAATACTCACTAAGAGCCTTTATCCCATCACTGAACAAGCATGTGTATACACTGAAGATAATAGGTATGGCTTTTACGATTTTTTTTTTAATGTAAAGGAAGTTGCTTCATATAAATATTTAGGCTGAATACATCGTAAATTAATATTTGAAATAGTTTTGTGGTCGATTATTATTTAAAGCGTATTATAATTTTAGTGCAGAAGAAAATCTTTAAAAGTACTCTACCTTAACATAAATGCTTAATAGAGTTTATTTCTAACAAAAATTTTTTTGGGAGTAAGTTCTCCAAGAAAAATATAAACGCAAGTAAAGTCGAAGGCAAAGCGTTGTTAATATATTCATAACAAATTCAATTTTCCGATCAATTCGTTGCTGGTATTCATAAATATATTACAATTCCAGGATATCTCCGTCTTATACCATGTACACATGCACGGGTCGCGTTAGCATGCACGAGCCGAATTTGCAAAACTTACCGCGGAAATTCACGATACCGTCAAACTATTTATGCGATAATGAATCTTGTGGGGACGTAATAGAGTTCAATTGTAGGAAGATATTTAAAGCAGCGCCCGGTTACGTTTTCATATCGGCTGATTACTGCCAGTTGGAAATGAGGATTCTGACACACTTTTCCAAGGACGTCACTCTAACTAGGATAATGGGTTCGGATGTTGACGTTTTTAAATCTATAGCAGCGTCTTGGAGCGGTGTTCCCGAGAATGAGGTGATTTTGATTTAAATATTAATTGAAAATAATAGTATTAAGTTATTTAATTTTATTTACCTTACACCGAAAAACTGAAATACATACCAATCATTACAATAAATAAATAAATATTAATACTATAAATGGACTCTATCCTCAAATTGCATTGTCTTACTTTTTACATACATTTTAAATTATTGCCACTTTAAAGCTTTTTTTTTATCCAGGTGGACGACGATTTACGTCATAAAGCAAAGCAACTTTGTTACGGAATATTATACGGAATGGGTAACAGGACTCTGTCTCAACATTTAAACGTAACGGAATTAGAGGCTGCGTATTTCATGGATATGTTTTATAAGACGTATCCGTCTATAAAGGTTTTTACAGCGAGCCTGATAGAGGAGTGTCGGAAGAAAGGTTACGTTGAGACTTTGATGAAGAGGAGGAGATATCTTCCTCATATCAATAGTAGTGTTCCTGCAAAGAGAAGTGAGTTTTTGTAATAAAAAACAATATATAGTGTCTTTTTTATACAGCTATGTACCTATTTTGTGATGTTCTTTTTTTAAATAAATTTTAAAATTTGTTTAAAAACGATATTCAAATTATTTGGAATACGTTTTGAGTTTCATATATTAATTTACGACCGATTTTGGTACTCCTATAATATCACTTTCCTATGCGTTATATTTTCGTTTTAAGAAATGTGGAAGTAGGATTGGTTTAAAATTAATTAGTTTTTATTCTATATGTAACAGCTTGTTTATTTACAGGTGCAGCTGAAAGGCAAGCTGTTAACACGACCATCCAGGGATCAGCTGCTGATATAGCTAAGTCAGCGATGTGTTCCATACAACAAGCATCTTCATCACGACTTATATTACAAATGCACGATGAACTCATATATGAAGTACCGATCATTAATAAACAAGACTTTATAATTACTTTAAAGAAATCTATGGAAAACACCGTCCGTCTAAACGTACCTTTACCGGTCAAAATAAAGTGTGGTCAAACCTGGGGTACGATGGAGGATATCAAATAATACTACGAAAATCATGGAATTTACATAGTTTTTTAATTAGTTTTACTCTTTAGTTATTAGTCTGTGATATTTTCATTTATTCTGTATTATTAATGTTAATAAAATATTTCTGAACCTACACATTTTTTATTAACTCTTTCGCACCTTAATAGTTAATACTGAACGATGTATATAAAAAAACGAAGCCATACTAAATTGCTATGAATAATCTTTTATCATCGCTAATTATATATAAAACCATATAAAATTACACCCTTAAAATGATATAAAACTGGCCAATAAAGTAGCGCATCAAACAAACCATACTCATTGAAAAACCCTCTCGAAATAAAGGGCTAATAAAGGCCAATCAGTGTACAAATCTAATCTTCGCGCCATCTACGTACCGGTATTTTCCCATTTTCCGTCAGAGGGCGCGTTTTTCCCTCGCCCCTCAATCAATACCTGCGCACTGCGAACATCACTCCTCACTCACTAGCTGGCGAACCCATCCCGTGTAAGGTTACACGTAAAACTAAAATGAATCCTCGACTTTCATGAGTGATAGCTTTTAGTATTAGTGATATAGCGACAGTGTTTTATCAAAATGCATTTACATTTCGAGAGGAACGTGAACGCAAAGTGCGATTGTACTATATTGTCTCTATCATGGATGGGCAAAGTACCAGACGAGTTACCCGAGGTGAGCCAGCCACTGAATTACTTAATGTTTTGTTTATCTAGATTTCTTTTTAATAATGAACTAAATTACATATATATTTTTTTAATAACAGCAATTCAATTTTGTATAAACAGTTTTTATACAAAACATATATATGTAGTTCGTAGTAATTTTCATTAACCAATTAGCGGCAGTCAAAGAGTAATTTTTCTGTAAATTGTTCGCTACATTAAATAACCATTATGGATGAAATTAAATATTAATTCCATTGTTGCTAAACTAGGCTTTTATTCTTTTGATAAAAAAAATGTAATATTACAAAAAAAGTTCGACATTAATTTTTAAAAATATAATGTGTTGTTATTCTTTTTTTAAATATCTTAATTTTTCTGATTAATAATATTTTAAATTAAAAAATGTACCTAATTATTTTTTTTCGAATTACGATGCAGTATTAGTGATAATGAAATATTACTTTCCTTTTTCCTCACATAGAAAAGAATCACAGTTTCGTGGATATATAGATTTAATTTGATTCTCGTTTAAAAGAAATTAATGCACACCCCTTCAGTATCTTGAGTTAGCCATACTCGAATTAGAGGTTTCGTTTCCGGCGAGCAGCACGCACTTCACTTTCCCCTTGCATTTCCCGACACATGTATAACATATTTCTTAATTAACGACAAGCTCGCCTGCCACTGCCACTCAACATTCATATATGTATTTCAACTCGAAGTATTACATCATAAGAGTTATACAGACGGCTTGAAGTTCTTTTTTAAGTTAATCAAAAAGCATTAAAAGTGTTGCCATATCAAATGATTACAATTAATATTCAGTTTTTCTTCTACATATATTTGTTTTGGAATGAAAATAATGTCATAAATACATTACTTAATACGTCAATCATTTATTTTTCCTTTCAAAATTGCATAAAAACAAAAATCTATAGCCACAGTTTGATGAAAAATTTAATCCGATTCCTATATTGGTATCTGAATTGGCGAAATTGCTTTCCCTTGAACCATTTTAGTTTTTAATCAATGAAAGATTCATATGGCTTTCAGTTGCGAGTGAGTAGAACTATAAAATATCAAATTGTAACCGAGCACTTTATGTAGGTACGTGGCCAAGGGTTTCTAAGTAGACGTTGGTAAGCCGTTTATAGTTGCGTCAGTATTACATTGCAGTTAACTTCAGGAGCAATTATACTATATTAAAATATATATAAACGTCATATTAAACTTAATATTTGGAGAAAAAGGTTTTATAAGCGTAAGTTATGTTTGTTGTATCCATTTTTATTAGAAAATAGAATGCAATTACGTAGAAGAAAACATGCGTTTCCATTAAGGGAAATCCTGTTAATATTTATGTAGGTTTTACTTAACTCGTGTAATATTATATCTCTTTAAATAAAGATTTTTTTTGTCTAAATTCAGACTAATATATATTAATGAAATTGTATATTTATTATTTACGTATATGTATTAGGAAATAATATTATTAAGCTCCATCAAGTGCTATTTGGTACTTAGTTTTGTACGTGATGTTTTATACTTGTAATATGAGTATTTCTTTTAACTTATGTTGATTTTTGGGGAGAAGATTTTATTGATGAGAAAAGGCTCGATCACTTTTTGTAATAAATTATTTTTTTGGTTCGACTCAAATACATGACTATAGTATTGAGATCTATATTCACAGATTTTTAAAATATTTTAGATAAAATCTTCATATAAATTCATGAAAGAACATTATATGAGCTATTTTACATTTTCTAAAGAGAACATTTTTTATAAAATAATTCAATACATTGTCGAAATACAGTAAACAGTTGATTCAAGAATAAGATACGGAAATTAATAAAATGAAGTGATGTAAAAATTAGTTAACGACTTATTTTCTGACAGTACAATTTTCGGTATTATTTTAACCAAAGTTGATAAAAGAAAAAACAAAATAAATGCAAAACATCTTTAAGTTGTAATATTGACTTTCCCTTTTCGTATTTAGTTATGTAAGATTTGTAAGATTTATTAATCTATGTATCATCATCAGCCTATCAGAGCTCACTGCTCAGCAAAGGCCTCTCCTCACATGGCGAAGGTTAGAGCTAATGATTAATTATTATTATTAATCATCACGCTTGCTCAATACGGGTTGGTGATTTCGAACTTATAATTTGATTTATAAGTCCAGGTTTCCTCACGATATTTTCCTCCATTTGGTTAGTGCTGTCTCTTAGAAAGTACATATAATTCTGAAAAAATCACGTTGTTACTTGCCAGGTTTCGAATCCGCACCCACATGCATGAGAGGCAGGCCTTCAACCTTTAGGCCAAAACGACTTTTAATCTATGTATGACCATTGAAATTCAAATTCAATTGGATACTATACTTAGGTACATTTATACATCGCAAATCTTAAATTACGAAACAAAATTTAATGAGTAAAATAAACGAGCATAAAATACAACAAAAATATACTTACGAATCCTGATAAGGATATATATTTTTTTATAAATCTATATGATTAATCTCAAATGAAAGCTGCTACTCATATACTATTACGAATTTTGTGATTTAATCTTCTTAAAGCTTCTAGGAAAATCTCTGATTTGTATAAGTATATATTGTAACAAAGACGTACATAAATAATATATAAGTATATAAAATACGACAGTTGTAAAATTAATAAGTACCTATACTTGGACTCTATATCTTGGTACATTACCTTTATGTATGTACTAGTACCTATAGTAAATCAGTGGTGGCCTAGTGGTTAAAAGGCCCGGCTCTCATGCACGAGGGCGCGGGTTCGATCCTGACCCGGGCAAGTACCAATGTGATTTTTCCGAGTCATATGTACTTTCTAAGAGAATTTAGTCATCACTGATTAATTCGGATTCCCAAAAGAGGGTTGATGTCAGGCAGGCGGCCGGTCGTAAAAACAATTAGCCAAAACTATTCGCAACATGTAAGGCGAACCCTGGCTATAGCCGGGAAATTGCCAGGTAGAAGAAGATGTACTAGTATATAAAACAAGTAAAAACTAAATAAGATTCATCCGTAAAAAATACAACTCAAATAAGGAATATTTCTCTACTAGCGATTCAGTAAGTTTAGTATTCAGTAATTTAGTGAATGTTTAGTATTCAGTAATTTAGTGAATGTGCCTATTGAAATGCGAAACATGTTTGAAGCACTTATAGTCGAAATGAGATTAAATAGAAAATGAATAGTGAAAATTCGTGAGTAGAGATGGATGAAATTCTATTTAGATTTTTTATTTATGAAGGAAAAAACTATTTTGACTACTTGAATGTAAATCGTAGCTCAGCTTTATTATAGTTTATGCTTAAAGGTAGCCGAAGCCTGCCTGAGAAGGCTTATTGAACATTCACTGAAGCAAAAATCCTCATTCGGAAGGATTACATTTATTGACATTACTCCATATTCCTGTTTTAATATAGGTATTAAATCGTCATTTAAAAATTCTTCATTTTTTTTAAATCATATAAAATTTGCAATAAAAAAGTTATATAGAGTTAGTATCTGTAAATCTTAAATATTTCTAAAAGATTACTACATAATAAGTTGGATGAAAAAGAAAAGTCCAAAAGAACACATTGATTATCGTAAATATGATATAATATGTTCAAAGCGATAATTAGATTCGTAAAAATAAAAAAAAGATTCATTGTCTTTAAATACTGCTAAGTAACTTTTATATCTTTTATTTACAAAAATACAAATAAGAATATACAATTTTCAATATAAAATATTTTTCCTTGATACTTGTAAAGTCGTAATAATATACATGCCTTACATAAGAAAGGTAAAAGATTCTCAGTCCTATTTTATTGACCTTCAGTATACAATGTTACGTAAATAAATTTAAACAATTTTACTTACCTTTGAACAACTTCACGACTTGCTATAGCTTTCTTTGTGTAAATACCTCATGTTATTATTCTTTTTTGTTGTGATTGTGATGCAATATGAATATACTATCAATATTTAAGGAATATACATAATTCTTTATATGTAAAAAAAAAGACGCTTGATGTAATATTATCTAAAATAACTTAAATAACGTAGATCAACTCACACGAACTAATTATTACATAAATAGTTTGTTCAGTTTTTAAAACATAAAATTTTTTTTTTCATATTCGCTTTGATTAAAGTTTACCAACCCTGGTTTCGACAAAGTTTATATAACCTAAAATAACGTAGTTTTTTAATTAATATTAAGCTTCTAATCATTTATTAAGGTTTCTGGAATTCTTTGTAATTAAATATATAGCTTGCTATCATTTAAAAGAATCTTGTAAATCAGATAGGATAAGAGAAAGCTAGCAAATTGTGAATATTTGTTTATAGTTGAACAGCAGCGACAATTGCTGATAAAAATCAGATGGAAAGTGTAAAGAAGCCGCCTGTCCTGATGAAATCTGTTTCACGGTCAGTAACTCGGGATGGAATGGATTCTTTAGGCAATTCACCCGACCCTCCAGATCCAAGGAAACAATTTACATTTTTGCTATATTCTTTGCACAAAACAATTATTAGAAGATTTGATAATGAGAAACAAAATTGCGTAGAATAAAAATCGAATTAGCTCTCTATAAAGGCTGTCTTTTATTCGTTTGTTTTTTTAAACATAGTAATCGAAAAGAAAATCGATTTGGACTCTCCCCTAGACTTGTTTTATAATGGACCAGACACTGTTAGGAATCTATGTATGTATAATCCGGCTAATAGTCAATCTGTCTTTCATTTCCTGTCCGTCAGGATACTTAATTGCACCTTAATATTCCCTATCAAAACACATCCGTACCCTCAAATAATGTTGCTGTAGCAATATTATCATAAATCGTGCTTTTACGTTAGAATGTAGCTTTAACGACGTCATAAAAGGCTCTGGATTCACGAGCACCGTTTAAAGTAATTATGACCTGTTGCATGAAGAAAATTCTAAAAAGATTTTTTAAGAGTAAAAGACTTTACAGTAAAATTTAAATTAATGTTTTATATGGAAATGTAATATATTATATTTAATTATAGTTCAACATTTAAATAATGGTAAAGCAAGAAAATGTGAGGGTCGCGTGATAAGCAATTACTTCGATAGTAGGTCACAATATTCTTCTTATCTAGCGATTCGCTTCTATTCGTACTTACTTTCTTTGTTTACATCTGTGACATCGTCTCTTTGAGGTTTCACAGCTATATGAATTCAATATTATTTCATAGAAGACGTGTAATGTGTAAAAAACTCATTTATTTTAATTCGTTAGAAACAAAACAATAAAAAAACTGATTTATATATATATATAATATAGTATATAAGTAACATCAAAATTTATTCATATTTAAAGCATAACAAAACCTTTGTGCCAGAAAAGCGCATAGCATATTAAATTCCACACAAAATATAACTCCGGGCTCGAAACAACCAATAACTAGGTGGCAGTTTAACTAAGCCTCTGAATAACCCCTTAAAACCCCCGGGCCTCCGCTTTGTTCACAATTAAAAGGCTCGTGAAAGTAGACCAAATTAATGTCAAACTTCTTGCAAATTTATGCTGTGGAATTGTTTTTCACATTTTATTTTAAACCTTTGTTAAATTCGCATCTATTTATAAATATATTGAAACTTATAAACTGTTTTAATATAAACTATATTAATATTTGATTATTTAATTCGTGTTAATTATTTAAATAAAAATTCTTGTTTATTCTACTTATATAATATTTAAAATTTATTTATTACTTAGCTAGTCTCGGACCTTAGACGGATAAAAAATTCATATATGTATTACCTTTCACAAATGAATTCTTCACACTCTTTATTCGTATAGATGAGAGACAAAACGTGTATTTATTGTTCGTTATTTTTGTGTAATAGTTTAATGTTTGTGGTAACTAAATGAGGCAAACACATATTGCTAATGTGTGGGTATTATACATTTATTTCTTTAGAACATGAAACTTTGGCTTAGAGAAGAATTGGTAATTTTCTATCAGTACCGCCTGGTTCTTGCTCGGCAATAGGTAAAAAAACGTCCTTTTTGGATTTATTTATTTAAACTAAGATTTTTTACTTTAAAACTGAAAACACCCTTATATACAAAACATAACTGATCACTGTTGGACGAATCATTTTAAGATTTATATTGGTTTTATGGACGGAATAATAAAAAAAAGTCTTACATTTTATGATATTTTTAACAATTTAAATATTTTTCTTAAACTCTCATGTATCTCTAATAAATATGTTCATAGTTTAATGTGCTTATATGTGGATTATTAATACATTCTAAGACATTTAGTGTGGGCTTTGTTCTTGTTCTTGGTAAGGCGCACTAAGTCTTGGATTTGGTCCTTGTCTTACTGCAAGACTCTTCCAAGACTTAGCATTAGCTCTTTTGCTATTTATTAAACGTTACATTATATTTTAGAACAATATAACAGAATAAATTCTTATTGGGTTTAAATTATTAAATGTCTAAAACATAAATGAGAAATACGTAAAATTAAAATAATACAGATAGAAGCAATTTTTAAGGAAAGATTTTATAGAAAATGGAATAAAAAGTTATGTACACATTTTACCAGTTATTTAAATAAATAAATATTGTACTCATTAATTGTCCTTTAAAGATTATGGACTCAGGAATAAAGCACATAATAATGATACACTAAAAATATCTGACATCATAAATCAACTATTTCAAATGAAAAGAGTTGATTCTCTTACACTGGTGGACCGACATTAACTTAATATAGCAAAGAACCATCGCAAGGAAGCTGGCATTAAAAATAAAAAAAAAATCTATACAAATTTCTCTCATTCATTTGAGAGGTACGGTGTCACACACGGACAGACTGGTTTACAAACTCTCATATGTACCTACTAACATACACACACACACACACACACACACACACACACACACACACACACAACAAATGACATTCCCGCCAAACTCATAAAACCCTCCTTTTTCTTTAAACTAATTCTTTTCATACAGAATAATACAATGTAACGATAGACAGTCTGTTTAAAACATTTCTCAATTTCCAATGACGCTTTAAAAAATTATGCACCCTGTAATTATGTTCATTCCTAACTGCAAGACTCAAGATTTCGAAGGGTTAGTCTTATTTTTGCTCAAATTATGCACGGTCAGACGTCAGTGTAGGTCTTGATTCTGATAAAATGCATAGCAAGATTAAACTGATTTGAGCTACACCTTCTGAATTTATTTAATCTTCTATATAAAAATAAGTCCCGTTTTCCTTCCTGACGCTATAACTCCAGAACGAACGAATCGATTTCCACGGTTTTGCATTCGTTGGAAAGGTCTCGGGCTCCGTGAGGTTTATAACAAAATAAAAATCAAGAAAATTTCAACAGAAAAGAGGGAAAGTCTTTTTTTACATATCATTGTTTTTCACATGGGCAGTTATACTTTGCGTGTTCATAAGTTGGGAAACCATCCGCTTTATTTGTATTGACGTTAGACCAAAAAACAAAAAATGTTGTTTACAAAGGAGCACTTCAATGAAACGGATAATTTGCGGACACGTTTAACGCTTGATTCGGTATCTACTTTAGATTCACTTTCATTTACTTAGAGAAGTTCAACTAAATAACACTTCATTTTTGTAATCGAAATGAATTCATTACTGTTGTGAAATGAAATAAAAATTTTCCTTTTCAAATATACCTAAAAAAAATCTTTATCTTTTAATCACCAAACGAAATGTTACATAAAACAAAACCTTCTGGTGGCGAAACGGAGTTCGCTGGGTTTACTAGTTTATAATAAATTAATATAAGTAGGTACATATATAAAATACAGTAAAAAACTACCTATGTTTTAATAAATAAAAAAATCATGTATATACATTATTGTTTTTGATTTTTGGTGGCACTGTTTATTAGGGTGCTCTCTTATACCATTAAAATTTATGCCCTTACCTTTACTTTCACTGTCTACAAATAGCTTCCAAATTTTCACTGAAAAATTTACTATACTAATAAAGATAAAACCTCAGTAAAGGGTTATAGAAACGTATACTGTTAACATTTCAGCATTTGTGATAATATAAATAAGTTGTAATGGTAATGTGATTTTATGAAACAACGATGCAACTATTTTTTCTTTCAGGCCGTAGGTATTCTGAAATCCGGAAATTGTTAATAAATTATTCATTACGGTGTTAAAATTATGTCACAAAGTCAATAATAACCAAATTAAAGAACTTTAATTTTTAATTTCAATTGGCGTTTTACAGTGCGGAGGTTATAATAAATAATATTCAAATGATAATCGCATAACAAAAAGCTCAATATTAATTTGAAAATTTGGTCAATACAGAAAATATCGCTTATCATTAGTAAGAATGAGTCTAAATATAAGTGTTATCGGATAGTTCATTCTTGTTTTTTTGGCTCTACTATAAATTTCGTTTTTTAGTCTTAACAGCTTTAAAGAGCTCCTGAAATTTTAATCCTACCTTACGGCTGGTTGTAACGCGACATGCGACAGCGAGACGAAAGAAATTTGCTCGATATATAAATTTCTCTTTAATAGTTGTATGATGCTTATATTTTCTCAGACAAATGTATGAAAAATATAATTCTTTAGAATAATGGTAATTAGAGGATGTAAAAATGCAAATTAATAATTATATTTATATCAACAGGAAGAAGGCTGGAAGTTGAATCGCAACAATTATTACCAAGAAGGTTGGCTGGCCACTGGAAATGTACGCGGGGTCGTGGGAGTTACATTTACATCATCACACGCGCGAAGACCACACGAACTACCGTTACGAACAAATTACAACTTACGAGGACATCGATCAGATGTAAGATATATTAACAGCAGGAAATTTATAGATATGATACTAAAAACTAAGTACGTTATTTTTTCCTAATAAAGTGTATAATACTTGGTTAGGTAGGGAGAGGAACTTGGACAGTGGAGGTGAGCGTATAACGCGCGTTAGTTAAGGGGCCCCTTAAACCTACACCTGGGTCGCAAGTCCCAGGCACTATTGAAGCTCCTCTCCCTGCAACGCGATGGACCCGGCACCCGCACGGTGAATCCATTGAATGCTAAGAGGTTTCGTCTCTTAAATCTAGGCTATTGACTCATAAGTAAATAAATTTGGCCTAAATTACTACATTAACATAATGTTCTAAGAATGTATCCAATACACGGTACTTAGTCTTTGTTAAGAAGGCATTTTGTTTATGTGTTCTTGAAAACTATGTTATAAAAACTATATTAAACATATAGTCCAAGTCCATGCTAATATTCTGAGAACAGTTTCAGTCCAACTTCATTCAACCAATCCTTAAATAATCTATAGAAGTATTAGTTCGCAAATTATAGATCAATTTAATAAATGAATACATCAAAATTATTCGATAATTAGTTTACAAGAGTGCTGTTCTGAGAACGAAGTGTGTTAGTTATGATTCACAAATTGGTTTTCAGTAGCTACAATTTTCTATTTTATTTATCTCACGAAATTTCCTTAACATACAACGCCTAAAAATCCTCAACCACAGAAACTTCTAGTTAATTTAAATCGGTATCTGTTCTCAACTTCACTTTTAGTATTCAAAAGAGGCAACTCAACATTTAAAATTGATTTCTGACTAAATTGCTTTTTAAAACAGTTGGGGAAATAAATTTCAATGAATTTTCTGTTTAGTGAGTTGTTTTGTCAAGCATTGAATGGCATTGAAACATTTTAATAATATTGCAACCGACGCCTTAAGCTGGAGAACCGTCTTTGAGAACTTTATAGTAGGTACGTAATTAAAAAAAGTCTTAAAATAATACTGAAGCATCTCGAAATAATAGGGCCGAGTCTCGAGATACTTGTTCTGACTTATAATTATCGTAAACGCTATTTATTACAAGTTATTTTAACTATAAAAGTAGATTAATTAGTGTTATTAATCAGTTCTGGCTCTTATTAATAATTGAACGAAAGGTTAAAGTTTATGTGAGGATTTATTACAGAAACAAATTGTGCTGTTAATTAACATACTTTTTAAATTAAGTGTTGTTTAACGAGATTCCGTTGGGCTGTAGACTGCTACGTATTACCTACGCAGACTAATATGATAAGGAAAGGTGTGAAGTAGGTATCATATATATATAAAGAACTTTACAAAAATAGTATGTTTCGAACGAACGTGTGTTGTTATTTATATACAGTTATATAATAACCATAATTGTTATTATTTGTCGTATTAAGTGTGAGTAATTCTTATATTCCAAATTTAGGTAAATATTCACTTTAAAATATATGTAGATATGTGTATATATTAATGTTTATTACATCTATTTATTGTACATTTCAAACCACCACCAACTGTTATTATACTCAAGTAATCGGAATTAAATATATTTCTTAATTTTTTTTAAATTTTAATAAAGCTTTCAGAGGATTTTCCATAAAAATAAGAAAATAAAAATAAGTCATATTGAAAACAATTTGTATAATATGCAGATCTAGGTATTTGATTTTATGAATTTTCGAATCAAGACGTCATTAAATGTATAAAACAGGTTTTATTATAAAGTTAAAAATGTTAAGCTGGTGAAAGAGTAACTTTTTCCTTTGACGTAATTAAAATAAGTCGGCTTTCGCAATGCTGGTAAAAATTGTTCCTCTTAATGAGTCTACCTTGTTTCCATTTGTTCCCGACGGAACTTATTAACCTACCGAGCACTTTAAAGGAAACTTCAGTAAAAACGTAATTTTAGACGTCATAATGGTGTAATAACAATGATATAATTAGAGAAGAGTCCGATGTAAGTGCTAGAAGAGATTTTTGTAAGAAAATTGATAAACAGACTAATAAAAATACGATTTTTTTTTAAATTCTATATTAATATCAGAAGAAAGTGCTTAGTCATAAATAAATCGGTATTTTAAGAGCACAGATTAAATATAATCACATCACACACAAACAGAATAATTTCCCCAAGCAACAAGATTCATAAAAAAATATTCTGAAATAATTATTTTAGTATTTTATACTTTTAAATTGAAATATGGTATAAAAGCACTAAGACAATTCTCACTGTTACATAATGACAGCGCACTCCGACTGGTACGTCACCACAATACATTTTAACGAGCCGAGTTATTTATATGGACTTTATAAGTATTTAAACTACTGATGTTATATATATTTTAAATATTAAGTAAGTACAATACAAGTCTCTATTTCAATTAAGGTATATATTTTTTTAATGCTAGTGTGTATTTATATTTTGTTTTTGGTTTTTTTTTGCAAGTTTTTTTTCACTGGCCATGTTTATAAAATTAAATCTTAATAAATATATTTGCAGAATTATATTAGTAACACCATATTTACAGGCTAAGTTACATATAATAACGTTCTAAGTAAAATAGTATAAATTCATCATAAACATTTCATTAACAAATTTCAAAAATATAATAAGAAAACAAAATAAGAACACAATGTATAATGCATAATCTGTTAACTTTTAATATTATTTTAGACCTTACACGTTCAATCTACTTTATAATATAGCAAAAAAACGTTTTTATTATTATCTCTTGAAAAATATTTTATGTTTTTATTTTTCGAACACCATTTTCGATAAAAATAATAATTTTAAAAAATATTGTCAAATATCTATTGAAAGAATTTATAAGCCATTCAAGATATTTTTTTTCCATCTAGGTGATTCTGGTGAAATGGAACGAGCCGTATCAGAAGCTTGCTTCATGTGACAGTTCGGGAGTGATCTTCGTGTGGATTAAGTACGAGGGTCGTTGGAGCATTGAGCTGATTAATGACCGGAGTACTCCAGTCACACACTTCTCCTGGTCTCATGATGGTCGGATGGCGCTGATATGCTATCAGGTATTCTTGAATTTTTGTTATTAATGTCAGTTAGCTTATACATTTAGTTTAGTTACGATTCAATAATGAATTGTGATTCTCGTTACGAAAAAGTAACGTAAATCGCTAAGTTATAGGTCTAACCCTGACTACCTAGTACCTACATTTTTTGACAAGAACGTGTTTTTTTAGTACGAATGATTCCCGTAAAAATGTTCCTAATAAGTAAATATTGTTATTATAGGATATTTTTAATACGAAATATTGTTTCATATATTGAGATTTGTACACTTATTCTTTTCTTTATTAAAAATGAAGTTTGTATTCTTACAAAGTTTTTCGTTTTAGTGTGCGGTGTAGGTAATAAAGTTATCTGTGAGTTTGCCTTACAAGATACATATTTCATTTTAATTTTCTTAAAAGCTCACTGTTTGAATTCATACGAGTAAAGGAATTCGACACTTTGAAAGTAAACACATTTCGCATAATTTATGTATATTAAAGTCCCACGACTCTCGAGCGAACAGAGTCTAGGTCGTGATGTACGTACGTATGTTTACATTTCACGACCCACTTCAGGCGGCTAACGATTTATTACAATTTATGTCTGTTTAATTAAAAGAAGTCGTATTTTTCAAAGGAAAATACGAAAAATAACTATTATGGCATTTTGCTATGTGTATTTTGCAAATTTATGTTTATAATTGAAATGAAATCCAGTTCGAAACTGCAGGCAATATACAGGGTGACTGGTGAATTACTATCAATATTTAAGGAGCATACTCGGTACATGATTCTCATTCAAATTATGTAAAAAAAATAGGTACTTAATTTTTGACCAAATTTCCGTATAAATAAATAAAGTGTGTACACGTTCCAAGTGTTCCTAGTGTGGACGCGTGCGGCGGCGTGCTGATACAACAACACGCCGCCGCACGCGTATGTGTGAGTGTGTAGTGTAGAGTAATCTGTAGGGTGTTCATACGATGCGTAATTAATTACACAACTTTTGGTTAACTTTACTTAGAAGTTTATTAATATTTATGTTATATTAATTTTTATTTTGTCATATATGATCGTCAAATATCACGTCCTCAAATATCGATAGTAATTCACCAGTCACTCTGTATAGGCATATATATTTACCATATCCAAAAAAAAAACATATCGTTAGGCACTTGTCAAAAGTAGTTTTTGATAGAAAGAGTAATGTCATGTCTCGACCTTTGAAACACTCGGATGACATCGATATTTAATAACATTTCTTAAGTTAATAATAAATAAAATAAAATGCTAATAATCTCATAAAAATAAATAATAATCTTTTATTTTGTATAAATGTCTGAGAATCATTCTTTTTAAACGTCGTTGAGATGAAAATTGCGGACGAACGCAAGGACGTGGTTTAACTTCTTATTTCACTTTTGTGATTAAAATATTTCACCCTTATATGTATTAAGAACATGTATGATAAATCTTTAATGAATTTTCTTTAATCCTTTGAAAGTTTAATTGAGTTTTTATATTACTGGCTTTTCAAAAATCGTCTGTACACCTCAATGGGTTATTACTTTTATTCACCAATTAGATTCAGGCCACTAGACGCATTCTTCAAATCGGGAGCCTTCAATCCATTCCAATATAGTGGCTTTGTTTGCAACCTGAGTCAATAATAGTTTTTACATAGAAAATAAGATCTTTGGTTAATGTCAATGATTAACCTTCGTATAAATTTAAATGCGAATTCTTTCGTAGTTAATAGTTTAATAGAATTTACGAACAACGAACCTTGAAAATTGCAAACTAAGGCACGCGAGGCAGATCACGTACTATGTACAATGTAAGTTCCACGTCATTGAAGTGCCAAGGTAGCTGAACAAACTTTAAAAGCTAGTTTAGAACGCGGTATTTTTAAAAATGAAAACATTTGTATTAATAAATATTGATGTATATTAATTTAATTTCTAGAAATCTTATTTATCTCGGTTATCCGCGACTGAATGAAAATTATGTTTACTTAATTCGCTGTTAGGATTAAATCTCACCTTACTAACTCTCATATTAGACGTGGGGTGGGGTGAAAAAGTATGTATATAGGTGGTATATTCTATATAGGTAGTCATTGGCCAACTTTGTCCTGTGGAACAGAATCTGAAGGGCGGTGAATCGAAAGAATCACTTTCAGACTTGCTATACTGCAGTTTTCGAACAGGTCGTCGGATTTGTTGGGCGTTATTAATTTCCCAAGAAAATGATTTTGGTATTTTATGGCACAGGGAGATAGGATCATTCCATTTGAAACTGAACAGCCTGTAAAATTAGTGGACGTGATTTATTTGTTTCACTTCATTCGAAAAATGACTTGGTAAGCAATTATGAGTTTATTTGATATATCCCGTAATATATTTTAGTGTCTTACACGAATATATGTTCAAATCGAACGAAAAAAAAGTAGTTTATAAAGAGTTATAGAATCTGATACGAAAAAACTGTTTAACTGGCTGCCTACCTAAGACAAGAGACATTACAGAAATGATTAATATGTAGACAAATTGGACCACATTTTTTATATAAAAGATTACAATGTATTTTAGGATTGAGATCAGATTTTCCAGTACAATAATAATGTAATGAAATTATATCTGTAGGCTAAATAAAAGACTCGTTTCTTGTAATAAAAATAACAAAAAGTAAAGCTTAATTAGATTAAAAAAATACTATCTGTATTTTTTTGCGTTCTGAATATTACATAGAGACCGTGCTCTAATTAGTTCGTGTTTTTACTAAGGCCATGAATTTTAAAACGGTCTACGTCTTTTGAAATTCATATTTCACGTCCATATTTTAAGTAAGGTTACAAAAAAAAGTATGTACCTACCCTTGTCTGTTAAGGGGTATATATATATATATATCAATAACAGGTATGTTTATTCTTTGTTGAATTGGTCACGTTAAATGCGGATCCTTAATTGTTTTTATTTAATATCTCTTTTCATATAATATAATTATTGGTTATTGAATGAAAAACGGGAAACGCTTGGTATGCTGTGTGACGATGCTAACTTAGAATAAGCATGAAAATCTAAGATAGACGATCCCTACTAATATTATAATTGCGAAAGTAACTCTGTCTGTCTGTCTGTTACGCTTTCACGCCTAAATCACTGAACTGATTGAGATTTGAATTAAATTTGGTAGAGGGACAGAGTTGACATTGAGAAAGAACATAGGATAGTTTTTATCTCAGACTTTTGAAAGGTTCTCTTGGAAACGCGATATAACCGAACTCCACGCGGGCGAAGCTACGGGCGGAAAGGTAGTGATATATAAAATTGACAAATAATTAATGAACTAACCAATTTTTTTATGATCTTCTCTATAATATGTTGTCTATTAAATTATGGTGAATTAAAGAGTTCGAAAGACGAAAGCAACCTAAGATACGTAATGTATTTGATTGAAAAGCCGAAGCAATATCAGAATTGTAATGTTGTATAGGATGGCTTCGTGCTGGTTGGGTCTGTGGCCGGCCAAAGGTACTGGTCTTCAATGCTGTCTCTTGATGCTCGCATCACCTGTGGATGCTGGACTCCCGATGACAGCCAGGTCTACCTGGGCACGGCATCCGCACAACTCGTTGTGATGGATGTCCACGGAGCTATGGTGTCACAGGTTAGTTAAAACGATATAAAACTATATACTTATATTATATCTATCGGATTTATTACACATTCGTTGTTTTTAAAGAGAGGGACGCCAGCCTCGCTGACGTTACTAATGTCACTTCATCTAGTACGTTCCATGATATTTTAAAATGAAACTTCAATTGTTCTAAATTTACTTGTATTTCTCAAAGGTTCTTCATAATCACAATATTCTATGGTCCGCACTCACTGAACTCTGAACTCTGTCGTCGTGCGTCCAGACGTCATATTTATAACAAGATTCAAACATAGTTCTATTCTCCTTTTAAACAATCTTGGATTTCGTTTTACTTTTAACAATAATCATGAATACTAATGAGTTTTAACAAGAATTGATGTCAGCCTCAAATTATTTTCTTGTCGCATTCGTTATTAAAGCTGATAGCGCCGATATATATACATACATATATATCTTATATATCAGTGGCGTGCATAGAGATTTGGAGTAGGGTAAGCAGGATATTTCCTCTTCTAAAATATTTAATAATAATGAAATCTTTCGCAAGTATTCATTTAAATGAAACCAGTGTTGTAACTAGCCTTTTATGCACCCGGTGCATGCTTTCAAAACTGCGCCCCTGAAAAATGGTCTAACCAGGCTCTAAAAATAAAATGGACCAATGTGCATACAAATAAATCTATCTATTTGTTGTTTACCAAAGTAACAAAGTATATAAGTATATAGCTACCATGCATGAGATAAAATTAGATACTAGTATGGTCATTTCTGCGCCCCTCCAGGGTCTGCGCCCTGTGCCTGGTCACTGCTGGCACCGCCCTAGTTACGGCACTGAATGAAACTAATATATTCAGATTACTACGCGTAATTTATTATTTTTAACGGACAGACGAGATGTTTGCCGTGATCACGGTTGCTGCAAAGTAACCGAAACCGCAAAATATATAGTTTTTATTATATACCGTATACGATTACGCATAATTTCAAGTATCATTTGGTATATAGATTAAAGTTTTTGTTGTATGAATAAATAAATAAAAAAAACATTTTTCTTAAAATATATCGTTTTATTATCGCAACGCTGAACAGTGAACATGATGTTTTTTATCTACGCTCACTTTTGCATGCTTCATTATCTTTATCGGTAATAAGGATTTATCAAATAGTCTACAGAGTTCAGTTCAGTAGTTTAAGTAATAGAATTACAAAGAGCTCTAAACCGGGTAACAATGTGGAATTGAAATCACAATAAAATATTGCGATATCTATTATCTATAAAACAAATCCGAATATTAAACTCTCTAAACTATTTATAAAATAATAATTATATTTTTCTTCTAAGTTATAAAGGGTGTTTTTTTTAGAGATATACAACTTTAAGTTGCCAATACTTTTTTAACTGGCAGGTATTTTGATAGCTGTCCAGTGATTTGTGTTTAATTTGGTTTGGCAATTCATCATGAATAGACTAACACCTGAACAACGCCTCCAAATTGTGCAAATTTATTTTGAAAGTCATGGCTCTGTTCGAAAAACGTATCGCGCACTACGTCCATTTTTCGGTACACATAATCGTCCATCAACACAATTAATTCGATTAACAATGGAACGTTTTCGCACTACATTTACTCTAAATGATAATACGCATCCACAGAGATGTCGTACAGTGCGTACAGAAGATAAGAATAATTGGTCCGTACTTCTTTAGAAACGATGCTGGCCAGAACGTTACAGTCAATGGTGACCGCTACAGAGCGATGATTAGTGACTATTTCGTTCATCAATTAAAACAACCATAATGTTCAGGAGTTCTGGTTTCAACAAGACGGTGCAACATGTCATACAGCTCGTGCCACATTTAATTTTTAAGAGAAACATTTGTTAACCGCATAATTTCACGATTCGGATCCGTGAATTGGTCCCCAAAATCATGCGATTTAACGCCGCTTGATTATTTTCTGTGGGGATATGTAAAAGTCGTCAGTCTACGCTGATAAGCCCGAAACCGTTGTTCCCTTGGAGGATAACATTCGTCGCGTTATTGCCGATATACAGTCACGAATGTTGGAAAGAGTCGTTGAAAATTGGACCTCCAGATTAAACTACGTACGAGCCAGTCGTGGAGGTCATATGCCTGAAATCTTATTTAAATTATAATGACAGAATATTATCTTTCCAAAATATTATATTTCATATCAATAAAAAAAATCATTTTTGTTTTATTTTATTTCAAAGTTGTATACCTGTAGAAAAAACACCCGTTATATACCTATATTCAATAATTTGCTAGCTTCTGGAAACCTTGTGAATTAAATGGAGTCAGGAGTTGCACAAATGGGTATTGTTTAACGGACGAGCAAGTTTAATGTTAATTGGTTTTAATTACCTACTGTAATAGAAAATACCGAACCGAACTAAAACATAGAAAATAATTTTCAATTACAAAGAAATTATATTACAGTAGTAGAAGCTCAAACAATCATTCATAGTTAATCACCTCAAAATATAATTATAATAAAATTTAAGTTATTAACAGAATAATTTAATTCAGAGTGAAAAGCGTGGGGTCTATTTGACAACATTTCATATCTTTTCACTCATAAATAGTTGCAACTAGAATAATTGTAGCATTCAATATCAAGCAAGAAATAAAAGCGTGGCAAAAATACAAATAACAACACAGACAAACACTCAGAAATAAATTTGTTACGGCTTCCATTAAAAATGAGGATAAAAAACATCGGGACGTGAATTATTTCATGAATATAAAAGATACAATAGAAATTATAATAATAAGTTAGTAGATTTTAAGCTGAAGAATTTATTTATGTATAAAAAGTGTAAGCACTTTACAACAGATCAAAAGACATATGGCCAACAAAGTATTTTTTTTCTTTTTCGTGATACTAGTAGTTGTTAAAATCTCTATACACGAACGTGTTTAAGAGGTTAGAGGTCTTCGAGAGGGTTAGACGCGCCTCTGAGAGGTCGCTTGTGTTGTAACACACGAGGGTCGTTTGAAAAATAACTATACACTACACAACTATAGCTTTTTGTGATAAACTTAATATGTTACATTAATTATTTTTAAATGAAACTGATTATAAAATTTATGGTTACACGTTACCTTAGTTCTTTTTAAGTCGTTTGAGTTAATTTTAAAAAATACGTCTAGTAAAATTGTTATAAAAAAATTATGTAAAAATGATTTTCCTATTATTTGAAACTCTGCCAACTATCATAGTGAATTATGAACATGTAGCACCCGGTCATTTGACCAATTTCTATATAGAGTGGTAGGTTTTCCGCATACACATAACTTATTTTAAGTGTGTCGTTCATATAATACATAGAACGTTAAAGTATATACATACATACATAATGAATAAATTATAAAACAATGCGGTGAATTTTATTTAAACGCTCTCTTGAAATCGTAGCTCCAATAAATTGACGTTATATGTACATATATTTTTTTGTGAAATAATTTACTTAATAGAATTTACAAACAAAATATAATAAGAAAAGAATGTAATGAAAACTAATTAATTGTGCCAGGAAATAAATGTCAACATATCTTAATGAGTAACAATTGGGTTATTAAGAGTGCTATAGACTATAGAAATAGATATAAAATCAAAAAAATATTATGTTATAACTGTAAATATATAGTAGCCTTAGATTCCTTAGATATTATTAATTGTTGGTATTTCTAAAGGTGCAATTAGTAGAAGAAGGCGGTATAACTTCAATGGCTTGGTCCTGCGAAAAATTTAATATGGAGGAAGGTGAGGAGGTTGGGGAGAATAAAGGCGGGCACGTGCTGGCTGTAGCTCTTGGCAACGGAGAGATAGTATTACTACGAGGACATGATGATGTCAGTCCTATCCGGATACATACTGGTGTCAGAGGGAACACATTGGCCATGGAATGGGCAAATTCAAGGGAACTATTGGCCGTTGCTGGCACTTTAGTTGCTGGTAAGTCTGGTTGCTATCTTGGGACTAAATCATATATATTAGTATGGAGATAATAAACTGCGTGTTTGTGTTATAGAACCAAATGAACCAGAAGACGAACCTCCATTTAAGAATATAGTCAAGTTTTACGCGGACACGGGAGCGCTCATTTATACAGTACCCGTTCCTTGTACTCAAGTAAGTGAAGAATTATGAGAATTTGGATTTGTTAATGAATTAATATTAATGAAAAACCTTGAATGTGTTTGCTTATGGCAGATAAAATTATGAAATCGAAACAAAATTTCTAAGTTGTTTATCATCTTCAAAAGTTTGTAAAATTGTTAAATATAAACAGCACCTATTTTTTAATGTACTGCACTTACCGGTGAAAAAAGGAAATATCCAGTGAGCTCGATAAGATTAATTGCAGTCATAATTAAAACTTTTTGAGAAAATATTAACAATATAAACCAAATGTACATATTAGTCTCAAATTTATTCTATTACTTAGACACTTTTCAGGCACTATTTAATTATTTAGTCTCTTTTTCATTAAAATGATCAAATTTTTAATAAAATGATAACTATTAATGATAACTATTCTAGCCCTCGTATTGCAGGGATGGAAAAAGTATAATAAGAATTAAAGTTCCAGACAATATTTTTATCATTACATAGTAGCACAATCTATTACGTGTAACGTGAATATATACTGTTTACTCAGGCGCGTGTGACAGCCCTGACGTGGGGTCACGCAGCGCGTCGCTTGTTCGTTGGTGTGGGGGGCTCTGTGTGTACCGCCCGCGTGTGGCGAGTAGTGGCACCCCTGCAGTTATTGGCACGTGTTCGTGCCGCTGCCGCTCTACGTCACCCGCGGCTCGCTGCAAAACTGCCTCTACCACCTAGACTGCAGCCCGCGTTAGCGAGTTTATTCGCTCATACTATACGGGTAACAACTTCTTTATATGTATGAAATATAAAATGTATGTGATATCTTCGATAGATTTTCGATAGGTGTATATTGTACTGATTTGTAGGAAAAAATTATATATTCAGTTCATATAGTTCATATGGTAACATAACTAATATGAGTTCATCTTGTTACTCGTCTATTATTTTATAAGTACCCACATATTCTTTTATGTTTTTCAAACATGAATACTATTGGTAAGCAGTGCAACGTCCCTGAAGCGAACGAACTACGTCGGTTTGTATCTCGTCCGCCGGCCTCGGGCGGGCGTCTTCACTGTACTATGCTGCGACACGATGATGAGGAGGCGGGTGCTTATACACTGTACCTCGAACATCTGGGAGGACTGGTGCCTTTACTTAAAGGAAGAAGGACCAGCAAGATCAGACCGGAGTTCGTGATATTCGATCCTCAGGGCGAAGGTAGGAAGTGTTTGAAAATACTATGTATAAAATTCCAGGCCGTTTACTAGCATGAGTGGATTTTTAATTGATAAAGAGAGGAAAATTTGATATTTCAACAAATTATTAGTTTATAATACGTAATTTAAACTTCGAATAACAATCCATTTATACAGTAAAACTGTAAAGATGAATGGTTTTTGACTAGTATTAAACAGCGAACATTCCAGAAGGCGTCCCTCCCCCACGCGAGTCGAGCAGCAGTAGCAGCACTAGCGCGTCCAGCAGCAGTGGGGGTGTGCGCGGCTCCCCTCGCTTGTCTCGAGCACACGGCTCGCCTCGCTCCCGAGCCCCCCGACCGAGACCCGCCACACAACACGACTCTTGTTCCTCTGACACTGAACGAGAGGATGGTGAGTCCATTAGTTTTAATTTTATGGGAAAAGTGGCAAAAAAGTGGCCTACTTGGATAGAAGTAACCGTTGCCCATAGCTATCCGCAATATGTCATGTTGCGAATGCGTTGCCGACCTTGATTACGAGGGAACATGGAAAGGGCAACTGGGCTTACTTATCGGACGAAACGCAGACATTAAAGATTACTTCATGCCGATCCTTTGTGAGAGGGTGGTACATACTTTCCAAGCCCACTCATGTTCGAAATGTAGCAACTAGACACACTCTTTGCAGTAGCACGAGATTAGTAGATTAGAGTTAATACATAACTAAACCACTTTCAAAATTCATTGAATAGATACCAACATTGTACGCAACCTGGGCAGGCGTAATTTTGAGATAACAGAATTAAGTCAGTCATATCTGTAACGTTGTTTTCCTGTAATTCATATTGATGAATAATTTATGTCAATAACATCAGATACCAAAATATTTTGATTGAGCTTGTAAGGAACATTATATTTATATTCGCTATACGTTACATGGTTCTGACCATTGAAATCACATGATTTATTTCAGGTTGTTCGGGCTCTCCGCGCTTACAAAGACGCAGACGAGCTCGAGAACGACGGAAAGCTCGTAATGCCAGTGAAAAAGACGATACCCCTGACGAATTGGCCTATATAGACTCCTTACCAGAAGTATAACGAATTTTTCTTAAATAAAATTATTTCTAAACCTTTTTCCATCCAAAGGATGGCGATTAATCTTGCTATATATCATATTCACTTTGTCAACGTGAATTCCTTTTATTTAGTTACAGGGAAAATTAACCCAAATTTCAATTGCAGGACGTTCGTCTAGTGGAAGTAACATCGAACATATGGGGGACAAAATTTAAAATGCACGGATTAGCCAAAAACGTGCCGGCGAACCTCGGACAAGTGACGTATAAAACTTCATTATTACACCTCCAGCCCAGACAAATGACATTAACAATAACAGAACTCAGAGATGACTACCCAGTCGGACCAGACCCGAATTTCAATCCGAATATATTTTCCGAAGACGAAGAAGAAGTATTCCAGCCTAGCGAAACAAACTCTCCGTCACACACTAATAATAATATTAGAAAAAAAACCAATCCACTAATAATGACTGATAGGATGACTAGCACTAATAATATAATAAATCAATCGGAAATATATTCACCCAACAACAACTCGAACCCCGCCATGGCTAGGGCGGAATCTTACGACGAATTTCCCTTTATAGATACTAATGAATCTATTAATAATGTGACAGATAATGTTTTTAGCACGACTCCCGTCCGACATAGTAACCAGACGCCTGAGAGGCGTGTCAGTAATACAGCAGGGGTGACCAACCGTCATGCTATATCACCTTTGAGGTGTGAAGGTTCCGTACCCACGTTGCAGTCCCCTAAGAATGCTGTTGCACCTACCGATATAATTTTCGAGAGACCCTCGCCTCAAACCGTCACTTGCGGAGGTCGAGGCGACTTTTGTGGAGGACGCACCGAGTATAGCGTTAGAGATAATGTTGCGATCAAAGGGAATCTACCCAATATGGACCAACAATCTTTCAGCTTAAACCTCAGCTTGGAACCCAGTAGACAAGTGACCATAAAGAAGTGTGATAATCACGTCGCCGACAATTGTCTGTCAAAGTTAAGAAAAAATATATGCAATAGAGGAGAATCGTCATACGAAATCAATACAAATAGAATATTAAAATCTCTCTGTAATAAGAATTTTGAACACGAAGTCCATCCTGACGCCATGTCCAAGAGAACGGAAACACTTAAAAATTTGCAAAAAGGTGAAGATTTAAAATTTATTGACGAAGAGACTCCCGTCGATACGAATATTAATAATCTAACAGATAAAGTTCGAGAAGGTAGAGTACAAAGAACGACTACCGTAGTGCCCATTAGTCCAGTGTGTGCAAACATTCCCGTATATGACACGATGACGCGCAGTTGTAGTGTGGGTTACCTCGACTTGGTGGACCCACAAGTACTACACGCTCAAGTCAGCCTGACCGCCTTGAGGGGAGAACCACCGCGACGACTGATACTTGTAAACACGAAACGACAACGACGACCGAGAAGATACCTGAAGAATGATATGAAACAAATGGATAACAAAACACCGAGCCTGAAGAAATGTGGGAAATCCAGGAGCTTGGATTCTGGGGAACTGACCATTACGGCAGAGAAGAGTAAGCGGCAATCGAAAACGGAGACGAAAATCAAGGCTGACGTGTCCGCGAACTGCAGTAGTCGATACAATAGTACGGGGGAGGAGGGTAGCGGCACTAGTACGGAGGAAGGACGAACTAGGGGAGGGTGCACGCTTGGGGTGCGACCGGCGGGCTCGGGGACACCCCCCGCCGCCCGCGCTGCACCCCCCGCACCCCTCCTCACCGACAGTGATTCCGACTACAGCAAGTATTATAGTTAGTAGTAGATGCTTTTTCTCACCAATCCTCTCAATACTTCAATGGTGAGACCCATGCGACTTCCATTAGAACAGCACCGCGCTTCGTCGAAACGCATGCGGCTTTAATTACAGCGAGCTAGTTTTTACCCAGTAAAGTATCCGCTGAGTAGTTCGCAAAGGTCTTCCCAGACACGATCGATCTGTATCGATCGTAAATAATATTCTATAATATGTAGTATACACCCGCTTCTCTGGCCATCAGACAAAATACGGCTAAAATGCGGACATGTCACTACGCTTTTACAAGTAATTACAATAGACTGAGTCAACCTTGATAGATAAGCTAGGATATGACAGATAATAACATAGATGTGGTGGGCAGGTTCCTTGGAGCAGTTGGCTCTGCGGCTGCTCGCGTCGCGGTCATCAAAGCGTGCCGGTGAGGGGGTCGCGGGTTCATTGTCTCGTGAGAGTAGCTCCGCCCCAGCCTCCCCCCGGCCCGCGCGGGCCACATCCCCCTCCCCCGCGCCCGCGACCCCCGCCCCGCGGACCAGGAGACAGAGATACTCCTCCGCATCACCGATAAGGTACTATTAGATAAACACACCCTTCAATTACATACGTGTCTGTATTAATATACAAAAGTTATATAACCTATTCAAACTCAAATCAACTTTATTCAATATATGTAGAAAGCATTACACTTCCTTATTGACGGTCACTTAAGACACTACCACCGGTTCGGAAAACAAAATACCCTGACCTGAGAACAACCGGCGAAAGAAAGTCAGCGGGTTTTTTTTACATATATTTGTCTCATATATTATATTCACAATTTAATATGAGATGAAATAGCCAGGAGGCGATCGCTTCATTCCCAAGGTGTGCTATCGTTCATAAACTCATTAATTGTATAGTAACCTTTTGCACACAAGCGTTCCTTAATTCATCAATAAATCAGAGGTAACTAAGTGACATTTATTATAACTTTTCCAATGATTTCCATTACAGACAATTGCTCAACTCGCCGCTGTTAAATAGAAGAAGAAACAAGAAGCTGTCTGAGAGTTCAGACGACGAGTACTCGAACGGTTACAACGAAGTTAACAGCAAGAACTACAGAGATCTAGAGAGTTTCCAGAAGGCACAACTTAGAAATAAGGTACTTTTAAAATAACTAATAAGGTTACGGTAGACAATAGAATTTATTTAAATTAGTTTGCTAATATCCTCAGTTCTAATATTTTCATCATTATCACCTAGAGATTTATAATTGAAAGACCGTATAGTTAGCGAGACTTAAGCTGAGCTTTGCATTTGTGTGAGTGATAGTATAAGTAGAGGTCGACAAAAATTTATATAATTAAGTTTTATTATATTTTAAATACATACATAACATAAGTGCGAGAGCTATACTCGATTAAAATAAGCAAAACTTGGAAAAGGAAAGATGTAAATATTATGTATATTAAGGAAAAAAAAATTATCAATAAGAATTTTGCATAAACTATACAAATTCTTCTTCACTTGATATTGCGTGATCAACATTCAACTTTGCTATCAGTACAAAGGCTAAAGTAAGGTGCGGGGCGGAGTTAAAGCCAGTATAAACCAGTTCAATCCTAGAAAAGAACGTGGCATTCAAAAATTTTACATCACACCTACACTATCGGTTTGCACTCACACAAATGCATTGCTTAGCTTAAATAAAACTCACTATACCTAATACCTTTTTTACCATAATTGTTGTTTTGTAAAAGCTAAAACGTGCTGGCGGTAACATGGGCGCGGGCGCGGGGGAGGTGCGTGAGCGTCGTCAGCTGATGATGCACAACAAGGCGCCCATGTGGAACGAGAACAGCCAGGTGTACCAGCTGGACTTCGGAGGACGGGTGACGCAGGAGTCCGCCAAGAACTTCCAGATTGAGTACCACGGGAAGCAAGTGAGAACGATGAAGTTATTTAACGTGTATTCATGATGCAAACATTTATTTTCTGGCTGTCGTGGTGGCCTAGAGGTTATAGGCTTGCGTCTCATGGGGGCGCAAGTTCGAAACCTGGCAAGTACAAATGTGATTTTTCGGAGTCATACGTACTTTCCAAGAGTATTTTAGAGACCACTGACAGACGGTGAAAGAAATAACATTGTGAGGAAACCTGGACTTAGAATCAAATTATAAGTTTAAAATCACCGTTCTTTAGACTTGAGAGTTCTTTTGTAAAAATGATTATTAAGTTTTTTATAACTTTTCTCCGATGGAGTTTCATTCGTTAGTTCCAATTCTCAATACTGAATATACTGATAAGGAGGAAAAATCGTTATTAGTGTACATTATTATTGAAGAAATTAATGGGATCTTTTACTTTCAAAATAAAAGATAAATAATAACTTTTGAACAGTAAGAAACAGATAATAATATTATATAGCTGCGCCCCGCGGTGCTACCCGCGGATTTCCGGGATGTAAAGTAGCCTATGTGTTATTCCTGGACGTCAGCTTCCTGTATACAAAATTTTATCAAAATCGGTTTGAGCGTGAAGAAGTAACAAACATACACACACACTCACAAACTTTCGCAATTATAATATTAGTAGGATTATTTACAGTAAGCATAATATTCATTATAATGATTCCAGGTGATGCAGTTCGGTCGTATCGATGGCAACGCGTACACCCTGGACTTCCAGTACCCGTTCTCATCCCTTCAGGCGTTCGCGGTAGCTTTAGCGAACGTAACGCAACGGCTCAAATGAGCTCTCGCCGTCACGTACAGCAAACGACTGCGCTCCTACGGCTTCTACAACCGCTGTGGGGCGTGAATTGCTGCTAGCGTGCACTACAATGGACAATACTGTGAATATATTTTGTTTCCTGCACCCATAACCCCTCTCCTATATCGATGTACCTTTCCTTTAAAACGTAATTGTAATTTCATGTTAAATAATAATTCATCATAGGTGAACCTATGACACTATGAACAATAGCGGCATTTATAAATGCGACCATTGAAAGTTGTAGTTGGACGTCGGTGAATTTAGTATTAATGTAATAATAATAGGAAGAATTTTTATATGTGTGTGTATTATGAAAGCTATCCAAACATCCATGAATATTTTTACACGGAAAAATTAAGAAGGCTTCTCACTCAATATATCTGTTCGCTGGTAGGAACAATAATAGCGTGGTGCCTTTGGGACCATCGACTTATCTATTATAAAGTAGCCGGCCTTTCTTTAGACACAATCCTACATAGTTTTAGACTCCTACATAAATGTGTATTTGATAAGACACTGTAATTTGAAGTTAGAATGAATTGATAAATTAATTACAATGATTAATATATAAATTCAATGTTAGAATTGAAGTGTATGTTGTTATGAATTTCTTTATTGTGGCCTTCTGTAATTTTAGTCGTAAGTAGCTAGACATGTTCTAATGTTTTGAATAGTGGCCACAGATTGTTGCAAGTGATCAATGATGGACTTGATTGGTACCTGTTCATATTAGGGTTACAATATACATAATATAATCTGTTTTAACTACTCATTACGTGTTGTTGCACCCAAATAATAGTCATAATTTATACACCGCGATTATTGTTTAATTTATTGAATAATTTAATTGTGTTATCTTTTTGAAGACAAATTAATTTATTTGTTGTGTTTAACAAAGCAGTGGTAGAAGAAGAGTAATAATAAAAATGGTGAAGATTTTAAAAAGGAATAAATGTCTATGTCGTTTTGGGTAATGTAATTGTTTTCATATATTTGGTATGATATTGTGTAGAGTTGATTATTATCAATGTATGTATTTCTAACCATACCATGTGTTGTCATAAGTTTTAACGTGTCTCCTAGACCCTAGTTCTACAATACATAGAACTGAGGCGAGGATCGTTATTTGAATGTAACACATCAGGCTAATGTATTTCAGGCCTTTATAATAAGTGTCTTTAGTAGGAATAGTAATTGATTGGGATATGGCAATATTGTGAGAATTTGTTCAGAAATTATTTTTATGACATATTGTTGTGTTTTGTGTAAGTCGAGTATTATAAATTAATTGTCAACGGTATGTATATCAAGTTATCGATGTTAGATAATTATTTATATTACATCTACTTTTAGAATGTAGTTCAAAGATTTAAATGTTCTATTTCCACCTTTTTCACTTAATTAAATTTTTCCACATTTGAAAGCTTGTGTTGAAGAACGGTAAGTCTGCGTTAAGTAATAAGTATTTTTTAAATACAAATTAGAAAAACATGACGTCTGGAAATAAAAACAAATACTGCTTTTAATGCTTTACCAAATTAACATTAAGAGAGGATTTACGTCGGAACTCAGACGACAAATCTTTTATTTAAAAAGAAGTCATCTTTGACTGAGAATTTATTTAAAATGTTTAAATCTTACTTTTTTATATAATCTTACTCGTGGTTCGTAATTTTCCCTAGATATACATTCTTTGAAAATACATATCTGTGGTTAATTATTAAAAAAAATACTTGATAAAAAACGAGATGTATAATCTTGATTTTCACCATTAATTTCAAGACTGCACTTAGTGTAAATAAACTAAGTTGGTATTTATGTTGCCAATTAGCTTTAAGTTTAGACATAATTATTAATTATACGAGTAATGAGAGCTTTGCTTTTGTTTGCTTTATTAAGTTTAGCTTGTTAAATTACTTTCTTACTTGGATGTTGAACTATCTGTTTACTAAAAACTTATTTGATGTCAGTTGTATATAGAGATGTAAATAAAATAACTATTCTCTGAATAAAAACAACTTGTTTTATTTATAACAGCCAAAGAATTCTGTATAAAGTGAGTAATATTATTTTTATTCTATATGATGACATAAGACTGCTAATTTTACTAATAAGTTTTAATATGACTACAATGTAGTACTTTTGCCCTAATACATTATAAACAGGACCATTTAAATTCTTATTCATGATTATTAAAAGTATAAATATGTTGATAAACATTTCAAGTCATGATAATCAATGGTATAAGATGTTTTAAAGATTATAACACTTTAAATTTTGCAAGGCACATATATTTGTATATTGTAGTTATATATTTACCAGGAAGATGGGCAGCATCTTTCTGGAACAAGTCATCTATACTGTGCTCTATACTTTAGATAAGGGAGGCCTATCTTTGTCCAGCAGTGGATCTTACATGGCTGAAGACGATGATGATATTAACAAAATTAAATCTACAACAATAAACAAATACATTATGAATTCATTGTGTTTTTATGGTTATACAAAAATAAGTTTTAATTTAAAAATCATTAACGTTGTTAATCAGTCTCATCCTATAATGAAATATTGGTTATAAAATTTTCAGATGAAATTATACATAATTTAAAAGATACATCTTAAAGTATGACATACTTGAGGTAAAGATTAGTATTGAACAAATTATTGTTGTAAACATGATAATCGGGTATGCAGTTATCTTTTTGTAATCTGCTACAGAGTAGGATATAAAACTGAGCTAATTCGTGTTTGGTATAAATCATTTAATAAACATTATTTGTTAATCGCTGTCAGTTTCACTCTGTCCTGGAACATAATCTTCATCATCTTCATCTGATATATCGAGATCATCTAGATCTTGGAACAGAGACTCATCCACTTTAACAGCATCACCTGTTAAAATAAAGTATCTATAGTTTTATGAATCATTACAAGTTAATAAATGATAGTAACAAATAAAATTTATTTGTCTGTTTTTAATTTCCAATTAGGTGTTACTCACTAAAAGAAACAATTTGTAAGCATACACAATACCTAAAAAATGAATTTTGTAAAAAATGTGATGTCTGTCTGTCTATTTATTTTATCTAATCTTTGAATTGCCTGGACTTATTTCAATGGTAATGTCACTTGCATGTAGGTAATCTCATAACTCATAAAGAATTACTGAAAATACTTTTGAATAGAGAAATACTTATTTAACAAAATCTTTGTTAACTATTTTTCCTTCAATTAAAGGCTAATTTTTAACATCTTTTAATATTGAAATGGCACTGTTCTTTGTGAGACCATATAACCAAGTCAGGGAGTGATTGAGAAGTCAAATGTTATGTTGATAATGCATATCAAAGAAGGGCTTTAATTATCAGGTAAAGCCACAGCCAACAGTTAGTATTCGTAATACTCACCATCATCAAGGAATTTCAGATCAGATTCATTGAGTGTGGTGTCTCTCATAAATAATTCTTTTCCTGTTAACTTATTTTTGTCTTTGTTTTCTTTCTCTCTCTTAGCCGGAATACCCATTTCTATTTCAAACTGTTTTCTCCATGCAAGGAATGATTCAACCGTAACTCTGGTACCTTCAAATCTTTTCTGTAAAAGTTTATCATAAAATATATTAAGATTGAACTTTTTTTTGCATTTTGTTATCTTAAATGTCTTATCATTCTTAAATTTCACATGTAACTAACCATTTCTGCCTCCTCTTCAGCCTTTTTCTTCAGAAGAACGGCTTCCTCCCTGTCTTTTTTAATACTATCCCATTTCTCATTGAGCCATTCTTGGCCAGCTGACACTAGTGTGAAAATCATTACCATTCCAAGATTCTCATTACCCTGAAATAATTATTAATGTATTAATCTCTCGTTCAATTATAACCAGTGTCTGGTAAAACTAGTTAATAGGTAACTACTTTTTAAATGCTCATAAATTTTATCACCTTATAAATTTTATATATAAAATTCATCTAAAGATATCTAAGTAAAATATAAATATTTTCAACAGAAAAATTCATTATAAATAATGCTTTACAGTTAACTAGTAGTATTAAATATTAGAATTTTACTTCGGAAATAAACAAAAGTATTTTTGTATGAAACATTTCTATGTGTAACATACAAAGTGTGTATACAACATATGAATTCCAGGGACACAAATAAATCTATACATACTTGTTCCATAAGGTGTTTGTAAAGTTCATTTTTGTCGACTATTTCATCGAAACTTTCATCTGTATTTATTTCTAGTGAAGGCAACTCTTCGGGGTATTTTGGTGTGTAGGTGAAAACTAATTCACAAGCTAAACCCTCTCCCTCATCATATTCCTCTGATTTAATTGGTATACTAAACTTGTGCATAGGCTCTGTCTGTAAAACTAATAGTTAATTTATAAGTATTTCAATATTTTTTCATAAGTTTAAATTAATAAAACATTTAATTTACTTTGCATATCTCCATAATAAATGGAATCTAGAGCTTCAACTTCACTGGTTTGTTCGTAATGATAGTCCATGGTAAAAATATTTTTTATCAACTTTTTATTGTCCTTTCTATACTTATTACAATTATAATTATTGAATAGGTTATTTGTAGGTAAATATCTGACTTTTACGATGTCATATGTCGTTTGACGTCTGACATTTAGGATTTTGTGAATATGGCTAAGGTGGTGAGAATACTGCATAGATGTACTCTCTTTTTAGCTTTTTAATTTTTATAAATACGGAGTTACTTTAACTCCTAATTACATTGATAAATATGAATAGGTTTAAATATAATTTATTCTTAATACTAGAATGAAGGGAAATAATAAATAAATTACTGAATAATGTATTATATTGGTCTCATGTAGTCCATGAAAGTACAAATCCAAAGTTTATATGAATACGGTAGTTCCTGGTGCTGGTTCCCAAACAAGAAACAACTGTTTGTAAATAGTAAGGATAGGTTCATGAGAAACTGTAGAGGACTCCTGTATTTGTCAATTGCCAAGTGACAGTTGAATGACAGAAAATATATCAAAACATTGTACAAGTTAAGGTAGATATATTCATTTACACTTTAAGTTGTTTTTAATTAATTGAATGGTGATAGTTTACTAAATATACAAAATGGAGTCTGCCGAGGAAAAGTCCCATATTATATCACAGGAAGACAACAGGTGCGATAGATTAAATTAATTCTCTTTGAAATATCTAATTATATACAGTAATATGTTTTCACTTCTTACAGAACACCTAATAATCCGGTGGTTAGTGATGATTACCAACAGCTACATGAAGAAGTAATGGCTAATTTCCAAAAGCCTAATTTGCCTAACATAAATGTTCCCGAGAGAATTATTATATGTTTGGATTTGTGTTATGATGCACAAAATTCACTCTTTCGACTGGCAGATGGAACTACTTACACACCAATCAACATGTTGAAAAGAGTTCTTGACTTCTTTATACATTCAAAGCATGCCATCAATAAGAGGACAGAGTTTGCATTATTTGTTTTAAATGATTCAGATGTTCAATACATTCAAAACTTTACCAACAATGTCAAAGATATTATTAATGCTATAGATTATGTTCAACCTGAAGAGTGCACACAGGAAACATTTGATTTTCAGAAAATTTTTAAGATTCTGAAGCAGGATATACAAATACCTGAATACAAACAGTCAGAATGTATTCTACCACCTCCTTATGTAGTTCGTATGATTGTGTTGTATAATCGTTCCAACTGTATACCTGTCATTCAACAGGATGATCCATATTTTAATTTCTTAAAGAAGCATTTGTTCTTTTATTTTGATATTTTATATGCACATGAAGATGACTGTGCTCTCTATAAATGCGAAGAAATCTATGATGCACTGCAGGACCTTGACAATGGATATTCTTTTGTGTTTGAAGTGTCAAAGAATGCAACCAAGATCCATGATTGCATTGCAAAACTGTTAGCTCATCCTCTACAGAGGCCTTTACAAAAAAATACAGATTATACATTTTGTACTAGACAGTCTTATATATTGTAATAGCAATTATGGTAAATTAAATCATTAAGTATTTTAAAACTATTTTTATGACATTTATTAGAATAAAAATACATTATTCAGTTAATCTCTACCCACTAAATGAATACTTTCAATGTAGTTTTCTATTAATCCAATAGTTTGTGAGCATAACAAAACAAACAATATATTCATCCTCTCATGCTTTTCTCTTTCATTTAGCTGTTGACTCTCCAGCTAAGTAATAAATCAGTGAAATTATTCAGTTTCAATAAAGGCACTGAAAAATATTTGATTTTCAAATTTAGTTATGCTAATTAATATCCTGGTCCTCTATGTAAGAATAACTAATCACTGTCTCACTACTACCCCCGCCTACAGCGAAGGCGCACGTCACCTTTTTGCTCCGCGCTAGTCGTGAGACTGCCGAGCGAATGCAGCTCCCTATAGTGGTGTACGTGAGACTACAAACACTACAAATAAATTTATAAAATCATTGATAGAACACTCACAATAATATCTGACAATAGTATTGTGAGTTGAAAATATATTAAGGGACATTTAAATTAGACAATGTAGAGATATTTCTCTACTCTACTCTAGGTTTATTAAACCATTTCACCTTTTTTCAATTAAATACATATGTGTTATGTATTTTATCAACATTTGAAATTAATTGTCGTGATTGCATTTCAGTTTAAAATTATACAAATATTTTATGATCAGTTTTAATATATTTTGTTGTTTAATATAGTTATAATGGAAAACTAATTTGTATGTTATAAATAAATTGTAAGGATAATAATTTACATATTAAAAGGAGTATAATCAAGAAAAACAATAAATTGAACCTTAAATCTTTATTCTACCTCTTTCTTGGGTGTATTGATTGATACAAAAATTTACAGTCATGTTCATACAAAATGGAACTGTTTTTTTATTATAGGCCCTTTGAGTTGTTTGATTAGGTTTATTAATTTTGATTAGCATCTATATACACTGGCATTAATAATTTCAAATTCACTTTTAACATACCAATTTTCTATTGCACTGCAGTTTTGATTAATTGATTTATTCATTATCATATTAATAAATATGATAGGTAGGTACATGGAGAATGAAAGGCTACAGTGACTTTAGTGAATTAAAATCTTATTTATAACGTTAAGATTTATATCGAACAAGGAAATAACTCTGATAAGGGCCAAGTTCCTATACATTTATAAAGATATGTTTGTAATGAGTTTGTTTTGAATTAATATATACACAGGGTACCCAGAACACAACGTGAAAATCATGAGAAAAATCAGAAAAAACATCTATCCCATGCAGTTTGAAAAATTATGGGCATTTCAGAAAAAATCCAATTTAATATATTTAGAAGCGCTATTCGGTTCACTTACGGAGGGCGGGCATTTCCTAAATCAAATACACGCTGGAGGTAGACCTTGTTTGCCTTAAAGGCGAAATGCATCCTTTTCACGTACGAGTTCAAAGTCTTCTTCCTCGAGATTATCCGAAAAGATTTCATTTTGTATAACAATGCTACAGAGGCATAATGAAAATCCCCAATACATCCAAAAAAAATTTCTGGATAAATGAATCGACATTTAAAAAAGATGGCTATAAACAAATTGTTATATCTCTATCTCGCTTTTATTCCAATAAACCTAAACTAGATCAAGATTTTTCATTACTTTAATAATTTTACTTTTCTTTTGTTGACTTTGGTAAAAGGGCGTCACTATATTTATCTCGCTCACTGATGGCAAACATAGCCACCATATATTTCTCTATATATATCTTTTTCGAATAAACAGCATTTGAATTGAGTAAAATGGGTTAGCAATAATCGGTTTACTTGAGGTTTTTATTGTTTTTCTCTTTTTTTTTAGTATGAAACTAACAGGTATTGTACTATTTTGCAACTCTGATTCAATGCACAAACTTTTAATTACTCTTGTCTTGGCACACTTTTTTAAAGAAATATTTTTTTTAAATTCATAGTTTAACAAATAGTCTTAATTCTAGAAAACTCGGGGCAATTGTCATTATTTTTGACGGTGGTTTTAGAAATGTTATTTAGGGTTACGATTCCTGAGTGACAGTTTGACCGAATGTCTAGGTTTTTTCAAATGCCTATATTAATCCAAACTCAATGGGATAGATTTTTTTTTCTGATTTTTCTCATGAATCAACCCTGTGATCACGTTTAACGTTGAGTTCTGGGACACCCTGTATATAGATGTGTCAGTAAATATATAATAGCTACTTAAAAAAAGCACACATTTCATCAAGCTCAAGGCAAACATTTTATTTAAAACAAAATAAAACTAATCCAACTATACATTTCAGTAAATAATAAAAAATAAAAGTAACTTGTAAATAAAAACTAAAAAAACTATTTACATGATTTTATGACAAAATATTTAACAAATAACTATTTTGATTCAGTTATAAGATTGACTTTTATCAATACATTACATTGTATTGTCCATTTTACTCAAGATTATTGATTGCGTTAAAGGCAATGTTGATAATGATCTAAGTACTTATGGATTTTAACAGGAAAGAAAGTACGCATTATGTATAGTAAAATGTGTAATATGATATTTAACTTGTACTTCAGAACATTGAATAAATCATATTACTTTTTTAGTATTTCATATATGTAATTATACAGGGTGACTGGTGAATTACTATCAATATTTAAGGAGCATACTCGGTACATGATTCTCATTCGAATTATGTAAAAAAAATAGGTACTTAATTTTTGACAAAATTTCCGTATAAATAAATAAAGTGTTGACACGTTCCAAGTGTTCCAAGTGTGGACGCGTGCGGCGGCGTGCTGATACAAAACCACGCCCCCGCCGCGTGTGTGTGTATACCTAATCTGTAGGGTGTTCACACGATGCGTAATTAATTACACAACTTTTGGTTAACTTTACTTAGAAGTTTATTAATATTTATGTTATATTAACTTTTATTTTGTCATATATGATCGTCAAATATCACGTCCTCAAATATCGATAGTAATTCACCAGTCACCCTGTATAAATTGGTATTGATCATGGACCAACTGTATAATAAATTTCGGATACAATAACACTTTGGAATACTTAATATGTAAATGCAACAGAATCTTGCGAAAATTCAATCACCTTTACCGATTTTACACAAAGAATATAATAGATATCAAATAAAATGAAAATATTCAAAAGTAAGTGGTGCACTGCCCAAAAATTATACATATATAATATATATATTAATAAATTTGCTATAATAGTTTATGCTAGCAGTGTATTTAAAAGTTTTTAATACTTATACAATGATACAATCACTCGGCGCATCGACAGCTGATGCTTAAGTCTTTAGAGCCCAACATTTGACACTGGTTGATACATAGAAATAAATTACTTCATTTATCAGTCTCAATACTTTAGAATCTACATATAACGTTATAAATTCTGCCAAAGTAAGTAATAACGAACCTATGAAGCATTCGAGCATGATTGACTAAATAAATATTTTTAATACAACTTTGTTTACAACTATACATATTACTGATTTTACACGGAATGATTAACAATTTTAATAAACTGCAGAGAAGCTTTTTTTTTAAGTTTTAAATTTAAGACAATAATTAAAGCATAATATACCATCAGTTTAACCACTCACACTGAACTTTTCTAAATCGGGTCATTCACATAATAAATAAATTTATCCAATAGATTAATACTAATGTTTACTTAGGATTAATTTCTAGAGCATTACAAATTCACATTAAGAATATCAATGATGGGGCGAATTACTCTTATCTTACCCATTATCTAAATTTTAATTATTTTTGATTTAGACAAATACATAATTATATAGTCAAATATTGTTGTTTAGGACAAAATAATATAAGAAATTTTCTTAGCAAACTCTCAAAATATGTAATAGGATATAGGTTTAAAACTATATATTTAAGGAAGACAAGACTAGATCTGTGAACTTTATCTGAAACTACTGATGGATATTAGGTTGGTACAAGATTCTTCAACACTTTACATAGTATCAAATCCATTTTATGTTACTTGTCACATATAAGGAAGTAATTGAATCAATTGAACAGTTCTTGAAGTAACATCACATTAATTTACAATCAAAGAATTACATTTTGGAACAAATTAAATAATTTAAAAATATTCATATACTTTCACAGTAAGTTATAATTTTAGATTACATTATTTTCGTGCCTAATGAGACCCGTACAAGAATTATTGTATTTTTTACACAAAAATAAATGACAATCTCAGGCTGTGAGCAACATTGAAATCAATTGTGAGTTCAAACAGTTCTATAGTAAACAAATTTTCGTTACAACAATCACCAATTCCATTCTATTTACTTAACTCCAAGTCAACTTTATTTGTTAATCTCCTTTGACTATAAAAGTAATTGATATGATGCTAGAAGCATATACAGGAATGGAATGTTTGGTGAGTATCAGTCAGTCTTATGGTCAACAGATAGAAAATTGCGTCACCAAATTCATAAGTAAATAAGCCAATGGGAGATTAAGATATACATAAATATATTTTTGTGATCACTATCATTACATTCCCGACAAAGTATTAGACAGTTAGTTTTTGCTAACCCTTAAAATCTTCCAATACTTTTTTACTTTCGACTTAACTATCGCTATTCAGATTAATAAGAGCTTACATCTACAGTGGAGCAATAACTGAATCAGTTGAGCGAAAATCATATTGTCACAGCAATTGACATTCAAAAACTAAATACACAGCTAATAAATATATTATATAATTTATATCAATTTAATCAGAATCTTTAGGCATTTTTAATAGAATATAATGAGTTTGTGTTCACATATGTACCAAGCGTCATCCACTGAAGACAAATAGACTAGCTATACAATAGTTTTATAAATTTTAAAATCACTTTGTGTCAAATTATTTACACTGATCGTTATTAATACTTTAACCTATAATTTTAACACGCTACCAAGTACCGATGAATACCGAACAATATATGTAATAGGTACAGGTAGTCTCATTCAAATAGTTGACTTAGTTTTATTTGAGATTACTTTAGAATAGAAAATACGATAGTGTGATGTCAAACTGAAACATTCGCTATCCAAACATTTGAAGATTAGGTGGGGATGGCATCACTTCGGTTTTACATTCATTTATAACTCGTATGATGCAATTTTGCAAGTAAAGCCAAGTATAATTACTTGTAAGGCAGATAGAATCATTTAGTCCACAATTATCACACATGTAATCTACATAGTTTCATGTATCACGCACCCGCGTACCACGTTATATGTTAATGATTCGTTTTCGATCGTCATCGTATCCCGTGTATTAGGGTTGTAGAGGGCGTGGTAGTAGCGGTGTGCGCGCGGGTAGCATCATAGTACGCAGGCCGCGAACAGGCCCATGGCGCGTCAGGGCGGCGCGTGGTGAGGGTTGTGGGGTCGCTCGGGCAGCGCGGGCGCGTTCTCCTCAGCACCGATACCGCCGCCTCGAGTACGCATCACGTACGCGTATGTTCGATACCTCTTTATCTGAAATGACGTTGATAACAACTATATTATTGCCGTTTATATAACTTACTACTGCCAAAGCTATTATTACTATATTAGGTGTCAATTACAGCCTTCAGAGAAGTTGCTTATGGATATAACAAGACTCTGTTACCCATTTTCGTAAACTCGCGAATCACAGTTTTTAATTTTGTGTTATTACTTAATATTTTATATATATCGTCATCAGCCTTATCAGAGCTCACTGTTGAACAAAGGCCTCTTTCTCACCTAGAGAAGGTTTGAGCATTCATCACCATGTTTGCTCAAGACGGGTTGGTGATTTCAAACTTATAATTGTGAAACTATAAGTCCAGGTTTCCTCACGATGTTTTCCTTCACCGTACGAGAAGCGGGTACTTTAACCACTAGGCCACTACTGACACCATTTTATATACACCTTTTATTAAATAACCCAAAAATATTAAGTAATAATTATGGCCTGAATCTGAAAGGTATGATTCGCGACCGCGTTTAGTATTTATCTGATTGTGTTATAATTGAGAACTTAGAGACAATTCAGTCTCTAAATACTTAAAAGGTTATACGTGTGGAATATATGAATTCATCATCATAGTTGAAATATTTTCTATATAAAGGATTTTTAAGGTATTTTCTTCACAATTAGTAATTTTGAAAAAATTACATAAATCCTTAATTTAGCAAATATTTCAGCTTAAACTTGCTGCTGATAATCTGCTTCCAATGTAGATACGCGGAATTATACAATGCTAGTTACGCGGATTTGCACTATCACCGACGACATGTTGATACTTGTTAAAAGTAGTACATAGGTATTATGTTATATATATATTACCTCGTGCATGAGGTAATGATCTTTGTCCCTGCTATGTGGATCTCTCGCTAGTCTCAACGCTGCCAATTCCTCCTCTAAACGGGCCGCACGCTCCTCATGCTCTGCTAGTTGTTCTCGCTGGAAAGAAAATTATATATATTAAAAACATACAATATAACATACATACAAATTCTTTACTATAAGGATCTTAGAAAAAAAAATATTGTAATTTATATTACTTTAAACTTAAGCTTGCAAGTTATTATTGTAGAAGACCGCATATTGACTAGAGTAACATTTAAAAGCAAATGGCTTTATGTAGTTCGATAAGTGATTGTGTATCCTGACGTTCTTATTTGCTTTTCTATCATAAATATGCTATTAACTTGTGTCATAAAATTTTTCCCTAGGTTTACATTTGTACGTCTAAACTTCTAAAGATATGTAGGTAGCAATAACACATATTGCCCATAGTGTCTGTCTATCTATCCAGATATACAAAACATAATACTTTTACCATAGATAGTTTCGTGTGAGTGCAAGGCAGCAGTGGTCTTTGGAATTTCCTTTGCGAGCCGACGGCGCCGGCCAAAGGCGCGGCTGAATACGACGCGCATACAAAGTTGATAGTTTCCACCCATGAGCATAACTCCTTTGAATCACTGAGGAAAAATAAAACAAAGATTTACGTCAAATATTAATAAATAAATTAAACCTATTTAAATAGAAAGAAAATCTACAATGACTATACATATATAAGTATTACCTTGTCTGGAACAAGTATTCGGCCTGATCAGCAGTTTGCAGTCTAAAAACATGTTGTTTTTTTGTATAGTCTGTGGCTTTCGTCGCCAGGGCGTGATGTATTCTGAAAGGGTAATAATTATTATTTCCTACAAATTACATATGACATTTTAACTGTCGGATTCTATAATAAAAACTAGTACTTTTTGCTGTTAAAAATAACTTCTGTCTCTTTTGCTATGTAAGTATTTCAATATAGAACATTTTTTATATAAATCAACTAATGAAGAATAGAAATATTAGTCAATAATTATGGTTTCCTTAACTTCCTTATTAACCAAAAAGTTCACATATCGAATATTTTCTTTAGAAGAATATCTCAACGGTTATTTTTCGATTTAATTAAAATATACACGAGATGATAAAATAAACAGATCATTGACGTGAAAGTAACTTAAATATAAAAATATTTAAGTTTAGATCAAAAAAATATATATATTTAAAACAAATAATAATTGCTTTGATATATTTGAATAAAATTCTTGATTTTATCGGCATGTTTATATAAGTTAAAGTCATTTTAATGAAAAATATTCAATTTTAAATATAATCTTTTTGTCAAATAGAGTGTAGTCTTTTATTTTTCCATACCGTATAGCATTGTGCAGGTTATCAGACATCTGACTCCTTCGGAAGCCGTGTTCGTCTTTGTGCAGGTAAAGGACTAGATCACGCAGCGTGCAGTAGAACATCTTCCAACCACGTCTACCGAATGGAGCTGGGTATAATGAAAAGAATTATAATGCTTGTTAGGAACTAAAAAAAATATTAGATAGGGGTTGAAGTTTTGGGGTTTTATAAGATCCAATGTAGCAATTTAGCCATTTTCATTTTTTTGGTTTAAAAACTTCATAATACTGGATTCTATAACATCTGTTCTGTCTGAAAGACTTTGTTTTTATTGCAGTAAAAAAGCATAGGTAACACATTTTTTAACATATAAGGATTTATGTAATGTATATCATAAAAAATATATATTTAAAAAACTAGTAAGTTTAAAAAAAAATCAAACTTAAATGAATTACATGTATGACATAGTTGATATGCAAAGTTTCAAAAGCATCAGTTTTCTCATGTACAAGATATATTGGAAACAAACTTAAAACGCCTCTACTGAAAAATGTACACTTAGCATATTGGCCCTTATACCTAGGAGCCATCGATATATGCATCTCATCCAAGATTTATGAATGAAGATATGATAATACAATGTTCTATACTACTACTAGAAGACCCGGCAAACTTCGTATCGCCCTATAATCAAGAAATATCTGTTACGTTTTATTATTTATATTTTTGGAGTTTACTTATTAAAGCCATAAATCTCCGTGTTATGAAGTGTGACAGAATAATTGACATATTAGTTAGTTGTTAAATCTAATGTAAAAAAAAACGTTTGTATAAACAACTACTAATAAATTAAAAAATTATAAAAAAAACATTGTCCAGCGGACAAAATTGTAAATCTAAACCATTCCCAGATCCCCTTGAACACACACAAAAAAAATCCAGTCGTTTGAGAGAAGTTCAGTGACATACACACTCACAGAAGAATTATACATATACAGGGTGACTGGTGAATTACTATCGATATTTGAGGACGTGATATTTGACGATCATATATGACAAAATAAAAATTAATATAACATAAATATTAATAAACTTCTAAGTAAAGATAACCAAAAATTATGTAATTAATTACGCATCGTATGAACACCCTACAGATTAGGTATACACACACACTCGCGTGCGGCGGCGTGTTGTTGTATCAGCACGCCGCCGCACGCGTCCACACTAGGAACACTTGGAACGTGTACACACTTTATTTATTTATACGGAAATTTGGTCAAAAATTAAGTACCTATTTTTTTTACATAATTCGAATGAGAATCATGTACCGAGTATGCTCCTTAAATATTGATAGTAATTCACCAGTCACCCTGTATATAAAGATATAAGTTCTCACTTTTCTTTCCGTTAGCGTCGTAACAACATTTCCTCATGACGTAACCCTTCTTATATTCAACCGCGCGGCTCTGGTCTGGCAGGTCTAAGAACGGATTATTACCAACGGCGGGTGCGGTACGAATCTCGTTTGTTGCTTCGGAATCGCTGAGGATGAATTGATTATAAGTTAATTACATATATAAGTCACTGTAAATATATTTTTTAATTTGGTTTGGCAGAGAGAAGCTTGGAAAGTGGAGGTGAAGGTTTAATGTGAGTTAGATAGGGGCTCCTTAGACCTAAATCTAGGTCGCAAGTCCCAGGCACTGTTGAAGCTCCTCTCCCTGCAACGCGATGGAACCGGCATCCGCACCGTGAATCCATTGAATGCTGACAAGTTTCGTCGTATACTTGTTTAAATATTAGATATCGTTCTTTGCTATTGTTTAATATATATGACAAATGATTTAGTTTTAGTCAATCAGCAGTCTATCAGAATAAAAAGTGATTTTTTTGATGCAATAAAATGACATTTCATAATGCTTGCATAAAAAAGGTATTTATGAAATTAATATTTTATGTTTTCAATAGGATCATTGTTCTTCAAATATATATTAGATCTTAAAATAACAAAATATCAATGTATAAAGATTATTATCTATTGCCTTTATTTATACTATAACTTCTTCTTCTACCTGAAATTTCCCAGCTTTAGCCAGGGTCTGCCTTACATGTTGTGAATAGTTTTGGCTACTTATTTTACGACCGGCCGCCTGCCTGACATCAACTTTCTTTAGGAAGGCATAAATCACTGATGTCTAAATACTCTTAGAAAGTACATATGACTCGGAAAAATCACATTGGTACTTGCCAGGATCGAAACCGCACCATCATGCATGAGGCGGATTTTTTAACCAATAGGCCACTACTGACTTTTATCTATACTATAACTATGGGTATTTAATTATTATAGTACAATACTAACAGTGCCCATTGCAGCGGTTGGTTCCGTATAGCGTGGTACAAATGTTTCAATGTTTCTCTAGGGAAATTTTCTCCGTCGTTGAGATCAGCCAAGTTGTCTATGAACTCTGCGCACGACATACGCCTGAACGTACCTCCACAGCCGTGGAGATCCGTGTTAAGTAACATTATAGCACACGTGAGCGTGTGAACCGCATCTGGAATGTAGAAATATGTATATTATTCGCATTTAATTGATTATTTGATACATTAGTAGAGAATTAAGTTTTCTGAAGCAATAACTAATTTATAAATTATCCTGCTGTATGTAAGGCATAATAAAGCAATTATCAAAATCTTTGATTTAAGAAATTTTGTTAAGTTTGTAATAGCTAAATACGAAATAAGATAGAACGGTAATTTAATTGCTACTAGAGGTTATTTAATCTTGCGACATATAAACTACAAGTTTGATCAATGAATTTTATATATAGAACTATATGATTTATTGTATGTAAATAGCTTATTTAAATATTTGTATGTACCTTGTGAGTTGAACGCCCCCGGATTACACTCTAAGTACCGTCGTGAGAAATGAACTAAGACTCGTTCCCTTTCCTGTGTTTCTCCACTAAGCGCGAACCTCGCGAGGAACGCTCGCAACGCTTCGTCTAAAGTAGTGTTTGCGAACTCGAAATGTTTCACGTACTCCTCTGCTACGGCGCGGGAGAAATCATTGCTAGACAAACACAGGGCACATCATTAGTATATACTAAACAACTAAACATCTGTATAGTCTATACTATACAGGTGTTCAGATTATATCTTTTTTGTTTTTTATATTTTTTGGTATATAATATTATTTTAAAATTACAATTTGGTAATAATAAATTGTAGAATATTTATAAATATCTTTAATATACATTTTTATTTATTAATAATGTTTCATCTAGCTCAACGATCGCATATTTTTATAATATAATTTTGTTTATATCTATTTATAGATCATAAAATTGCACAAATCGATAGATAGATATTTTTTATTGAGATTCTACTAACTTTTTACTTAAATGTCTTGAAACATCAGATTTCTTGAACCCGTCTAGATTATAAAGTCTTTTCGCGAGCCTCTCAGCTGAAGGTATGTCCACTGCTTTAGGACTGTAGTGGAATGAGTGTAGAGAGTCACCGTCTGAACCGTCATCTGAACACGCGTCGGAACCGCTACATAGCTCCTGGACATATTATATAAAATATAATTATTATTATACATACATGACTAATATATAGATTTTTAAAAATGCATACTGTCGAAGTTTCGGTTACTTTGTAGGAAGTGTGATAAATTTTTTACCAATGATAAAATAACGTGTGGTAATCCGAAAATATTAGTTTCATTTTAACATAAAGATGTTTTTTTAAAGTAGATTTTCTATTACTAGATTTATTGTATTTATTATTAAGTGAAACAAATTATGTATGAAAAACATGTGCTCATTTGACCATTTCAGTGAATAAAAGAATAAAATACTTTTTGGTCAAATCATGTTGTAACCGGTAATAGTAATTGACAAATTTGGATTAATTACGTAAATCTGAAAATATTAGTTTCATTTGAATGAATACTCGCAAAAATCATGGATCTCATTAATTACGTAAAATTTTAATGAAGTTCTAAAACAAGAGCGCAATGATAAACATAAATTAGGCTTACAAAATCCCAATACATATGATTTATATTATAAAAAATAAGTAAAAAACGTAACAATTAAATTTTTTGGTAAAAAAAATACAAAACATTCACCTCACCTGATAACCTTGATTTTCGGGTGAGTTATGCCCGTTTTCTTTTCCATTTTGTGCGTAATTAGTATTATTATTATTATTGACATTATCGCTGGAATTGTTCTGTTTGTCGGGGCCCTTCACTTGTATGACTATCCTGTACTCCTTGCTGTGGTCGCCGTTGAGTGTGACGTCACTTCCGTGTTCCGTTGAGTACGTAGAGTTTGATTTAGCCCTTTTGTGACACGGCTCGGAAACTAGTATTGTTGAGTCAGAATCCGATGGGTCGGATAGTTCCATTCTGGGACATTCGCGACCCGTTTCGAACATGTCGTCTTGATCTTGGAAATCAGGGCTCGATATATTTGATACGGCCTCCGATAAACTCATATCACCTGAAAAATGATGAATATATAATATATTAGAAAACATTATCAGATAGACTCCAGTTTTACATTGATATAATCAGTGCCGTAACTAGAGCGGTGCCAGCAGTGCCCAGGCACAGGGAGCAGAAATGACCATACTAGTATCTAGTTTTATCTCATGCATGGTAGCTATATACTTATATATTTTGTTACTTTGGTAAACAACAAATAGATAGATTTATTTGTATGCACATTTGTCCATTTTATTTTCAGAGCCTGGTTAGAGCATTTTTCAGGGACGCAGTTTTGAAAGCGCGCACCGGGTGCATAAAAGGCTAGTTAAGGCACTGGATATAATCAATGTTGATACTAATATGTGAGGATTAATGAATGGGTAACTTATAACTATCTTTTTGTGATAATGTCAATAAGTTTTAAAGATATAGATCAATCTAAGAGTCTGAATAATACGTTGTTTTGCTTGATTATATAAAATAATATAGAACAGGCCAAATGACATTCTTGATATTAAATTATGTGCGCCTTCTACTATGAGAGTACATTTTTAATATTGATATCTTAATTGTATTAGTTGTAATAGTTTCTGTGGTATGTTGTGGTACCATTGAGTGGTGCTCGAGGTAGGGGGGGCGCTCGATGTGGTGGGGATAGAGCGGACCACGACGCTGATGTTGGAGATAACGGGGAAGAAGACCTGGAAATATATATAGAAATTACATACATATATTGGAACTAGAAAACCCGGCGAACTTCGTATCGCCCTATAATCAAGAAATATCTGTTAATTTTTTTTATTTATATTTTTGGAGTTTACCTATTAAAGCCATAAATCTCCGTGTTTTGAAGTGCGACAGAATGATTGACATATCGCACCTCCGCTCAAATAGTGTCACAACTCAAAAAAAGTTGAATTCAATTTTATTGCACTATTGGAATAAAAAACTTCGAAATCTTATCTCAAAAAATGCCATGCCCATAGTTCAACTATTTATCCATAGATGTCAATATTTCGTAAATTATTCGTTTTTTTCATCCGTTATTAGTTTTTTTTTTAAATATATTCCAAAAGTCTATTACACCATTTTGTTGAGTGTCAAAAATCATTATAACTTACTTAAAATCATATTGCAGTAACTTTCACAGTTTTTGAGTGATGAGCCGAAAAGTAAAGTTAGCATTAACTTCAAACGCGTTTTATTCGAAAGTTGGGATTTTTGACTTACGACACTATTTGAGCGGAGGTGCGATATTAGTTAGTTGTCAAATCTAATGTCAAAAAAAAGTTTACATCAGCAACTACTAATAAATTAAAAATTAATTAAAAAAAAACAAAATTGTGAATCTAAACCATTCCCAGATCCCCTTGAACACATACAAAAAACTCATCAAAATCGATCCAGTCGTTTGAGAGAAGTTCAGTGACATACAAACTCTCAGAAGAATTATAATTTACATATACATATAAAGATGAAAGTAAAATGTTATTGTAACTTTCTTTTATAAAACTGTATATTTGTAAGTTTTAATAGTTTTTTTGGTAAAATTTATAATAAATAGACTATAAAATATAATATTTTATTATATGTATTAACCGTTGTGACATTCCATCTGATATGGAGGTAGAGTTTGATGTCGCCGCTGAGCCGTTACATTGAGACACCGGGGCGTTGTACGTCCATACAATCCTGAAATTTAGAAAAAAAATAATATATATATAACCATTTCCACATTACTTCACAGTGAAGTAGTTGTAATCGTAGACTATATAGTCATCGTCATCAGCCTATCAGCGCCCACTGCTGAGCAAAGGCCTCTTTCTCACATGGAGAAGGTTTGAGCATTAATAATCACAACACTTGCTCAAGACAGGTTGGTGATTTCAAACTTATAATTGTGAAACTCACGATGTTTTCCTTCACCGTATGTCAGTGGTGTCTAAATACTCTCAGAAAGTACATATGACTTCGAAAAATCACATTGATACTTGCCAGGTTTGAACCCGCGCCCTCGGCAACGAGAGGCGGGCCCTTTAACGACTAGGTCACCACTGACTTATTATCTTATCTCTAATTGTAGACTATATAGTATATAGATATGTTTGAATAGCTTAATTTTTCATCAAAACTCATTACCTGTCTCTTTCGTCGGAATCCGATCGAGGTCCCGGTGTAGCGGAGTCAGGCCGAGCGTCCAATAGTGTATTGAGCGATGACGTCACATCCTCTTCCATATCAACGGCGACCGCGCTCAAAGACGATTCCTTCTGAAACTTCACATACATCTACACATCCGCTAGATGTTAGGTAAGGCCAACAAAACGATATAAAAAATGTAAATACAGTTATACCCCGCTTTACGCGAGGGATACGTTCCGAAGAAAATCGCGTTAACTGAAATTCGCGTATATCTAGGTTTATGATTAAACACAGTCAACATTTAATACACAAATATAAAAATCATTTTCATCAATCACTTTAATTCTAAGAACACAATATAATACAAAGGTACTCCAATTTTTTACGAAAAAAATACATGTACTGTCTTATGGGTAGCTCTTTGTTTACGTTCTTGTAAAATACGTTCATGACACTAAACACTGTTTTTAATTGTTTGACACACGTTCAAGACACGGTCATCATTATTGTCTATACTCTGCAATGTCCCAACCTGAATAAATTTTTGAAAATCGCGTTATAGTGAAACCGCGCACAACGGGGTCGCGTTAAGCGGGGTATTAACTGTAAACCTATTTTTGTTATATTCATGTTTCGTTGGCCCTATATTATGTATATAAGAGTAACTGTCTGTACCTGTAGATGATCTTCGGATCTTGATGTTCTGACTATATGTTGGGTCCTCGTATTGGATTCAGCTGATGAGTTATTACCACCGGCGGGAGATGCTGGCTGGGAATTGAACCTGAAGAAAACTGAGTGTCTTAATATCATGTAGATTTTTTCCACTATGAGAGAGTGGGGGTAGAAAAAGAAGGGAAATGGATGGCGCTTGAACATATATTGGTAATCAATTGTGTCTTGTAAGCAATGTAAATAAAAACTTTACTTAAATAAATAATTAAAAAATCTTTAAAAATTAATTTCAACCCCCTCCTTTTTTTCCGGAGCGACTCACAATTTAAATTTTTAATTGTTATTCGGATATTTTTATTTAATGTACATACATTTTACTCGCATGATCCGATAGGCCGGTGTTGGGTGATGAGTTGTGCCTCTGTGTTAGTTCAACACGGGCTGCTAGACGGTTTTCACTAGGGGAGGCTGGGGTTGAATTATATCTGTAAGAAAAATATGTCATAAAACGATATCTACAAAATAAATTTATAATAATAATCTCTTCTTCTACCTAGCAATTTCCCAGCTTTAGCCAGGGTCTGCCTTAGATGTGTGAATAGTTTTGGCTAATTGTTTTTAAAACCGGCCGCCTGCCTGACATCAACCATCTTTTGGGAATGCATTAATCAGTGATGTCTAAATACTCTTAGAGAGTACATATGATTCGGAAAAATCACATTGGTACTTGCCCGGACCAGGATCGAACCCGCGCCCTCGACATGAGAGGCGGACCTTTTAACCACTAGGTCACCAAATTTATCATAATAATATTGTATATAAGAATTGATTGTTTATTTATATTAGCAATACATATAGTGTTTCAACCTTACCTATGGTAGTGTGTGCGATGGGTGGGCGCGTGGTGGTTATGATGCGGGTGCTCAACCCTGGAGAGGTTCAGCATGAGGTCGCCAGTCATCATGTAGGCCTCGAACTTAGGTTGAGTGAGTCTCGGTCTGTCAGACCGATCTTCAATCAACGCTTCACAGCTCTCGCCAGACCGAACTAGACCGTTCGACGAACTCGACGAACTATTAGAATTACTAGACGGAGGAGATCCACATCTGTTAATGAATGATTATTCATTTAAATAATGAATTCATTTAATTCGACTTATATAAACTATAAAAGCTTTAACAATTTTTTACTATTTAAATTACCGTATTGTAGTAGATTAAAAAAATATAAGTAAATTCTTCCTTATAATTATCAATTGTATTTTCTATATTAATTCTACAGCTTCTTGTCAATTAGTATGTTCTTTATACATTAACATAGCGATAATTAAATTTTAATGAATAAAGTGATACATGTGCTTGGAATGCTGTTAAGTTGGAGTTATAAATTACACTACAAGGAAGCTGAGTCGTGTGGAATAACAGTATCTAAGTATATACACGTCCTAACAGAAGCGATCTATCAAATATTTCTTATGAATTTCAATAAAACATACAGTTATGATACGTTTCAAATTAATCAATGTAAATGAAAACAAAAGTTCATCTAACTGTTGTTTTTTTAATAAATCACCAATGCATTGAAAACAAAGTATCTGATAAATATACAACAACTGCATCGATTTCGTTATTACTTATTAAATAAAATACATGTATGTATTATAATATTAGGTATTACTTCGGAATTGGGTACAGTGAGATATTTAGTTTGTTAAAACTATAAATGTTTTAAACTGGTGTATGTTACAAGGCACTCCGTACAAAGTACAACTTTAATCCCGTGAGAACTACAGGGAATTACAGGATAAATTTATCTTCAGTGGTATCCTGATATCTAAGTCACATTCCTTTAAAATTCTATCAAAATCTGTTAAATAAATTTGCGTAAAGGAGCACCGAACATAACATACATAAATTCTCAAATACTTCGGCAATAATATTAGAATTATAAAATCGCTATAAAGTTAAAGTTTCTATCATTACATTTGAAGCTGGGTCAGCGTATTTAAACGCTCGAAACTTCCCACTGGGTATATCGGCGAGACGAGCAAAAATTTAATTTATCTCAAAACTCAGGTGAAAGCTAAAATCATGAGCGTGATTAATATGATGCGGAGAATTTTAATTTGGTCCACGTATACCATACCGGAATTAATGTTTACTATACGTCACAATACATCGTAACTTTATAGCTAGTAGGAACCATTCCCAAGTTTAGGGCGAGGGTGTCTGTAAGACATATGGCACCAGAAATCGCTTATCGACTTCGGATATCAACTGTCAAGACTCGGAAGGGTCGATAGGATAACACGGGGGTAACGAAAATAAACTCAACAAAAATAATCACTATATAATATAAAATTTATAGAATAATTAAATTTTAATACATACTTATCTTGTTTGATACGTGGCCCGCTAGGACGCCTCTCGCCGGATGAGAGATAGCGTCGTACGTTCGCTTTGATCTGTGGATCTAATACAAAATAACCATTTAAAACTAAGCTATATAATATCCTCAACTATACAGACTTTACTACATACAAAGCCCTGTTTTATCAAATTAAATATTAACAGCAAAGTGTACTCCACATAATATCCCCTGGTATATTCCGCTATAAACCCAGCCACTCCCATTTGTTCGATTTATTTCGTAAACTATACCGATCCGCTGGGGATACGTGAATTACATGCGACCGCAACATATCAAATAACAACTAACTTACACAAACAAACAGATTATCAGTTTAAGAAATTTACCTTTCTTGAGACGAAGAGTCACAGGATCCGCTGATAATCGCAAGCATTTTAAGACTGAAAGAGATATTTAATTAATAAACAATTAAATATTAAATATTATTACTATAGTACATACAGTTTTATACAAAAAAAATCGCTCTTTGTTTACATATGTACATATATAATAAATTTTATAAGCAATATTTATTTTGAATTTATTCAAACATGTGAATAAAACGATCGCGTGTTTGCGAAATGAAGCGTGAGATGACAGTGAGATTGGTTAAATATTAATATTGATCGATATATCATTAATATTAAATTTAATCTATTTATAAAAAGATCTTCTAAACATACTTCTAAAGCCATATACAGGGTGACTGGTGAATTACTATCAATATTTAACACTAGAAAGACCGAAATTTTGAACTACCTATAAAGACCAAGTGGGGTCAAATGACTCATTCATGGGTTGTAATGTTTTATTCGTCTAAAATGGTTTTAAGTTTTATTGATTAACATATAATAGTAAATAAAAGAACTTAATAGTAATTAAACATCAATTATGTGATAAAAAAATGAATATATTAGGCACATTTTTGACATTTTAGCTCATTGTTTACATTACAAGGGCCACACAAAGGCTTTTTACAACTAATACAAGATTTATTGGTTTTGTTCCTGCATTTTTGCACGTAACACCGTTTTCTCTTTCCACTACGTTCTTTTTCAGGCTCTAGGGGTATGCTATTTTCGGGCTGTGAAGTAGATGGTGTCATCAGGGAGTGGGTATCTTTGCCGACTAACTCTCTTGCCAAGTCAAGAATGAACTTTTTTCTACTGATTTTTTTCTCGGATAGGTTTTTGTACAAAATCCAAGAATTAATTGCTGTCAAATCCAAAATATTATAAAACACTTGCACGGGCCAGCGACGAGAAGGTGCTTTGACACTATATTTCTTGGCCATTTGATCAATAACATCTACTCCAAATTTCGTAGCATTGTAAAACTTCACCGTGTTCGGCTTCTTTTTTGCTTCTTCTGGATCAACAAATACATTAGAGTGAAGTGAAATTAGAATCATAACTGATTTTGACGGTTTTCCTTGATAAACTGTAAGTGTGCAGGTTTCAGAGTTGTGAATATGTGTTTCATATAAACTAAGGGATGCATTTTTTATAGTAGCTGGAATATCTCGTCGTGTTTTGTTTATCGTACCAACTATTGATGTATGCTTTTCAATTAGCTTTTTAGCTAAATTTACACTAGTGAAAAAATTATCAGTTGTTATATTTCGACCTATATTCAAGTATGGGTCTAGTAGTCGCAATACAACGCATTCGCCTAAACTTTGATTTTGTGGACGGCTTTCATCTCTTCCTAAATATGGGGAAACCATTACACAAGTACTTTGAATCAACATCAACGCCAAGCCAAAACTTTATTCCAAACTTGTCTGGTTTGTTACCCATAAACTGCAAAAATCTACACCGAACTTTTGTGGAAAAAAGCTGTTCGTCAGCACTAAGGTTTTCACCAGGCTTGTAACATGAAATACTGTTATAGATAAACTTATACCATACTTCCGAAATCATTGCAAATTTATCTGTTTGCAAACGTTCAGCCCTTTCTGTTCGCACAACAAAACGCAGGAAACGCATTATTTCTTTGAAACGATTTCGAGCCATGTTTTGTGAACAAAACTGAATACCACAATTTTTGTCCCAAAGGTCATTCACAGCAATATTTTCAACTACCCACAACACGAGTATATTCAACGAAATGTAAATTTTTACAAAGCATGCACGCAGTGGTGTCAAATGACCACTGTGGTCTTTCTAGGTAGGTGATAATTTTTAATTAGTATTTATCTTGCTATCGGTATACACATATCAGAATAATATAAACAATGACGAAATATTAAAAGTCATAAAACAACAATGACTTCAATGCTATGGTTTTGATAATATGATTGATCAATAACTTCATTGGGGTCATTTGACCACTCTGGTCTTTCTAGTGTTAAGGAGCATACTCGGTACATGATTCTCATTCGAATTAAAAAAAAAAATAGGCACATAATTTTTGACAAAATTTCCGTATAAATAAATAAAGTGTTGACACGTTCCAAGTGTTCCAAGTGTGGACGCGTGCGGCGGCGTGCTGATACAACAACACGCCGCCGCGCGCGAGTGTGTGTGTGTGTGTGTGTGTATACCTAATCTGTAGGGTGTTCATACGATGCGTAATTAATTACATAACTTTTGGTTAACTTTACTTAGAAGTTTATTAATATTTATGTTATATTAATTTTTATTGTGTCATATATGATCGTCAAATATCACGTCCTCAAATATCGATAGTAATTCACCAGTCACCCTGTATATGTGTGTGTGTGTGTCTAAGTATCTTTTTGTGTGTGTGTGTGTGTTTTTCTGAATCTTTACCTTCTCGTGTGCTGAATCTATTGACATCAGTTCCATTGACCTTGAGCAATACATCACCAACCTCTACCTGTAATTGTAGTAAATCCTCTCATTACGTTTCGACACTACTTTAATGTATAGCTTTTTTTATAATAGTTTGTAACAACCCAAGGAAACAACGAAAAATATTCTACTACTTCATATAAGACCCATATGTATAACTTTTTAAGAAAATCATAATTGCATATCTTAATTAAAACTTATTAATTTTAGACAATACGAAATTAAAAAAGTATAACATTCGTATAGAAAATGTTTAATAAGCAAATAAATCATTCGAAAACTTTAATACTATTATGAATGACAATTGCCAGTTATTCTTTAATGCCATTCATATTATCAATCGGCATTTCTGAGAGGGCTTATCGTTTTACCACAAATGGTTCACACAAATACATAACAATATTTTAATTTTATGCATCATTCATATAAAAAAGCTTTATTTTTACTTTTTAAATTTATTACTATCTAAATCATCTACAAAAACAATATAATAATATAACTGTAAATTAAATAGTAAAAAGCGCGCCAACTAAATGTTTAACCGTCAAATTTAATATTAATAATAAGTTTTATACATGATATTCCAATAACCTTATTAATATCATTTGGCCTACATAAAGCTTATTTATTATACAATAACGTATACCGTTCGAACCATTAAGACGTTATCACATTAATGTGAATCAGTAACGCGTTACAAACATAATAACAATTAATAATACGCGATTTACAATGATATATGGCGGCTTGTTTACACACTCGTATGAACATATTAAATGAGTTTAAAACAAATGTTTAACGTTTGGCTGTATTGTGTCAAGTCCGAGAGCGCTGCCTGAAAAAATAATAAAAAAAAAAAGTGTGCCGTTTTAAAAACAGAACGAATCTAGGGCCGACTCACCCTACTCTCGTCACTCGTGTTATGCGGGCTGACGAATATGACGCATTTGTCAACAATTTCTTTAAAATGTTAATATATATCACACGAAACACACAAAAACGTTATAAATTATCATCAATAATAATAAGAATTTACGTGATCACTATTGGTATGCAGTTAAAAACTTGATTCCGATAAATATAGATGTATTTTACAAAGCGGAGTTGTATGACGAAAAACGAGTATTGTAACTGGGGGCAAATTGGCGCGGACTCGAGACACGTCCGTACGCGGCGCCACTCGCCGACAACTGTTATCAACTTCGAACTGGGGAGCGCTAATGGCGGCTAGGAGATAAATTAAATGAAACCTCTATATAAGGGCGCAGGAAATAGAAATTACCCGCCCTACCCACCTGGACTCGTCGGGACTAAATCAGGGGACGACTGAGTATATTTTCTTATCCACCAGAATTACCTATTTAATAAAATTTGAACGAAAACCGAAACCGATTTAACGGCGGGAATGTTTAAATGAGGATTATGTTTTTAAAATGTGTAAATTTTATTCCTAATTTATAAATATATTTGACCTTCTTGATACTTTAAATGTTTATGCTAAAAACCTTATGGTATTTCGTTGAAGTAATAAAAAAAAATCTGAATAATCACGACTGTGGCGGCAATCATAAGTAGTTAGTTATATTCGCAGATAGTAACATTTCTGGCATGAGATATTTTAATCAGTACACAAGTATACTTTTATTTAATTAATTAAATAAAACAAATAAATTTACATAACAGTTGGGCAAGAGTTTTTTTTATTTTACACGATAAATGATTCTTGATAACCTTTACCATTTATTATATAGATTTTTCTATATAATAATTAAATTAATTTTTATAAGAATCAAATAGATAAAAATCCTTTGTTTTCAAATTAATTAACGCATTCTTTCCTACAAAAGTTACTGTACTATCACAGTTATGTGAATTGTATATTAAAAAAAGTAAAAACACGCAACGTTTATAAAATAACATGGACTGGACCAAAACCAAAAAAAGATTATATGAAAGTCATGTAATTTATTATTTATGTATAATTTGAATGATGTGATAAATAAATTTATAATGGAATAATAATAATCAATCATCTTATAAGAAATATTGCTATAAAATTGTTGCAGGCGTTGCCTGATATATTAATTAAAATAAAATTATCGTTTTAATTTTGATGATGGTAAATCTTTAACTAAATATTATATAAGTATTATATATAATTTGATATACATATTGATATAAGGATTTAAATCTTATGTATAGAAGGATAAGAATGCGTTTAAGTTACTAAATCGTAAATTACTTGTTAGGAAAAATTGTCACTTAAACGTGCTTTAAAATGAATGAATGACCAGTTTTTACATTCGACTTTCCACACAATACCAAGTATATTGATAACACAAAAAGTAAAATACTATTTAATACCTCAGTTATGTATATATTTTTTATGAACATCTATACTTTTAGTAGTTTTTGAATTATGTATCAAACGCGTTTATAAACATACAAATAAATATTGGTGTGTACATCGGTCAAAGTTTATTGGGACATCATACCACAATTAATGTTCTAAGAAATATTATGGTTAGTCACACCAAATCAAACATTACCATATGCCTGCCCGTGATCACGGTTGCTGCAAAGGAACAGAAACTGCGGGAGTTTGTAGTTATAAAATAATAAAATACTCATAGTATCCGAAATCCTTAGTTTCTTTTAAATGAGTTCTCGTGAAAATCTTAGACATCCTTACGTAGACCGAGTTATTAGTTAAAAGTAATATCCCTACTAATATTATAAATGCGAAAGTAACTCTGTCTGTCTGTTACGCTTTCACGCCTAAACCACTGAACTGATTTTAATGAAATGTGGTACAGAGATAGAGTTGACCTTGAGAAAGAACATAGGATAGTTTTTATCTCAGACTTTTGAAAGGTTCTCTTGGAAACGCGATATAACCGAACTCCACGCGGGCGAAGCTGCGGACGGAAAGCTAGTTTTTAACTAAACAAAACAATAAAATCAATGTTAATTCCGTTTTGTATTAAACAAAATATTATTTTATCAAAAACAAAAATGCATTTTCATCATTGCAAATATCTTAATCAGTTATTGTGTAGCAATATTGACATAACTTTTATAGCAACCAGCAATAAAGTATGACTGTGATATAAAGAGCCATTTAGTCAATTAAAATGTATGGGGTCCTAATAAATAAATGAGTCAAATTGATGGACATTTATTACTATGTATATAACACAATGTAATATATATATACATATATACACATACTAGCTTTTGCCGCGACTCCGTCCGCGTGGAATAGTGACTTCCGGCAGATTTTTGGTTCTTCCCACATAGTTCCCGTTCTTGTGGGGTTTTCGGAATGGTCAACTTCCCGTAGAATTTTCAGGATAAAACCTATGTTTTTTTTATTCACAATGAAGTACTCTTAACCAACAACATATTTATTTGTTTATTTGAATAAAGATTAATATTATTATGTTGATACAACTTAAACAAATTATTTCGACCAAATTAGGTACCATAAAAACGGTTTTTGTGAGTTAATCTTAAAAGATAGACATATACTGTCGCGGACTGTTTTTTAAATCATTAAAAGAGCTATTATTCTTTAATACATATTTTTTGTGTATCTTGAACCGTTTTCACGGCGCACGCAACGGAAGGCTTCAAAGATGAAATAATTTCTCCCGTTTTTTACACATTTACCACTATATCTTTGCTCTTATTGTTCTTAGCGTGATGTTATATAGCCCACAGCCTTCCTCGATAACTGGACTATCCAACACAAAAAGAATTATTCAATTCGAATCAGTAGTTTCGGAGATTAGCGCTTTCAAACAAAAAAACAAACAAACAAACTCTTCAGCTTTATAATATTAGTAGAGATTATAACTGTATATATACGTATTTAGTTATCGATTCATACTTAAAATAAAAAACTATTCTCGCATTTCTTTCATTCGGACAAGGTGTATCTTAAATATCTTTCTGTAAAATAATCAAAATAAGATTACTGATTATACGAACATATAGTTTTAGTTATTCTTTAATACATATTTCATACAATTGTATTATATGTTCTTGATAAAATCAGAAGATACTTTTTTAAAACCTATGATTATTATTGAGTCAGTGGTGGCCTAGTTAAAAGGCCCGCCTCTCATGCACGAGGGCGCGGGTTCGATACTGGCAAGTACCAATGTGATTTTTCCGAGTCATATGTACTTTCTAAGAGTATTTAGACATCACTGATTAAATGCATTCCCAATGAGGGTTGATGTCAGGCAGGCGGCCGGTCGTAAAAACAATTAGCTAAAACTATTCACAACATGTAAGGCAGATCCTGGCTAAAGCTGGGAAATTGCTAGAGGAAGAAGATTATTTAGAGCAGTACCTTCAATATATGTAATCACCTAAATTTAGATGTTTTTAAAGTTATACATAGTCGGACATACTATTATAACGCATGAATTGAGAGAATCGAGAAAAGTTTACGTAGAAAAAAGAAGAAACTGTTTTAATTAATAAAACGTCTATAATATATAATAAATAAAAAAATACCTAAATATTATATGACCAAGCGTGTGTTTGTGTGTAATCAAGCATATCTATTAACCACAAACTAACTATCAGGTTTCTAAGTGTTTCTCATAATTTCATCAACACAAAAATGTAATTATTTTGATCGAAAAATATTTACCGAAAGCTTGATTAAAATTTAAAAGTAACAACAAATAGTACATTTTTAGTTTTTAACATTTAATGTCAACTTCCGTGTGTATAAGGACGTTAATGTTTACTATTTAAATGGCAATAAAAAAGATACTACGATTTAAAATGTTTATATATGTATATATATATATAAATATATTTAATATATATATATATTAGCATATACTTATTACTAGCATATGCTTTGCATGTTTGTATTCACACAAAGCGCTTCCCGTTTGCCAACTACCTTAATTAATACTGTAATTATGTAAGGATTTACGAATGGAAAACTATTAACATATGTAGTGTGATAGTTCAAACTTGCGGTATGAATACTATTCGTTA